GTCCTCTATCCGAAACCTTTGGATAATCACATATCACGCACTTGCTAAATGAAATAAATTACACACAGCTAACCTATTCCCAGCTTGGCTTGTTTAAGCCATTCCATAAGACATTGGCAATCAGAGAGAAAAAGTGGTTAAATGATAAAATAAATTCTCTATATTAAAAAAAAAAACACTATACATGTATTATATATTTTTTTTTTGTGGTGAGGAGGTGAACCGACCGTCGTCGCAATGGTGTGTCCCTAACATTAATATATAGTATACGGACTAGAACACCCCCTCTTCAGCGAGACTTATTCACCCTCGGAACAGCTTTCGCATTACTTCGAGAAGTATGTATTATATATATAGTATATATATACTATATATATATTATATATATACTATATATATATTATATGTATATATAGTTATTATATATTATTATATGTATATAAGTATATATATGTAGGTAGAAAGAGTAAGATCTGGCAACGCTGGGGAAAAGGGAACAAGGAGAATGAAGAAGAAGTCAGTTAGTAGTAAGTCGTTGTTGTAGTCAGTCGATTGTACGTATTATACACTTTGATTTTTGTAACAAATGAATAACTATTAAATAAACATTCCTACATATATATTATATATCTAGTATATATATATTATATATATAGTATATACAAAAATCATATAGTATTTAAAAAAAATCATGAACATAAGTATTTGTTTTTACAGCCCTCTAATCTGCACAGTGATTTATATTGACTCGCCATCGTATCTAGTCTAGACAGCCCTGGTCAAAATGATTGCAGACAGCCGAACGAAGGTATAAAGTTATCAGAGTTGTATAGATTTTATGCAGTAAGTTGATTTAAAATTTATTCAAACTCACTTTTTAATTGTGTATGGGTATGTGTGTCGTCAAATAAGGTATATATATGACTGTGGATCTATTCATTGAACTGCACCAATAAAATGGATAATATTTTGAAATCTTCTTTAAGATCACATGCAGTTTTCTTATAGTATAGCTCCTGGCATACTTCAACTGCTGCGGTAATTTTAACTTTGTCCATTTGGGATGTGTTACAAAATGATATCAGCAACTTCATTTTTAACGATTACACGATTACACAATTTTGTTTAGTGGCACACATATCACTGTGAACTGATTGAATTTCACATTATCTATGGATAAATGTGTTTAATAGTATGTTACGTAAAGTAAACAGAACAATACAATCACCAATGCTCTTTTGACTAGATGCCAGAACCTTTCCATCAACATTACCTTCAAACATTTTGTATACTTTCTTGATAATATTTGAGCTAATTATATTTCGACACATTATCTATTTCAGAGAAGTTGCCTCAAAAACCATGTTTGGCGATCAAAAAGAAGAGTTACTATGGCCTTTGTTACCATTGCACACTATCCGTTTACAATTTGTCTCGATTGCAAATACCAATGGACAAGCTCTTGCATCACACTCGGTAAGATGATGGGATAAAGAAGTAGTGGAACTAAATAGTTAGGAAAGGATAAAGAAAAAATGGGTGGGAAGTGGTAAATGGTAAGTAAAGTGGTAAGTAAAATAAGAAAGTTTAAGTAAAATGAAAGGAGAATTATCAATTTGGTTAACAGAGAGCACCACGCGGAAATAAAAGTTGACTTTTCTGACAGACAGAGTTACGGAAAACCAGTTGTACGTCCTTCAATTTAGGGTACTGATTACATCATTTCCACATGTATGAAATTGATTCGTTTTAATAAATTAAAATATTTACTATTTTACATTATTAAAATCAAAGTTCATACAAATCACAATCACAGCAAATTGCGACATGCGACATAACACAAACTGAAATCGTAGGTAGAATCACAAAATAAAAATTACATATAAGTGATATACCTATGTATGTATATCAGTCACAAACAGAAAAATAAACGCATTCATGTAATTTGCAACTCTATAATTGTTTTTTATTTAAAGCAAACAATTTCTTGTACATATATAACTTAATTTAAATAAAATGTATAAAAATTTATTATTTATGTAGTATGAAATATCTATAGTTCATTTGTTGTTGTGATTTGAGTTATGTTAGTGCTATTACTCACTTTTACTCTTTTGGGGGCTTTACCCTGCCCCACACTAAGCTGTAACTGCACTAGAATTATTATAATTTATTTATCTTTTAACTGATGACGAACTATAGTCCTGAGGTGGACTATAGTTCAGTTTTATAAATATTATATATGTTATTTAATAATATTTAAATATATACATAAAATTCATATATCAAATATTTTATTTGAAATAAATCAGAGAAAAGTCAACATTTTAAAAAACTTTATTACTTTATATTTCAGTTTGTAAAAGTTTTAATTTAAATGCAAAATACTACATATACTATGTGAAATTGTTTAATTTTAGATCTCGATTGCTTTGCACATGCATGATAATATTTTAGTACATAAACATTGAATTGATATTTAAATATTAATAATTTAAGTATATTAAATATATTAAGTAGATCTACATTTCCAAATTTCTCCAATAAGCTATACATATATTGCAGACAACGATATATTGCAAACGACTTGGGTTGTTTTCGGCCTTCGATTCTCGGATGTCATTATTGAGTTAAAGCTAAAATGGCTTTAGTTCGCATAACAAAATCTTTTGTTATTGCAAGTATTTAACTTAAGGCTGACTGTTTAAGGTTGAAGTCATCACCAACCTAATGATGCTCCAAGACAGTCATCCTCCTGCTTGCCAATGCTGGACATAAGCACAAAATATGCACCGCGGTCGCCTTTTCTTCTATACAGAGTCTGCAAGTGTCTTCCTCAACACGAGTTATCTTTTTAAAGTGATATTTAATGTCCAGTGATCAATGAGATCAGTCAACTTTAAGGTGATACTCTATGTCCAGTAATCAATGAGGTCAGCCAACTAAAGCTGCTCCGCGGATAGTTAATCACTTTTAAAGCTAAAGGAACTTTTTTAGGATACATATAACGACACTATAAATCTGTGCATAATTTTAGAACAAACAATTGAAGTTTTGTTTTTTATACATTAAAAACGTTAAATACATAAATAAAAACTTAGTGTCGATGATAATAGAACTAATAGGGTTATTCATTCTGTCTTACAAACTCATTGCAAGGCGCACGTTGCAATGCAAATTTCTTGCAATTGATTGCAATCCTGCTATACCTAAACCCATGTATATATGCTTGCAACGACACAAAAAAGGAAAAAAACAGCTGTTGTGACATCTGTTGCTTATCATGTGGATGGGGTACGCTGTAAAAACAGCTGTTTCATTTTGATGTTGTAATTTGCAACAGAGGTGTTCTAGTGCTTTAGCAATTTTAGTACTGTATTCTTGCATTTCGTGACCCTTGCAATGACTTTGCAAGACAAAGTGAGTAATAACTTTAAATATATTGTTAATTGGAATCATGTTAAATCGTTTTCTGTTAAATTTCCATGAAAGAGTGTGTAACAACAAGTTTTATATAACAACATTAAAAAATTATTAAAGTTGATATATATTGTCGGTTCTCTAAAGGTGTATTAATAAAATTTGATAAGTTTTATAAAAAGTTCCTAAGTAAAAATAATATGTTTTTTTTCCGATTACATGCTGCGTATTCAAAATTAATTGTTCCTTAATCCAACTGCATTATAAAATTAAATATATAAACACAAAAAATTTATGTTCAACTAAATAAATAATTACTTCTCATATACGTTTCTAGATAACTAGTTAAAGAGATGTATAATAAATATGAATACATATGTACATTATATGAAGAGAATACATGTTAAATAATATTCATTCCAATTACTTATTTTCTGATCTACAGGACTTATTCAATACTAAAATTGTTATAAGATATGTGTCTTGCGATTATGTTATATATGTATATATTTATGCTATCATTCAAAGCATTGTGTTAATTTTATCTTACTGCACTTTAGTATTTGGTATATCACCTCATTTCATTACTCGTCATCCATTGTTGTATATTACAAATACTTATTTTTAAAATGTATTTATAATAAAAAAAAATAATTCTGAATAAATTTAAAGAAATCGTTCTAAAGAATCTAAATCATTTTAAATAACAATAACACAGAAAAAGAATAAATACTACTGATATATAATCGTTGGGTAGATAACTAAAATTGAATATTGTTATTGATAACTTAACAATAAACTAAATTAGAATTGCATATATAATTACGAATTGCATATAGGTTTCAATCCTTTTAGAGAAGCTATAACCAAGTTCGTCAGACTGTATGATATATTTTCGACTTTCTATAATCTCGTTTCGCGCTCACTGTGTTTTCAACACTATGTAGAAGAAAAATACAAATCATTGGATTGATATTAAAGTTTGTTTATTATATCTTATCTAACAGAACTACAGTATCAAAAATGCTGCGACATGTGAGCTACAGTTGGTCAAAATTATTTAATTTATGCATATTACTGTCGTTGAGAATGGCATTGAGACGTCGTTGAGAATTTCGAGTAAAACTAAATATAAGCTCTAGAACATTTGTTTGTGATCGACAATAATGCAATGTGATTGCCATATTAAATGTATTATATATTGTTCTTATACATATATAAATTATACATATGTGTATGATATAAACGTTTTAAGTGTTTCTTACACTTCGTTTGAAATAAAACAATTTGTTAGCACAAAATTGTCCCCACAAATTGTATACACTGTAAATATTAAATTAAATCAAAATTATATAAAAAAATGTAACATATGAACAATTATTTATTTTAAAATAATTAATGTATCACTGAACTGACCGAATATTAGTGTAGGGAACGTTTGTCAACAAAAACAATACATTTATTTTTAATATTGTACATAATTATTTTTTAAACAAAATGAAATAGAGGAAGGTAATGCAAATAAATACCAACAAAATAAAATAGTATCAGTAGAAGTACAATTTACTACTTCAACTTACCAATATCTACGAAAAGCTTTTTGTATGCAGTTAAATTATTCTCTTCCAACCACTGGTCTACTGTTTGCAGTGCGTTATTCTGATCGGCACGATTCCACTGTGGATATATTTTCCAAATCAATAAAACTATCTTCACTAACGAAATCGTGAACATTAAACTTAACACAACTGCAACGTAAATCTTTATTAAACGTATATACATTATACGAAATCCGCTTATAAATCGATGATTAAAGCCGAAATATCAAATTTCCATTACTTAATTCTAACCGCACTATATTCATTTGCATTCATTTTTGAACGGGATATGTATAAAATGCAATAGTTTAAAGCAAAGTAAATTGAATTTTTAATACTTTCGACACAAGTGCATAATGTAATAACAAAAGGCGTTACAATATTTGTTTACTTGTAGCAAAACATTGGTTGAACGTAGTGTTGCATTTCGTACTCATACCAATGAGTATTTTGAATGGATACAATGAACAACAAAGAATACAGACAATGAATGAAAGGTAAAATATAGCTTATTCAAGTTGGTATTGATTTATTATAATAAATGCATGTATTAAGATTAACTAAATCAGATGTACAAGCTGGCCATTTTGATTAATTCCAATTAACGTCAAATTTTGTTGTTTTATTCAAATTCTGGAATATTTAACAAAAATTGTTTTAAAAATTTATTTTGTTGAGAAAATTGAAAATGAACAACAAGAAAGCAGAAATAATTGATTTTATGAATATTTTTAAAATTTGTAATAAATTTATTGGAGAGATACATGGATTATATGAATTTTATGAAACCAATTACTTAAGATATTTAAAATTAAAATTTCATACAATTTTTTGAATTTATTTATCGACCTGTTTATTAAAATGGTTTTTTATATATTTTTTATCTGGCTGTAGGTCTCTTTTTGTTAAATAATTCAACATTTAATATTTTTTGTTATACTCTATATTTTAATACTCCTTGAAAGTCATCATCAGGATCACAATCTAACATAAATTAATATTTCAAAAACTATATTTACGTCATCCTCTTTGTTTTTTTGTCTAAATTGCACTATAGACGTAATAAAGACAAAAGAACAAAGAGCATGACGTATATGTTATTTTAATAATATTAACTTATAATAATAATCCTGATGAAGACTCTCAAGAACAATTAAACTATAGAGTATAATAAAAAATATTAAACGTTGAATTATTTAACAAGAAGAGACCTACAGCCAGATTTAAAAATATATAAAAAACCATTAAAATTTCATTGTATATTCTAATTGTGAAAAATACGGAATAAATTTTTTGAAATGTAATTAAGGATAGATAAAAATTTCGTGTGCTGATTAAGCATTGTGGCCAAAATCCACAAATTGGGATATGTACTGCTATCCCATCCAGCATATTCTCCAGATGTAGCCTCCTGCGATTATTTTCTGTTTCCAAACCTAAAGAAATGGCGAAATTTACTTTTTTCTATTTTCGTAAAAATTCACGAAATTGTCTGCTTTGAACGCCTATCAAACACCAACAGAACGACGTAGCTTGCTCAAAATTAAAAAGTTGCCCATTTTTAGATCACAGCTGACGGCAACACTGTTGCATTTGAAGTAACTACGCGGGAAATTCAAAAAGTCACTGACATCAAACCACCCTCGTATTATATATATAATATAATACTATGAACTCATGGCGTTTTCTATTGATAATTCTGGATTCAATCTAGATTTACTCTTGATCTGTCAAATTTTGTTGCTCAATCAAACATTTTTAAAGTGAAATAACATTTTTGTTTGTAGTGTTAATATATATTTACATATTTCGTAAATACATATTCAAATATATACTACACTTTATTTTTTATCATATAAAACAGTTGTTAATATCAGCGTAATCTTGTTATTTGGGATATTTATCTAGAGTGTTATAAATTAATCTCAAGTGGTATACATTTCCCTCGAAATTTATCAATCAAAAATGAATATAATACAAATAGTGAATTTGAATTGAAGTTACCAATCATTACCAATAGAAAACAGTGTTAGACTATATCAAAGAAAAAAAGCGAGAAAAATTTGTGCAATGCAGAATTTAATATTTATCTTGAAGTTATATCGAACATCGACCTGGAACTTTAAGGCAGCATAGAACGGCATTACCTGGCGCTTCGTCAAATCAACATATGAAAAGACTGTTTTAAATTACCTACATTAACCCATTAACTACCAGGCAATTTCAAACTTGAAATTTTGCGGTGAAATTTCGATAATACATGGTAAAATAAAACAAGCAAATGAGAAGAGTTTAATATATATTTAAAAGATTACTCCCACTTTATATATACCTAAAAAAAATAAAATATTCTTTAAATATTAAAAAGTATTCAAAGCAAGCCGTGTGGTGCGCTACACGGTGGTCCGAAATGGGTTAAGGGAATCTGAGTTAGATTTGCTCAAATGTTAACACCATCCCTTCTTAGAAAATAAACTTTTACTTATTGCTTTCAAATGCTTTGCTTTTGTATGAAAAAAGAGCTTTTCTTAAGTTTATGCCACAAAAATTGATTTTGACACTAGTTGCTTTAAGAAGAAGACAAATTTTAAATTTTGCTCAACATTGTTTCGAGTCTCGAAGACAGAGTGGCGCTTAAAGCTGCAGTTAGCTGTGTCAAAGCACAACGTAAGTAGGCGCCTAAGAAGACATATACTGATACGTTAGTGCCGTTAGTGGCGTTAGTATGTTTTTGTTGAGAAACTAAATTCATTAAAATCTTACATTAACGCTTTTTTACAACTAATTAAAATATAATTGCTCTGGGCTGCTTACAGTTTGGCAAGAAAACAATTTCGGTGACGATTTCGCCCTTCACAGAAAAAGGATTGAAGGACTTTGGTGAAACATTAGATAACGGTTTTAAGCAACTTCAAAGAATGCATTAACGAAAGCTAAAGCGCTTACGCAATTTGTCGAAGTTTTTAACTTTTGCTAGCGCTAAAATAGTGATAAGTTCTTGAGCGAAAACTAAAAACACAGTAATGTTAATTACAGAAAATAAAAACAAAAACAATTAATGAGGAATGAAAGCAGCTCTTACTATGAGTTCTGTTATTAAACTAAATGATAGGATTTAAGTGTTGTTGTGTGTGTGTCATCCAATAGTGCTTTCTAATGTTAAATGAAGTTGCGTTCGTTATTTAATTTTGAAGTTCAGAAGTGCATTTCAGTGAATTAACTTTTATTATTTGTTTTGTAGACGTTTTTTAAGGGGTTTCGTAGTGCGGGGGGTATTGATTGTTTTGGACAATGAGAAACCTAATTGGATTATTGCTGTATTTGACCGCCATTGCCGGTGAGTGTGTTTTCCTATTGGCGTATTTGAAATAGTTTTTAAAGTTGATTTTTTGTTTTTGCTATGAATCTTATACGAAAATCTGTACACATGTATATATGTGAACTAAATATTGAAATTAATTAATTTAAGTCATTGAAAAATGTATAAAATTCTTTATTTTCACTCATAGTATCTTGGAAAGAGAAGATCCAGATACAGAGATATTTTAAAAAAAAACTTAGCAGCATAGGTCAAAAAAATTGTTGCAATTATACTAATAAAAAGTAGAGACATTATTATGAAAATTGAATAATTTTAATATTTTGACTTAAAAGAACTATTATTGGCATATCAAAAGCGTATAAATTATGCATACCAAAGCACATTTCTTAAAAATAGATATCTGCAGTGAGGCCAACTTTTGGCAACTGCATTTGTCGGTAAGGCCAACCACTCCCAGTGACCTTTTCGGAAAATTACATTTCCGGATAAAACTAATGCGTTTGTTATTGTAGAAGTCATACAAATTTATGACATCCTGAAGGACATTTCATACTCGCATAAGTATCGAATTGAGTCAGAAATAGTACTATTTTAAATAAAAGAAATCGGTTTTTCCAAACAACTTTTAGTTGTTTTTTTTTCTTTTTTTGTCTTATATAAAAGGTTTTGTTTATTTTGGACAAATGCATAGTTCTAAAATATATTTGTGAGAGCTTGATACCGTTTTATAAATTTATGGAATATTTTTAAGTACAACTTACAGATTTCAAAATTTTTCCCAGTCTTTATTTCTGATGAACTTTTCTTAACAATAACTGAATTTTCCTCAAAATAAATTTCACATCTAGGTTTTATAAATTTATGGAATATTTTTACGTACAACTTACAGATTTAAAAATTTTTCCCAGTCTTTATTTCTGATGAACCTTTCTTAACAATAAATTTCACATCTAGGTTTCAATATTTTTCCCAGGCTTTATTTCTGATGAACCTTTCTTAACAATAACTGAATTTTCCTCAAAATAAATTTCACATCTAGGTTTTCTTCAGTGCAAGAGTTTAATAATATAATAAAAAAGTATCTAAAAGTTATTATTTGAATGTTAGCATTGAGGTCAAATTTCTTGTCACTAAATTTTTTTTTTAGATATGAATCTATTTATTTTGCATCTTAGTTATCATTATAATCAGTAACAAATTCTGAAACCAGCTGGATTTACCTCTCAAAGGATTAAGATTTTTCCGCCTATATCTAAATAGACTTCCATTTAAATCTCAACTTTCCCCCAATGCATTCTCACTCCTAAGTAATGACATCCACTTTCACACTACCAATACTTATCCACATTCTAATCCATGTATTCGTCTTGTAATTACTTTCATGTTAATTGCTTTATAGGCCCTTGCAGGATACAACAACAACAACGTCCCAAAACCACCATATAAGTTTATTTTAACATATTATTAAAAATACACTTTTCGTGTTTATTAAATCAGTGTCAAAATAGCTTGTTAAGTAATACAGTTACAATTAATTTTTAAAACTCCCAAGCCTTTTAATATTTACCTTGTATCTATCTAATATCTACACATTGAATTTAATTGTATAATATTCTAATCAGTATGAATAAAAGATGATTAGCCCATGTTTAGCTAATCATATAATATAATGAATATAATTAAATCAAATTAATTTGTATAACTCATCTAAATTAAATTTATATACTTTATTAAATTCATTTATGTATACGTTTCAAAAAAAAAAAAAAAAAATTAATTCTCTAATTTGTCCATGTATGTGCTAACATATTTGAAATTATTGATTTAAACGGTTCCTTTATAGTTTATTACATAATAAATTTAATTTTTTTTTTTAAGAAAGCAATATTTCTAAATTTTTTGCTCAAAATTAACTAAAATTTTAAATTGAACACAGTTTGCTTTTCAACGACTAGCAATATTTATCGAAAGTCACTGATAATTATGTTGTCTTCCCACTCATATCCTTAGAAAACACTTAGGAGGCGGTATTTGATTTATCTCTAAATCTCTATTGTTTAAGTGTTCACTTGGTGGATAATGTGTCATCACTTATGAACTCACTTATACTGTTGATAATTCTCATTTGTATGGATTTTATATGAAAAACGCCAATAAATACTGCACAGCGATAATGTCAACTTAGCCTTTTCAAATTCGTAAAGTGATATGTATATATTTATATATATTATATTTATTTATTTAAATTATTTAAAGACTGATGAATAAACTACTTTAAAAAGACAAAGAAATAGAATTTTGCTGTATTTAATTACAATTTCCTCCATAAATATTATCCCAAGTGCGATGAGACTGGTTTCATAGAAGTTCTTAGCGTAGCGATATCCATGAGTGAAGTATAGTAGGTGGAAAACTTCTCTACTTACTGTCCAAATTTGAGCGAACTTGCTCAATATTTTGCAACGACTTGGCATTTTATATAATCTTATTTTGTGTATGTCGATAGAAAAAACATCACACAAATATTTAATTTGGTTTTAAATTTAATGAAAGTACTTTACAATGTGTAAAGAAACAAAAGCATTGGGATAATTAATTTAGATTATCTAGATTACCGAAGTATCCGATACTGTGATGGTTATATGTTGAACACGATGGTTGAACACCACCACCAAAAACAACTGACAATAAAGAAGTCATCCAGAATATTAAAAAAATTCTTACAAGAGACCGCTCAATGTTTGCAAGACTCATCTATAAAGAAAGTGGAACAATGAAGACCATACTCTATTCAAATATTTGGGCAAAACAAAAGGTGGTGCGTGTTTTGTCTAACACAATTTATAGCATTAAAATTACAAAGATATATTAAAAACGTTCCAAAAGAATTCGCTAAGCATTTCAGCCATTGTAACTGAACATGGCAGGTGGTATTTTTAATACAATCCGAATATAAAATATCAGAGTGCGGAGAAAAAGTCAACAGATTAGCAAAAAAAAAAACGAAATTACTATCTCAGAGGAGCATTTTTAAAACAATGCTAATATTTTCATCGATTTAAAAGCAATTGTTCATATAAAATAATATATAAAATAATTTATCTTAAAAGGAGAGCTGGTTAACATAGATTATTATTTGAGAGTTTAATAATGATTTCAACATTCTCCTACCTACCATTATGAAAAATTAATGAACCAAAACTGCTTTTTAATTAATTGAGGAAGACTCGTTTCTTCTTTCTCTTCACCTCTAACTGAACCTAACAATAATTGGAGTCAAAATTCGACCGGAATAGTAAAAGAGTCATCATGGTACTTGAATCCTTGACCAAAAAAACTGTAACTGTTTCGATCACATATCGTATGCATTTGATTTGACCATGATTTTCTGGCACTTTACCAATCTGAAACCGATAACCAAAGCAAACCGTTTCAATAACGCTCCAGCCATCCAAAAAAACGTTTTAAATAAAATTCACATGACATTTTATAACAATAAAATGAGATTCCAGTATGTCAACCCCATTTCTACAGCCATCTATATATTGCGCCACCCACTATACGTCATTATTTAATTTTTTTTTTATTTTGATTTTAAGTAATTTAAATTGGTAACAACAACCAATTTACAATAAAAATTAAGTATTATAGAGTAAGTTCAAGTAAAATTTGATCACGACGACGCTATTTTCTATACTTCTTGACATAAGTTAAAACAATTCACTCAATAATGAATGTCAGAACTTGCGCCTATTAGGAGCAAATATGGTCACATATTCACACAACTTTTTACTTTATTATTATAATAACAATAAGACAGTGTGCAGATAGTAGTGATAATATAGCAATTGAGATTTAACTATCTGCATAACATTCCTTTGGGTTCTTGAGCAGAAAGGGCGTCAAGCTAAAGTTTCCATTCTTCATATGGGACTACCTGCATAACAAGGCTCTTAATGAATTTTGTCTTGTGGTTACGAAATTATTAAAACTTTGTCTGATAATAAAAGATAGAGATAAAGTTCTAAAAAAATACTATAACAAATGTTAATAATATTAACGTATTTTTCTTGTGTTTTACTATCTATTAGTAAAAATCACATTCAAAAATTAATTTCTAGACTGGGGTAGCTTGATGATTTTGCAATAAATATATATGAAACAAAACAATGAAACTACTGTTGTCTACTACTGTTGACCTTCTGATTGGTTTTTATTAATATATTTTTTCCGTAAAATTTTTATTTTATTTTCATTTTATTTGTATAATATGTATATTGAAGTTGAGTATATTTTAAAATGTATATTACAAATTATCTAACAACGTTTACAGTAATTATATTATTTAATAAATATTATATATATTGCTCTTCGTAATTCGTAATAATTTTTAGTTTAAACATTTACAGTACCTGGTAATGGCCATCATTCTTCCCTAACACTAAGTCCTTCCGATGCAACTTTAGTTAGATACACAAATGAATCGCTTATAGTACAATGTAGCAGTGTAAAAAACAATTTAAACCTTCACTGGAAGTCTCCGAATGGCGACCTTATTAAGAAGAATAAAGGACGTATTCACATTGAAAACAATAGTTCTACAGGTAAAACATTATTCAAATTCCAACATCTTTTGAAAACTGAAGTTATTTTTCTTCATATATATATATACATATATATATATACATTTATATATAGGTCAACTTACAATAGTTTTCACGCACATTTCTTTAGCCGATAAGGGTAATTGGACTTGTGAAGACACTGAGAGTGGAACACATAACATTACATTTGATCTTATTGTGTATCGTAAGTATATAGAACTTATCGATATATTCATATGCTAAAACACGTTATAAGTCAGTTGAATAAGAATTCATGTATTTCTTCTATACAAAAATAAAGAAAAAATCATCTTCACTGAAAATGCCACAGTTCAAGCTGTAAAGGAGGGGAAAAATGCTACAATACTTTGCGAAGTAAAAGGAGAGCCACAACCAACCATTACATGGAGTTTCAACGGGCAACCTATAACAATCGATAGTAAGTTCCATGTGAATGAAAAGTTTTGTTATATTTTTATACTTTCTTGATGAAAATAAATTTATTATTAAAACAGCAAATTCTAGTAAGCTCCGGATTTTAGCTGATGGCTTACTTATCAACAAGGTAGCACAAAATGATACTGGCGAGTATACGTGCCGCGCATACCAAGTGAACTCAATTGCATCAGATATGCAGGAACGCACCGTCCTATTAAAAATTGAACGTGAGTCCGATGTCTATTAATTATAAATTTAAAAAAAAAAAACATTTTTTACTGCTAGTAATTTATAGATTACATGTTATATTTTAATATAAATAACTGTTCATTGCATTATAAATACTTAAAAGTCGTAATTTAAAAAAAATAAAATTATAAAGCAATTACTGTTTTTGATACATTTTCAATAATTCTTGACGTAAGAATATTTTATTTTATATGTCAGTATATCCCTCACATTATATGTCAGTTAAGCAATAAGTCAGGCCTCATTCATTATAACCAGCATAATTAGCTGGTTATAATGACAATTGGTTTCCAGTTATCCGTTTCTGGACGTCCATCAGACCTATAGATAAGACAAATTGGTTTCCAGTTATCTGTTTCTGGACGTCCATCAGACCCTTAGATTTTTAACTGATAGAGTAAAGATTCTGTGATTAATGGAAGATGTAATATTTGCAAACTTACAGTTAAGTAGATTTAGAAAAACTTAAAATCTAAATACTAAGTCTAAATAATTCATACGATCAACATTAAATTACCATTACGACCCTATTACAATTATTTCAAGTAATATTAACGGCTTTTGTTTCTCTTAAGAATTTGGAAACATTTTATAAACAAATACTTCGGATATATATGTATACGGTATAAACGAAGTGATATGCAATGTTACTCACATATATATATTCTATATATTTGTATAAGATTGACTGGTAGACGCAAAACCGTTGTGATCTATCTATTCAAATAACACCACGACGACATTACTAAAATATAGTATCTTACAATACTTCAAGTAGTAGCCTTATATTGTTAATTCACTATTTTCACTAACCAAATAACCATGACCAGCTATAGTTGAGTCCGAGAGTAAAGAAAGGACTACACTTATCTAACGAAAAAATGTAATACTATTATTAAAATCTGAGTATCAAATTAAGGAGCATAGAAATATGGAATGTATGTAAACACTGCGGATTAGCAAAATGCGATTTATTCTACACTGATGTCTACGATTTTTGTATTAGCACTTTAATTATATAATTTAACCTGGTATACTAACTGATGTACTAACTGTAACAATCATTTTTTTTGAATACATATAGGTACACTAGGCGGCATAAAATAAAAATCGTGCATTTTTAAGTTTTACTTTGAAATGACTTTCTAAAGAATTCTTGTCTGTTTTTTGTTTTTATTTATAACGAATACAAAATTAAAAATAAGCAAACAAATATTAAGAGATACAAATTAATTAGTAATTTCATATGTTGGCATAAGTATTTTGACAAATATATAATACTAAGATAACAAAATTTAAACTTAAAAGTGAAGAAAGTAAGTAGAATTTAATAAAATGAAGAAGAATCTCTAGAGACATCTCTTTCCAAAGGAAAGTGACTTCAGAAATTGTCTCCTCTCTTTATTTACCGAAACTGTTCTCTTCCGTGTAAAAAGAGACCAGACGTTTTCTATTATATTTAAACCTGGACTTTAAAGTGGCCAGTTCAAAGTAGTAACACCAATATCCTTAAAAAAAATACTAATCATCTCGGAGTTGTGGCATGGAACATTATCCTGTTACAAGATAAGTGATTCTCCAATAAGCCTATCTCCGGAAAGAAACGCATAATCGTTTAGAGTAGTCAAATATTGACCTTGGTTCATTGTGCTGACGATAGAAACCAAGTTACCGAACCTACTACTGAATTGTGAGCATGTTACTACATGCAAAGTAGTTAATATATGATGATTAGTTGCTTTCAACTGGCTACCTTTGGATCTTTATCGAATTAAGATCAATTCCTAAGTACTATATACTTCAAGATCAACACTAACGTAACAAATGTTACAACCATACATCGTAATACCTTAGGTAACACCAATCATGTAATTAAATTATACCGCATCTAAAAATCAGACAGAGATACAATACTAATATTACATACAGTCATATATATTAATGATAAGATCGACAAGAGTACTGAAACGGTTAACGCGATATATTAGTAAAAGCCAAGTTGTCCAAAACATAATTTAAGAATAAGTCAATTAATTTTATAATCATTTGATTTGATTTCATAACGGAACATCAGCCCAGAACTGTTATTACAATTTCAAGATTCATTCAAATACCGACATCTATCTCTTTACCTAATTAGGCAAAGTAACTTCTCCTATAGTTCCAATTGAAACTGGCGATTTAGTGACGCATTAACTCACTTAAAAAAATTTGTTTCGCTATAAAAAATTTGATTAGTACTGGAACGATCACTCAACTATATTTAAATCTGCATTTGTAGTACGCTCAATTTACAACAACCACTTGAAACATATTTGCTCTCTGATCTTAAAATTTACCATATTTGTAATTTTTCTTGTCTCTTATGATATTACTAGTGTCCACTTTCTGTCTTCTATATTATTGTGAAGCTATTCTTGACTCTAAACAGTTCTCTTCATTAGTAAGCTAATATCTATCTTGCACCACCTGTTTAGTGATAACTTCCGCATTCTGAGTTCGCTGTAGGCTCCTGGGCACATAATTCGGATGAGCATACCGAATTGGGCATGCAGTATCGGTTATGGCAACAAACTAGCAGCAATACAATTATCTGAATGCAATGAACCGTATGAGAATATTTGGTGAGGTTTAATCTGCAGCAGAGGAATAACTATCAGCATAAGATGATCTGGGTAAAGATTTGACTACAACGATGGCATATCACGGAAAGAGATAAATGCAATGAACCGTGTGAGAAGATTTGGTGAAAATTAATCTACAGCAAAAGAATAACTATCAGCATAAGATGATCTGGGTAAAGATAAGACTACAACTGTGGCATAACACAGAGAGTAACTGGGTAATGGTTAGATTGTAGCTGTGGCTTATATAAAACGATGTGGATGAATACCCATTTTTGCGGAGTTTGAAGAGCCTCGCGTGAGGTGTTGTAGATGAATATTTTCCGATTTTAATTTGCCTTTTTAAACATAAATATTGACAAGCCACTGTGAGTATTCTTTTTGTCTTTTTACCATTACATTTCTTTTTATTACTCCAATGCACTAGTGTTTATTTCTTTAGCAGTTGTTTCTACGTCGTGTAAATTTTATTTATATATTTGGTTATTTCATTTGATATAGAAATATTATTTACATTTGAAAATAATTTATTATATACTATCAGAACAGCAACAACAAAACAAATTAAAAAAAAAAATAATTTTATATAAAGAAAACTAATTCAATACTTACACTAATCTAATTCAATGCTTACACTATACTGACACTATAAGGAAGGAAAATCTAGTAATATTTCCCTACTTAACCCTTTTTACACCACTGAAGGACATAAAAAGTCATTTCAACACTTTTATCTAATAAAATTATCTTTTTAATTTTATTTAATGTCGTTAAAAGTATAATGTTAAATAAATCTAGAAAAAACCATATCTACGTTATATGGAAGTCATTATTTTTGTTCATATTTCTAGATAAGCCAGTTTGGATACACTCCCATCATACAAGTGTACAGTACGCATATATTAATGGAACAGCCACAATGCTGTGCGAAGCCATTGCGGAGCCACCGGCAAATTTCACTTGGTTTTATTTAAAAAAACGAATACATAATAATGAATATTTTAGTATCGAAACCAATCATGTGATGTCCTCTTTAACCATAAGAGCACGTGATGCAAGTATAATGGGCGTCTACAAGTGTCGTATTCAAAATGAATTGGGCTTCCTGGAACGAACAATTACTCTCAAACAAAGCGAAAAACCACCTGCACCCGATGGTCTTCATTTGCGTGGATATAACTCCAATACTTTTGACATCGTTTTGGGAACACCACGTACAGCAATGCGTAGTCCTTTGGAAGTGATTGCCTTTCGCATTGAGTTCCAGACAGGAAATGAATTTAGAACGAATGCTGGAAATTGGAAAAATGCAAAACGAAGAGACTTTCCATTTGTGAATGGTATGTTTCGAAATTGTTAATTTTATTTAATTTTATGTTATTTAAAACTCTTATTATTTAAACAAAAATAAAATAATCATAAAGTATGCATATCCGGGACGCACATGTACAAGTACAAAAAAAACATAGTATATGGATTACATTTTTAATAATTATTTTATCAGAAACTATAAGAAATCAAAGCTTAAATATCCAATTAGATATACAGTAAAATTGTGTATGAAAATATTAGTAGTATATATTCAGAATTTTTGGGTCATACACCCAATTTAACCTATAATTATGATATTAAAACCATCGTCGTTTTCATTAGCAACTTCAACATTTTGACAAAGTACCTGTCTCAATATTCTAAGACCTAAGAAATTCTCAATATATATGTAAAAGGTTATCCATTTCGTGGTGCTACTTTGGCACTAAAGTTTTTAAACATTATATGTCATATTAGTCTAAAACTTGCTATTTTATAATTTGGATCGTGTAATAACCGATCAACGTATAAAATTTTAAAAACACCATAAAAATGGTCAACATTTTTCGCATCTAATTTTCTTCAGCGATATCGTCATTTTTTGGTTGATACCTATGTCTTAAATTCACATGTAACTTTCAAAAGATGATTGCAAAACATTACTTTGTGGTGTGACAATTGGTCTGATGTTCAAAATTCCAAACCCTTTTCTGAATATCATGATTTTGTGTCACAAATTCTGATTGCTATAGCCATATGACTGCACTAATTTTTTTAGACGCACAACTGAAGATATGGATGTAGAAGACATGGATGTGTGATTCATATAAAAAGGTACCATAAGGCCTGCATTGTGCCCTGTTTTTACTTTGTTGAGTAAAGAACTTTTCAGATGTGTAATTTCACATTTTTATGAATTACCTATCAAGACTATATGATAAGTCATCACTAAACATTTATTTGAGAAGTTACACAAATGATCATGCTTATACAGATAATCTTCAAGTTTTCGATCCTTTTAAAGCAAACATCCATTAAATTATGTACGACCAGTGAGTATGTCCCGACATACTATATTACTATCGAAAATTACTTTAATAGGATATCCTTTTATTTAATTGATATGATATTCCCCATTTATAAGGAAGGTCTAAACGATATACTGACATTTCATTAAAATTTTAATCGTAAGTGTATTTTACTTATGGTTACTTTAAAAACCACAAAATGGATAACCCTGTACCATAAATACAATATTTTTCTAATATGGTAATATCACATTTTAAGATATAGAATATAGTATATTAGCACCCAATATTATGAAATTACATTAAAAGTTTTTATATCTATAGATAATATATCCATTTCAGGTGCAACATACCCACTAAATAAGTTAGAACCAAATACTACTTATTACATGCGTGCTGCTTCAATGAATTTGGCTGGCCTTAGTGACTGGACTAAAGTTGAAAAGTTTACCACACTTTCCAATGAACTGCGAGGCTACGGCGAACGTACAAAGTCAACTAACTTTCTGATTTTATATGCACTCTGTTTTGTTACTTTTTTATTTAAAAATACTTTTTTAAAAATGTGAAAAGAACCCGAACTTATACGGTCAAAACCAAGCTTAAATTGATATTAAATATTTATGAACTTTTTCCTTGAAAACCAAACAATAATTTTTTCGCACTTGCATCTAAGAACTATTGTTGCACTCTAAGCAAGCTTTGATGTATAAAACAAAAACAATTTACGAAATAAATGTTCAAAGCCCATCTCGATATCATCCTTCCCTTCTTCGGCTTAGCATCAATTCCTTAAAAATTCATTTCCAAAACACATTTCATCACTCCTATATAATTGTATTCACACGGCACAAGTAGTTTGAATTTAACTTGTCATTTTACTCGCTCGGCTCGTTCGGGTACCGTTGTTACAAAATCAAGTTGAAATTATAACCCGGTTGCAAACAAATATTTGACTGCCAAAATGATAATGGAATTGGAATTTGTACAAAATCAAGTTAAAATAAAGTAGGTAATTCAGAATAGTACAATTATGGTATATAGTGAAACTATAAAACAAAAAATTCCTTTCATTAACACTTAGAGACCAAAACAAAAAGAAACAAAATATTCATGAAACAAACAACGTAACTACAAAAATAAAAATGAAAAATAAAATCAAATACAATAAGAAAAATGAAAATCAAAATCACACTGAAAGATTGATTTGCCATGTGAACAAGGTTTTAACGAAGCGAGCCGAACGAATAAAATTAAAATAAAAATAAGAATTATTTATGTGGTGTGAACAGGATATTAGTGAAATTCTAGCTATGTCTGTAGTAGTTAATTAGATATACATTCCGTTATTTGATAATATTTACCCACATATTTTGTATAATATTTGCTTAATTTAATTATTGATCAATAAAATTACTTACATTATGCATTATTCTTTATTCATTATTAGTGTATTAATTTATATATACAATATATGTGTCTTTAAATATTGTTCTAAATTTTATCTAAAACTGTTTCAGTAAAAAACATATATTTTTTAAGCGGAAAACACGAAAGTCTGAAAGACGATTTCAAGTGTATACATCCAGTGAAATAATTATTTCATTATTCAAAATATTCCCATGCGTAATTTACTTTATTCTTTATAACCTCGCAATGTAAATACAGTCGAATAACTAAGAAATAAGTGTTTTCTATTTATCTGTAGTCTTTCATTTAAGCTTAGACTGACCAAACATTTTAACATATATAGAAATCTTAACTTACAAGGAAATTCAATAATCCATTATATCTTGCAAGGAAATCCAATACTTAGGACATGAATTCTACACCATATCCATAATTCTCTAATGCCTTCAAATTATTCAATCCAAAATACTTAATTAACTATCAGTCATGATTCCAAATAAAAAATTTGAACAAATGGTAATCCAATGGTGGCAGATCTTAAGAATAAAGTGGGTCTGGTAAATCATACCATCCGAACAATAAAATTTTTTAGGGAATGACCGGCAGTTTTATGACATCTTACATCTTTATTATTAGTCAAGTAAGGACTATTTAATTAAATAATTGAATCTGTTCAGTTCAGGATAGTACTTCAAATCTAATTATAGTATTGTGCGGTAAAGGTTAGGATAGTACTTCAAATCTAATTATAGTATTGTGCGGTAAAGGTTAAAAAATTTAATTTATCAGCAATATATCACTAGATAAAATATCACTGGCAGTTTTTTGAGAATGCAATTCAATAAATGACTTCATTTTATTTTTACCTTCCAAAACGTGGTGTAACATACTTTCAACACATTTGCCAAAAGGAAAACCTGGTTTTGGAAACCAGTTTTGCCATTGACGTCCTATCAATATAACTTCTTCTACCATATCGAAGTGACATTGACTTTCTATATTTTATAAAGCACAAACAAAAATTTTATATCAGCATCACTAACAATCCTTCTTATATCAGCTATTAAAATACAATATGTATGGCAATACAGCTGTAAACATGACTCTAATCTGGTATAGAGATTTAATATAGACAAACTTACGTAAATTATATAAATAAAACCAATCAGGTATACAATCAGAGTGCAGTGCCTTAAAAAATTTCTTGTACTGCTATAAACCATAGCTAAACACATCCCAACCAACAAACAATGATAGAAATGGCTTTTGTTTAAAATTATCCGATTAAAAACTAGGTCGAACTATGTGTTCCTATTGCACTATCCATCATGTGCGCAGGGACAATCTGTACCGTTTTAAAAACGTTATCATAAAAGTTTTAAGTCGCATCATCGAACCAGTAGATAATGCCATGATTGTGAATAAATATAAAATAGGCTTTCTGAAAATTATTAAGAAGACTAAGATGTGGACAAACTTTAATATCTTGAAAGTTTGTTTAAAGGCCGTGCGATAATCAACCTATACAAATAAAATTATAGTGCACAGAATGTAATAGGTCATTCTTAAAAAGTATAAAATATCCCACAACTGAATTGATTGACTATCCCAAATCAAGACTATTTAGATACTCTAAACCGATACAAAAAGAGTGTACAAATAACTCTTTCGACTTAAATATCAATATATATCAATATCCACTCTGGTGACTCCGAAGCGAAGAAATTCGGAGACCTGTGAACCAGGTGTTACATATGAATACCAGACGTTACAATTGTATCGTGAGCTAGCGATAGTGTTTAAAGAGATATGACCATATTATTAAGAAGATAAATTTGCAACCTTAATATGCCCATTTCAATGATTATTCAATTTATGGATCTAATGTCTGTAGTAGGTTGTCGAAAAATTTGCTAACTCTCTATTATCTCTTTTTTAATAACAATCGTTTTAATTGAAACCATTATTTAAACTGTGAAAAGAGCTAGAAATCAAAGACACCTAGATTTGCAGTATAGGCCTGGTATTGCAACAATTCGTATTTTGATTCACTGATTTTAGTGATCGTTTTTTGAACTTTGTGGACTTTCAACTTTTCTATAAATACAAGTCCCACTAACAGTGGCGCACAAAACCCCATTTTATCGTTTCTACAACATTATTTGCCAATATATCCGATATTTGCCAATATCCGTCTTCCTTTAATGTATTAGATAAAACAACAGTTGGCTTATTAACTGAATAATCCAGGGATTCTATGGTATGTTAACACTCGGCAGTCTTTTTGCTTATTTAGCGTTGATACGGAGCAACCTATTGTGAGGTACGTGCTGCCTAAGTGTTTGAAATCTGAAATTCTCGTTGAGTGTCGGTGTAAGAAATGTTTGTTTAATCTAATAAAAGAGGATGAGTTTTCTGTTCACATTGTTTACAGATGGTTCTCAAGAATATTATATTGGTGTGAGTATTGTGAATGCTGTCTTTAGTCAAAATTTAAATTCAATTAAGATTAAATATTACAGATTATATATTCATTAGATATTCGCATATATCTGTCTGAAAATAATAGTTCTCTGTAACTTGAATGTATTTTAAGTTGAAGATTAAACCATACTTATTTAAAATATATTGCACATACTCTATATACCTACATGAGTATTTTTAACGATTTTTAAGCCGAATGCAACGCCTAATCCGAAAAAACCAGTTCAGGCGGGTATTGGGTATTACACTTTTTTCCGCTTTTCGCAATTTTTGCCACCTAAGCCTGTATTTTTTTCTTAAACCTAGTACTAGCATCCATTTTCCTACAATTTCAAAATTCTGTTGGAAATCTTTTTTTATGATGTTCTATGTCAATGGTTCGTGCGAAATGGATGTTAGTACAATAGAGGCTCACAAATTCGAACCACTTGGTTTTTCGAGTAGTTCGCATTTGCGAAAAGTTCTAATTTTTGGACTTCTTCATTTCTATAAAAAATGATCAAAATATTAAAACTCCATATAAAAATTTATTTTATAATTAAAATCAATCACTATTAAGCATAATTGTATAAAATACTCAGTGATGTTTTTTTGTTGTTTGAATTAGTCAAATGTTTTACAATTTTTGTGTTACGGAGAGTTAAAAGTCATTCATTCTTTCATTCTTTTATTAAGATTGATTTTGTTAAGATTGATTTTATTAAGATTGATTTTGTTAAGATTGATTTTGTTAAGATTGATGCTTTCAATCGCATCAGAAAGAGACACATTTAGTGTGGGATGGGGTGGGAACGTCATCTCCACTGTTACATATTTATTGTATCATTATCAGTATTGAAATCATATTCAGATTCGTCTTGAACTTGCATTTCTGATTGCGTTTCATTGAGGTGTACATTTTGGGAATACCTCTTTTTATTTTTTTTTAAAACAAAGAACGAACAATAACATTTATTACGTTACTAAGTTATACAAAACTTAACAGAAAGGAGAACTCTAGAGTGTTCCGTGCATACAATGTATTCAAAATTTTTGGGTTTTAATTTCTGGACAGTTCGAATTTGTGAACCTCTACTGTACTTGGCTTTATGAAATAATTTTATTTTATATAAGTATACTCTCGTATAAAACTAAGTTCTAATTCATATATTTATAACTAACTACATTAATAATTGCTTCCTATTAAATGCTTTTTAAGTTTTAATTGTTGAAAATACTAAAATCAAGGAACAAATTTATATATAAGTTGAAATTAAGATATTTACTATAAATAATATATTTATATTATAATTAATTTAATAACCGTTTCCAAATATATTAAATAAAAAACGGACAAATAATAAAATTCTTGTTTCATTTCGTGGGATATTTATATATATATATATGTCTATAGTATCAAACATCTTCATTTACTATAGCATCGTCTCACATTTCCATGACATAATCGACACTTGCTTCTACATGATAATATTCTACAAGATTTATCAAGAGAAATATGGATGCAGTACTGCCAACATTTCAAAAGTCAGATAGTTTAAAGTTTGTAATGAGGACAGTGATCCTAAATCTTTATGACAGCGTTTGCAGTGATGGCTATCCTGTGATATAATGTTGATGACACCCATGAAAGAAAAAAGATGACAAACTAACTTAACTAAGACCTATATTGATGGTAAGGATCTTAATTAAACAAATGGATTTGAAGAAATTTATAAGAGATAAACCAATTGAAAAATGGACTGGTAATGAAATTAATGTCATTTTAATTTACATGAAAGAATATCTACTTTTTCTGAGCATTAAAAACATTAAGTTGAAACTTTAAGTTAGCTTTAGATAATATAAATATCATATAGTTCTTATAAAATATTTATAACATATATATACAACTCATTTTGAAAGAATTCCGCTTTCAAGAAAATGTCATCACCATTTCTAACTCAAAAATATTTTTTTAACAAAGTTAGTTAAACAATTTTGATTGAAAAACGATTTTTTTTCTTAATGGGATCTAAAAATTTATTTATTTTTATTTTTCAAAGATATTGGCTTAATCACTTCAAAATTCAAGTTATCAATAAAGACTTTATTCCAAAGGCTTTATAACCCGGTATCCAACAAAAACTCAAGAAATATTAAAAAACAAATCCTACTCAAGTAAGTAAAGTAAATAATTTCAATTTCATGCAACAGCCATCTTATATCCGTACACTGAGACTACTAATTGACCCAATACGGTATCGTCTATTACCTTTTTTCTTTTTCCAAATTTGAAAAATTTTATTTAGTTGATATTATGCGCCTATTTATCTATTGTTCATTACAAAACTGACGGGTTATCCAAACGAATCCTATCCAATCTTAAAATTAGTTAAATACCATATATTACAATGGGACATGGTATACACATTTTTTTTGGCATACACGCAGGGACCTGGTCTTTGTAGTTTACATTTTAAATCATTACTTATCATTGCTTATTTCACAATTTTGAAAACCATTTCTCAATCCTAAATAAATAAAATTAAAATTGGCTATAAGCTAGGAGTCTCTCTCTCTCTCTCTTTGACATAAGATTGATGTATCATTGACAGATTAAATTCTTACTAAGTTACCATATGTATATCTACATTAAAATCTCAGATATGTAGATAACATAAAAGTATGGTCAGGTCTCTTCCTTAGAAAATGTATGTATATAAGTTTAATTAAAATAAAAGTTGTCTATAAGCTAGGACTATATCTCAGTTTTGACATAAGATTCTATGTCTAAATTCTTGCTGAGATATCAGATATATACTAGGATATCAGATGTATACTAGGATTTCTTTAGAAAATGTATTTATATAACTTATACTTACCTAGAAGAAACTTTACGAAGTAACATTTGCAGATTTTTGTTTTTTAACCAAGCTACCGAACTCAGTCTTAATTCTAAATAATTAAAAAATTATTTTCTTGTCAAATCAGCTTATATTCTGTTTTCTAATGGTCTATACTCGGATTTATTGACGTTACTTGTACTGTAATACCATGTTTCCACTGTATCATTTATGCAGCTTTGCTCATTAAAGCCGCTAATGAGGAAAATTTACTATACAAAGAGCTTTTATTGAAATGAGCTCATTACAAATAAATTATCTGACTTATAACGAAAAAAAAACTTATATTTGTAAACAAAAATGTAAACAAAAAAGCTATTTCACATGCGTAAATCAGCTCATGCCAATAGAAACATCCAAATCTTAATTACTTTAACATAAGAAGTTTTAGCTGCAGTGGAAATATGACGCAAACTTAGAATATTTTTGAAACCTAACAAATTTTGTTACTTTTTTATAGTTTTAATTTATTTATGTTTTATTTTACAGCTTTAACTTACTATATATAACTCACTATATATAGATATGGATATATCTGTATGTTTTATATTATAGCTTAATATAAGTTGATCGTTCTGGTGATGGATAAATCAGGAAAAATTTTATATTTTAAAACTCAAGAAAATACCATAATTCCCATAGACTACTGTCTATTACAGAAATCTCCAACTATTCAAAAATGGATGTACTTTTGGCAAACAGGTATTTTTACAAGAAATTTTATAGCACTACCTGAAATTCCAAATGAGCAATTCTACAAAATAATTAATTGGTTGAAATGTCAAAAAAAAAATGCCTTTATAAAGTTAGAAACTCCACTTAATAAGATTAAAATATCAACTGCAGATTTGAATCTTTTTAAGAATAACACATTGGACGATTATGATTATTCAATTCTAAATGCTATTCAAATCTTGGGCATAAATAGACTTATCTTAATAGCACAAAAAATGTTTATTAAGGAGGCAAATAAAATTGGAGAGAGATGCGATAAAAGAATCGAAATTATGCAGAACACTATTGATTATTTACAAAAGGACTACAATGGTATTTTATCTGATTCTGATAGCAGGGAGAGCAGCACAAGTTCATTTCACACTGCAGTAAATGATTTTTTTCATTAATACATTTTAAAGACATTTATAGTTAAAATTTTTATTTCAGAGTACCGGAAGTTTTTTATAAAAATTACTTAATGTTTAGTTATATTTGCGGTAGAGTTGAGCTCGGAAAATGTCAAAAAGCGCACGCAATAAAAATTCCCTTATATATGCATCATGGATTTTATTTAAATTAAACCCTACTTACCTGCCAAGACTACAGTGTCATACTACCATATTAACATTAACACATAAATCTTGCCACAGTTGTGTTTCTAAGTCAAATATATCACAATTCTGAAATATTCTTCGATTTTAATTATTTTGTTTTCAACAGATTTAAGGTGTGCACAGATTGCTAAGGTATGGTACAGTGTTGTTCGATCTACACTTACTTACTTATTTCGACATAACTCGTTATCTAGTTTCGGCCTGAAGCAGCATGTCTTTCCAGGCGCCTCTGGTGCGTACACGCTTTCTTCAGTTTCGTACATCAAGTCCGTTTAGTGCTCCCTTAACTTGATCATTACACCGGAGACATGGTCTACCTCAAACACCTATTTCGCTGGAGCATCTTCATTGATTCTCACGACATGAACAAGCCAGCGAAGCTGCTTAATATTAATTCGCTGAATTATATAATAAAGCTCGTACAGCTCGTGATTCATTCGTATTCGGAAGTCGTCGCCAACTCATAGAGGACCCAGGATCTTACGAAGAACTTTTCTCTCGAATACTCCCAGTCCACAAAAAAGATGCATTCGAAAAAAAATAGAATTTTTTAAATACAGTCTTTTGTAGTGATGACATTTATTGATAATTATATGCGTCGGTGAAGTCAGAGTATTTTCACTGTTTTTGGTTCAGGTCAGGTGCTCCTCAAGTGTTAGTACAAATAATTGCAGTACATAATAGGAAATGCTAAATGCTATTAGAACGCTGAGGAAGTGAACAAATGATATCGCAAATATTTATTGGCTGGAATTTAGCAATAATTAATAAATAATATAAAAGTAAACTCCAATTTCATCAACGGGCTTGTTTATAAAATCAATTTGCTCTGAGTCTTCATTAAGCTACGGAGCAGTCTAAATTACTTAATAACCTTGTTTAAAATGAATGGTCAAACTACGTTCGGAATTAACAGTGAAGTTCTTTGAAGCGTATAAATCGCGCATATAACGAACACTTAACAGAAAAACACAAATTAATAGACAATTCAAAAACTGAACCTTGGTATATAAAGCTTAAAAAAAATATATATAATCAGAGATAATACCAGGGTAATTCAATATCTAGTAAAATTTTTAACTTATTGAAAACTTTGAAATTAAACTTTGGACACCGTTGGTGATACCTCTGCTACATAAGGTTGTTCGTGGAATGGAAAATTATCAGTATACTTTTCTTTACCGTGTAATGCTTATTCCCACAAATCTCAAAATTATAAGTCCCATCTTTGTAGTTACTTTCTAAAAAATTTGTAAAAGAACCCGCTACGCAGCTATTTACTTTTCGCTTGATAAAATTCGTAGACCAAAAAAAAAATGTTTGAGATGTGAGAAGAGCTAGAAGTCAGAATGTGCTTTAATTCACTGATTTTATTACCAGGCTTTTTTTAAGAATTTTAACATCTAATTGGTTGAATAGATTACCATATTAATCTGAGTTTAAGATTGTATCAGTTTCGAGGTAATCTACCAACAAAGTTCATTTTGTATCCCAAAAAAAAAGAATACAAAACACATTGGCATGGCTTAGAAAAAAAGAATGAATTACTAAAGAGAAAACGATTTTGGATGTTATTATGGAATATTAAAATGGCTTCTGGTTTCAGTAATACTATTAACACTCTGCGAAATTGTTGAAATAATTATATAAACCTAAAATGGGTATATATATATACAGTCAAACATGCATATCTCGAACTTCTATAACTCGAACCAAAAAGAGTCCAACAGGGTTTTAGAGAGCAAATAACATACAATTCTGCTTCGATAATTCAAACTTCTATAACTCAAATTTCTCTATAATTTCTCTATAATTGTCACATGCCAATAGGAACCATTTTGATGTTAGGGGAAACCCTTTTTTTCAAATCAAATGTTTAATATTTTCTTTATATTGCATAGAATTGGCATTTCTTCCGCCGCATATGAACTCTAAATTGAACTGCTTTATAAGGGAGTAATTCAAAATTTAAAGTGTAACTATAGCAACAGAATCGTAAAGGATACACTAAAACATATAGAAATAAATAAAAAAAGGGATATTACACTTATAGATTGCATGCTCCGGATTTTATTGTTTGTTAACTACTCTTTAAGTAATAGACTTTTTTCAAAATTTTTTTTTTTGTTATGTTGCTACAACCTTTCTTGATATATGGTACAAATTTGAGCGCCATCTGTCAATTAGTTTGTTTACAGCAGCTGTTAATGTGAGACTACCTCAAGTGCATTTAGCGATTTTTACTATGGAAAATTGTTGTTGTACGCGATTTTTTGACCAAACACGGCTGTCAGCACCACTGTCATCGCTCAGGCACCAAATTCGCCAGATCTGGATTCGTGCGACTTTTTCCTGTTCCCAAAACTCAAATTACCCCTTCGTAGTGAGCCTTTTGAGTCGATTGAATCGGTAAAAGTGAATTCGTTAAGGAACTAAAAGCCATACCTTCACGGGCATACGAAAAGTGTATGGAAGATTGGGTTAAGCGTTGGCATATGTGTATCGCTTCAGAAGGAGCATATTTTGAAGGAGATAAAATAAATTTGGAATAAAATTCAAATTTGTGTGTTTTATTTACAAAATCCGAGTATAGAAGGTATATTGATGTAAGTAGATAAACTATAGCTTTAAAAAGGCGGGATTTGCCCAATTTTTAACATGGAATGAACAGGACGACATTCCTTTAGTTTTCTTGAATAATATTGCTGAAGACCGTTAAAGTAAATAAAATAACTTTCAATACTACTTTTACCGATTATGTTGAGCTTGACAATGAAATTTGTACTTGAATGAAATTTACAACAGAAAGTGATGATGAGGGTTCGGTGGATGCAATTGTTCATTAGACTTCCAAGAATCAAGTAGAAGACTCATTCAAAATATTTGCAAACGAATGATATAACAACTGATGATCACTATAAGGCTTGGAATAAATTGAAATCTCTTTTTACTGAAAATAGAAAAAAAAAATAAAATCCCAAACCCTAATTTTTGTATATTTTACTTCGCTATTACTTCTATGCTATATTTGACTTCAAATAAGTATATAAATATCTTAAAATGTAATTCTAGTTTGTTTCAAAAATAAAAAGAAATTTATAAATTCTCTAACTCGAAGTCTCCATAAGTCGAACCTTTTTTTTGCAAAATGATACTTCGAGTTATGGCAGTTTGACTGTATATACATATGTATGTACATATATGCAAAAATAAGTAAGCTTTATATGAAATTTTATAACAATAATATTTGTTTCATCGAGAACTTAATATATAATGGTTGAAAATAAAAACTGAAAAGGGAGCAAACTAAAAATGTATGAGCACAAACTTATTCGAAAGAGCAATAATTCCCTCCGCCCGAATTGGTTCATACTTTTTTGTTTCATACATAAACATAGCATTGCCAATATTAAAAACCTTTGTAAGCAGTAAATTAATATATAAGTCTGGGATGTGAGTTAAATATATATTATAAATTACTACTGGCAATATTTTCACCAGTAAAAATTGGTAAGTGTAAAGAAACATTCAAAAACAGCTGATTTATGTAAACATCGGAATTCTTTCTTCATTGAAATTTGCAATAAGTTGAAAATAAATTTAAAGAACTGGAGAAAATGAAAAAAAGGGGTGGCAATAAAATTAATTTGAGAAAAGTAATTCAAAATTTAGTTGAAGTGAACTTTTTTGATAAATTTAATTATATTTTTAGGTACCTAAGAAAAAACACCGCATGGCAGATAGTGAAATATATAATGTAGGAATCAAAAAGGGTATTTATCCCATATTTGGTACAGTATTACAAATAATTTTTTTTTTTAAGGTACATGTATTTCTCGAAAAACTGCAGTCAGTATTTTATATAAAGCCGCGCTGGTTTTATTACGCTGTGATTCTGACACTGAATCCGAAAGCGAAGAAGAAAATGATGATGAATTTTTGTACCACCTGAGTAAATATGATGAGCTAATTGCAATTATTTGCGCACAAGATGAAATTAAGAATCATAAAAACTATATTGAAAATATTCTACAGACTTATACAGAGGAAAAATTTCGATACCGTTTTCGGTTGTCGTCAGAGGTTTTCGCAAGCATTGTAGATATGTTCGGTAAAAGCGACACGTATATAGCCCTACGCGCAGATAAACGCTTAACAGCAAAAACATATGTTGCTGTTTTCTTGTGGTTTGCTGGCGACGATAAATGCAACTTTAGAGTTCTTGCTAATCGTTTTAAACTGTCTATATCTAGTATATCAAGAATAATTGATAGGGTGACCTTCTTTTTGAGTTCTTTGAGTTCAAAAACAATTAGTTGGCCAACTAAACAAAAAAAGATAGAAACAAGTGAATTCTTTAGCGAAATGGGTTTCTCCAAGGCGATTGGTAAGTAAAAATTGTTTTTCTGAAAATATAAATTATTAATGTTAATTTTTTCTTGCCGAGAGTAACGCGTCTTTATGACGAAGAGAAACTATTTAAAAATCAAACGGAATCGAAAAGCAAAGAAAAGACAAGGACAAAAATTTATTTTAATATATTGAAATTTGGCTGACCATAAAACGCTGTTTCGGGTATGGCCAAGTACTTATCATCAGTGGTCTTAGGCAATAATCAAATTTTTTATTTAGTTTATAGTCCATGTATAATTTGTTTGGACTACAAGTGCCAGGCTTTGAGCCAGTGCCTGTCAAATTGGAAGCGGTGACAAATTGTGTTTCTTTCAATGCTCAAGTTCCAGGTTTTTTTGTCACTTTTTTATTTAATTAGTGACACTAACCAAAGCACTTGCCGTACTTTTGATCAGCTAAATTTGATCAAAGCCAAGGATAAATTTTTATTTTTTTATAAATTTTTATCCTTGGCTTTTCTTTGCTTTTCGAATCCGTCTATAAATTATTACGTTCTTATAAAGGTTGTATTGATTGTGCTCGTATCGCTATTGATACACCTGCCGATCGCAAGCATAATTTCATAGACACGGAGGGCCAAAGTACTATATGTGTGCAAGGAATTTGTGATGAGAACAAAAAATTTTTGGATGTGTTTGTAGGATATCCAGGCTCATGCCGTGATAAGTTGGTCTTTCAAAACTCAGTCATCTACAAACAACTGCCAACCAACTGTAAAAGTAAAATATCAAAATATATATACAATAATACTGATTTCAGTAATATCAAAAATGAATTACAGATTTTTACCTGCTAGGGGATTCCGCGTATCCATGTCTTGAAAATTTGATTACTCCATACAATGATAATGAGCGTTTGACAAGGATACAGAAAAAATTTAATATAAAACATAGCTATGCACGTATGTCAATAGACAATGCATTTGGAATGTTGAAACAGCGATTCCGACAATTATATCACTGCAAGTTGAAAGGAACGCAGAAGCTGTGCCATTTTATAATGGCATGTTGTGTATTGCATAACATTGCTGACGAAAATGACCTTCAGTTTGTTTATGAAATAAATTAAGAGGACCCCAAACTCTCTGATGAAACTGGACATATCGCCGAGAGATGCTACTCTAAAACAATAATTGAAAAGGTAAATGTTAGATTTCAGGCGTGCAACGTATACTTATTGCTATTTCGTAATTTGCATCCAATTTCGTGAATTAAATTAAATTTATTAAAAAAAGTGTGGGCACAATAAATTTGTAATTTAATTTTAATTAAAATGTTAAAAATTTAAAACTATTTGAGTTTTTTTTGCTTTTTATCTTATTACCAAATCTGCAATCTTGTACATTCTTTATTTGCGAGTAAGGTGAGAGGTTTTTAACGCCTTTTCAAAACCCTATCTCTTTATTAATAGTTTTCACTGGCAAAAATAAAGGACCATACCTTACAACTATATATGTTATTAAATTATATTATTAAATTATTTTATATTGTATAACAACAGTAGATTTAAAGATATAAAGCATATTCAAATGCCAAATTAAATGTAATTATTATTATGTTCATATCTAATAATAATGACCTGAGGATATCTATAATCAAAATAGACTAGAATTGTTATATTAAATACTCAGTTTTTTATATACATAAAATATGTACTTAATATTCCAAAAAATCAACTGTGAAACAACTATTCCATATGCATACCTACGACCTCCATACCTGTTCATATCTCATTGGTTGACCTGAGGATATCTATAATCAAAATTTTATTGCCAGAATCTTTTGCTTAGTAGTTTACATAGACCAGCATTGTTATATTAAATACTCAGTACATATATATATATATATCAGTATATATATAATATATATATATATATATACTATATATATATATATATATATATAATATATAATATATATATATATATATATAGAGCAATCGTATGTAATGTGGTATAATTCAAAACTTTATACACTGTTTTAGTTTTTGTTCTTCCTTCACTTCGTTACAAACATCTAAGCATACTTTAGATACATTTTTTACACTTAAATAAATGTAAAAATATTTTATGAGTTTTGGATGACATAGCACCTACGGTACTATATTGTAAGAAATATCGCCTTAGTAACATTAGCAATTGAGAACAATGATAAAGTACATTCTAGTTTTATCCTGTCCTCAAATAACAAAACATATTAACTCTTTCAGTATTACGTTCTTAGATTAGGTTCTATACATAAGAAAGAATATATAAATCATGCAACAAATCATGCCTCTTCCAACAGAATAGTATTGAAATTTAACAATTAGAAATAAAAATATAATTAATTTATTTAATTATTCTACAGCTGGTTTATGATTTCGTTCTTATATAAACACAGCTAGCGAATAAAACTTTCACAGCTAATTAACAAAACTCCAGCTTTGGGTCAGTTGATTAAGTAGCGCTGACTCTGAGCTTCAAATTTGGCAGGGTATAAGTTGGTTTCCTGATACTTCCAGTCTCAAAAAATTATTTACGAATAATTGATGATGAATTTTGCAACTTTTATTAAAATTTTTTAATAAGTCTTTAACTAATTCTTATTTCATATTATATCATATCATATTTATTTAGAGGGTTTTTGGTTTGTTTGTATATTCCTTAAATCCAATCATGTTGTTGTTGTCATAACCCACCCTTTGGTGAGTGTTGAACGGTACTTGGACGTCGCTGACGACGAGTGGCTCTGGGAAATAGACCCAACCGTTCCTGGAACCTTAATTTAATAATAACATATGGCAGCATATTATATGTATAAATATCATAAGCAGATGTATACGTGAAATATATTTAAAAAGTATTTAGCAGGGACCGAAAATAACAATTATTTCAAAAATGTTTAAGAAAAAATTTAGCAACAAAAAACTCTTATTTAAGCATATAATTATCATTCTAACAATTTTCATCCTTAATATTATGCATGCTTTATATATATGAACGTTTAAAAATAAAAATAAAAAAATAATTAAATATATAAAAATATCAGGCACGCCATGTGAGTTATATTTTGTGTTCAAAAATAAACGTTATTCCTGATTTTTATATTTTTAAGGCAAAAATAACACCTATTTTTGTGTTATAAAATAAAAATAAAAGACACAATAATTTTTTCTGAAAAATAAAAATGAAAATACAAAATATATTAAAAAATATTAAACAAACGTTTAAAACGTTTAAAAAACATTATTTCTAAAAAATAAGATATGAAACAAATTTAATTATTATTTTTTGAGTTTTATTTTAAAATGCAAAAGATAAAAGTTATTAGTTGATTTTTATGTTTTAATGATAACTGTTACGGTCCCTGAAATCAGTCATTAATATTAACAATAAATAAGTAATTAAAATAAATGGACACAGTTCAACAGTTGGTGTAAATTTATTTAAAAGATATCCAAAATCCATTTTATATATCATATTTTATTATACACAACTTAGAAAGTGGGCTTATATTTATATTTGGAATCGATTCAAAACTGTAACATATTCACAAAGTCATAACAAATAAATTAAGTCAGTGAAAAAACTTGAACTAATCGTATATTAAGATCAATATTGCACAATTGTATAATAATAGAAGCTATATTTTTTAAAATATATAATTGATTACAATATAGATTTTTTAATTAATAAAATTTCTATTCAATAATCTTCAAACAATTTTTTATATCATAAAAAATCACTTTTCAAAACTTTAAGATATTAACAAAATTAATGGAAATCTTAAATTGTGTTATTTAACGATACTAATTTTTATTTTTTATACATTTTTTAATTATTTCTATATTAATTAACACTAATTTAAGCAACTTTTGCGAATCCTTTATACATACTCGTATATAATGTCCCCTACAATATATGCAATTGTTAAAAATTATATATATTTATTATCTTATATCAGCAAATAACAATGTTTGCTTCGAGAAATTGTTCAAAAATTAATCATTTTTTTATATAAGTTAATTTCAAAATTTGATTTACATAACAATTTTTATATTGATCATGATAGCTCACCTATCGGAGCATTTTGCAACCATAAATCATGTATAAAATTGTACAAATTATCGCTGACTGCCACCTGTAATGTTAAAAATTAATAACAAAATTTTAAATATATATATATTTATACTGTGAATCATACCTTGTAAGGGGTAGGATTTAGCGTACGTTTATGATCATTGCGCAGAGTTTTTAATGAAATCTGAACTTTCTCACGCACTTGCTCCAGTGTCGGAAGTTTCTGATATATTTTACCATCTTGCCAGTAAATCTTGTACAATGATTCTACATGCGATGGAATTACGTATGCTCGTTTCGACTCTTGAAACGGATGCCTGCAAAGAACTTTCTGTCCCACTGCTGGTGGCATTTCTGTTACTTTTTGTAAAAGATCAATTAATGCATGACCATCAGCACTATATAATCTATTGTAGAGATAAAAAAATATAACCCGATATAGATATGTTTATATTTGTTATAAGTAATTTGAAACCTGTATGCATTTTTATGTCCAGGCATTGTCACTTTCTCCACATCTTGACTGAGTTTGATACGTGGCTGTCCATTTATCTCTACCAATTTGTAAACGCAACCCAATGCAGGTTGACGTTGACATGTAACTAATAATAGAAAAAAAAAATTAAATTTTTTCCTTTTAAATAATTATAATATAATATAATAAAATAAATATATTACTGTACATAAGCTTCGAAAAAAATTTCGAATCTATCATAACATAGATAGACAATATTAAAAGATATTTATTATAGTTCAAAAGTTTATTTTTTATAAACACATATATTAGCACTCGAGCTGTCTGGAGGTGCAAACAGCAAAATATTCGAACACAATATGATGTTCGCACTTTAGCTGTTATACGTATTTATGTAAACGAAATCAAAACTCAATTAAGTATGTCAGATTTTCTCAGTGTACCCAAAACGTGCTAGTATACATACAAGGTACTTCAACAATAAAATAGACCGCATCTAAGTTAGTTTGTGTGATCCAAAAGCGTGTAAATTGTGGGCTTAGATGTTACTATTGCTTTACCCATCGCTGACCTTTAAAACAATCTTATGAAAGAATGACAAGATACGTATTAAGGGATAGAACAAATTGAGGATATCGGAATGTGTTTCACAGCAACCGGTTGTCAATCGGGACAACTAAATGTCATTCCCTAACAAAAACAGAAAAAAACATATACATTTTAACTTGTGACGGGGTATGTTTTTCAGAATGTCGGGGCTAGACTTTTGAACGGTTTTTTTCACAAAACGCTTTACTTGCATTAACAAATGAAGGGTTAAATGTAAGACGTACGTTGCAAAATTAATTAAATACGGGAAGTGATATATAGTTTAAATACGATTTTTATTTAAAAAATTCTGTTCGAACCCGATAAAGAGAATGCAGCAAGCGTTTCAAAACGCCAAGATAAATTTTACATCAATTTGTTGGCGCGGTGGAACGAAGTCGTTGTAAGAATACCTCTAAGCAATCATAATTCTTCAGAAAGTAAACGCTATAATATATAAATAAATATTAATGGTTCTGTACTAGGAAAATCTTGAAATAATAATATTTTGTTTTTATAAAATTACAAATTTATTGAAATAGATGAGGTAAAATATAAATTTTGGTGTTTACAAAACATTTTTTATTCTACAATGGAATTGCTTTAAATATTAGAAATATTTGTATATAATGTGCAAATGTGCTTTTAATTTTTAGAATAAAATTTTTGGAGTATATAACAGACAATGAAACGCAGTCCAAATTGAATTATTTAGCAATATAACTAAATTTTTACTTTACACATAAATTTTCTACACTAACTTTCGCAGTGCGACCTAACACTCTAAAATTGCTCTCTAACCATATATTTTATTTTTGAACAGCTGTATCATTTTCTAATCGTACCAAATACCAGACATTGCACTGTAGCTTTATTACTCACATTAAATACGGTGTATAATTTCTCGCTGTATCTTACTGACTTAGCTCATATGCGAGCCCAAGTATTTGACGTTCAACACCTATTTAATAGATCATTTGTCAACTTTTCGCTTTATTGCCCGCATCTCGAAAACTGCTTTAGTGTTCGGATACGTCTTACCCATACCCCATTGGGTCGGTAGTGTTTACACACTTATACAACTTTTTTGACTTTATAATGTGGAGGAAGGACAATACAGTAGATAATCAATAATGTCAACGGAAGGGTTTCCAGTAGTTCCAGGTTTAAAAGTTCTATCACTAAGTTAAACAGCAACGGACTGAAAGCTGAGCCATTTACTTCAAAACTTCTCAACACATCCCGAAAAAAGTCTTACTGTGTGAAATGTGTGAAAAACCAGTTTAATCCGGTTGAAAGAAATATCTTAAGCATGGTACTAGTCACTCAAAGCTAAATATAATTCACTTTAATGTTTCAGAGATTATCATATAACACTTTCGTACCTGCAAATCAAAAAATTGATATTACGATGTATACCACGTTAAACGGATGCTTTAAAAAATTGTATGTGTGCAGTAACCGTACAATTTTACTAGTCCAAAGCTTTCATTTTTTATAAAAAATAAATTCTTTTAAACTGCTAATATCCGCTTCGAATAACTTTACTCTCTAATAACATATGTTTAATGCATTCCATGATCAACAGGGTTTTCATTCAATGAACCGGAGAATGTGCGAACAAGTTAGAATATTATAATAACATATTATTAGTACTAGCAGATTATAAACGTTTGTATTTTTTTCTTATTTGGAGTCATACCAACAATATTTTTCACTAAATTTATGGTATAGATAGATTAAGTGCGAATAGACGACTACATATCTATTGCATGCTGGGCCATTAAGACATTGAGGAAAATGAAAAAGAAGTTAAGATTGCTAAAAAAAATTCTGTGTGGCTGGCACTTGAACAAGAAACCGACATACTAAATAAAGTTCTTGAAAATCCACACAACGAAATAGACGAAATTATGATAAGGCGAATAATGGTGAGGTGAAATAAGTAAAAAAACATTATATTTGTACTGATGCTGTTACAGAAGTATTACAAACCTATCATAGGAGGCACAGGAAGTGCAAACAGCTGGAAGAAGATATAACTTTAGAAGTTTTCTTTTGTTTATGTAGACGATTTGGGAACCTTTCTGAACACTCCCTTATTTCGCAAAGTACAAAAAGAGTTTGCAAATCTATTTAAAAATTTTGTTCCTTTTGTACTGTCTTAACTCAATTTCAGTCACAACCATCCCAATTGCACCCCATTCCATGAAATTCCCCCTACTCTCACTCAACCATCACCCATTCACATTCTAACCCATTTATTGGTCGTGTATTTCTATCATATTATCTGCTTTTAAGATCCCTACGAGCTCCAATAACAACAATATATATTGATAACATTAACAAAAACGGGTACCAAAAATACACTCACTATGTTAGATATTACAAATGAGCAAACAAAGTAGTTGGCAACTTCTTCTTAAAAACTAAGCTTTAGTAACATATGGTGTACTAGCAAAATCTGTGCAGTATAACTGACTCTACTAAAATCTATTACCAAATGGACAAAATAGTGACTTAAATAAAAATAAATTAATTAAATTAATTAATGTTTGAAAGTTTTTAATTCAAGAATAATTTTGATATTTTTAGTTTGATTAAATATTTAATAAAATAAAATATGGCTCACCCAAATGAGTACCAATGCCAAAACAGTCAATCTTATGTCCTTGTTCATTTAAGCTCAAAATCGTATCCTCATTGATATCATTGGAGGCAACAATTGTGAGTTTGTTAAACCAGGATACTTTGAACCGTTCTGCGATTTTCTCGAATGTTTCGCGAGCCAAACACGACAAATAGGCCAAGTCTCCAGAATCGATACGTATGCCGACTGCATAAAAGCCAAAGTCATAAAGAGCTAACGCAACCGCGGAAAAATTTAGCAGCCCACTCCTTTATACAAGATTTGGAAATATTGAAAATTATAGCATTATTATACTTAAGTATTAAAATATAGCTTTTTATTAAAAAAATTTATTTATAATTTAAAATAGAAGCAGATATTACAAATTTATAAATGGTTTGATTAAAAAAATTTGTGGCAATTTTCAAATATCTTTTTAAACAATTAAAAGCGTGCAATTTTTATAACTTTTTTGTAGTTTTGTGAGCTCTAGAAGATTTGATATAAAGTGGATTCTTAAGTATTTGAAATCTGATTAAGGCGAGTGTACATTAAAAATGTGTTTTCTCCGAGCTAAACGTTAAATGTAATTGTTATCAAAATAAATTGCTGTTCTCTAAACTATTATTATGATTATTATTATTATTATTATTGTATTTAAATGTTTTGAAAATATTGGTAAAGTATTGCCTTTTTAATACGAAGTTAATATTGAAGCCATGCAGTGTGTTCTCTCGGACCAACGAAAAACCAAAACTTTTAATTTAAACAAAAACACACATATTTAATTTCAATTTTGAATTTAAAACATTCTAATAATACATTCTTGTACATATATAATACTTTTTTGTCGTTCAAATTATTTTTATAATTATTTTTTTTTTTTTGTAATTTAGACAAGGACATTCATCAAATTTTATAACGTATATGCTATTTAGTAATAAAACTGATGATAACTAAATGAACAAAGAAAATAATATTAATTAATTATAGTTACAAAAATTATGTCCTTTTATAATTCTAAGTATAAAAACGGAATGGGTAAAGATACAATTTATTAATGACTTAGTTTTACGTACCTCTGCCAAAATATTGTCGGGAAGTCAATTTGATATATAATATTCATTTGTTAGATAGGTTTTTATTATTGTTGCATTTGTTTTTAAGAAAAAAAAGGTTTAAAAATTAGATAAAACAAAATAAGAGCAAATAAAATATTTAAAAAATTAAATAAAATTCATAATATATGCTCTGTGTTATTAAAAAAAAAAAAACTAAACTATATAAAAAAATTATTTAAGAATTATTAAATAAATTTTAGAACGGGCGAATAAAGTTAATTCAATCATAAGTTTGGTCATACATATCATAGCAATATATATATATATAAATATATATATATATGATAAACTAACATAACAAGCAATTGTCCATACAAGATAATCACAAAATTAGCCAAGACTGATAAAAAAAAAATATTATTATATAAAATATACAATAAAAATAAAAAATATTAATAACAGTTTTAATTAAATAATTGAAGTTAATTAACTTAAAATTGAAATATATATAAATTTATGTTCTTAAAAAAATTTAATAGTAAGTAAATAATTTCTTTTGAACTTAACAAATCTGAGTGAAATTAATTAAATACTTTTTTTTTAATTTAAACCGCTAAATAACATGTTAATATATATTTTTTAAATACACTGATTTAATAAAAAAAAAAAATTTTTATACAGCACTTTTCGCTCAAACCGAACTTTAATGGAGATAAAAATAGTTTTAAGCGACTTGGTTTTAAATTAAGATTTAAATAAGAGAATTCAGGGGAAAGGACCTGGTAGTCCAATTCCTTATTCTTAGTTAACTTTAAAATTAATTTTACTGTTAACTCACAAATAAATAAATAAGAGAAATAATTATTGAAATTAGGTTCGATATAGCCAAAAGCTTGTTTTAAATTAGTTCGTTTTAAGCAAAAAATACTACATACATACATGCATACATTCCTTTTAACGTACGATAAGATCAAGGGGGAAGTATTAAAATAAAAATCTATAATAAATTTAGGAGAGAAACTTGAGGTTCCATATTAAATCTAAATCAGACCCATAACGTTAAAGAAGACTCTATTCAAAACAAAACAAAAACAAAACATATGGGAAAGGATACACATTTTTTGTTTTAATTCAAAAAATAAGTAAATAAATGGATTCTATAAGAAATTTTGATCATTTAAATGGGAGAGTAGATACATTTTCTATTATGGGAGAGTACATCTCCTAATTTTTTGTTTTAATTCAAAAATAGTTGAATTCTACAAGAAGTTTTAATAATTTGAATGAGAAAGTAGATAAATTTTATATTTCAATACACCAAATGAACAATTAAGATCTATGATCATCAATCCTCTTAATGGTCCAACAATGGTGCAGTACGAGAAAAAAATATTAGTAATTAGAATAGAGTAGAAAGAGAATAAATTCAGGAATACTAAAATTCATTTGAAGGATTCTAAAACAAGACGTGTAAATTTTTAATAAATGTTTCATAAATACATGTCAATCATTTTTTAAATAAAATTCAATTACTTAGACATACTTCTTACAGGGACGGTGCTAGACTAACATTGAACGTAAACAACATTAGCTTAGCGAACGAACCCCTTTCATATCTCAAAGTTAGAAAGAAATCTTAAAATGAGCTGATAAATATACAATATGTTTGCTAATCCAATCATGATATATAAGAAAAAAATCCACATTAAAGATAAGAAGTTCGAAAATCGTTACTTTCCAATTTTTAGAGTAACTGAAAACTTATTATTGATATATGACACATTTGCAATTTGCAGTTTCTGTTAGGAGGGTTTCGAATAGTAGTAAATTGCAACAACAAAAAAAAAATTTAGAGTAACTGAAAACTTATTACTGATATATGACACATTTGCGATTTGCAGTTTCTGTTAGGAGGGTTTCGAATAATAGTAAATTGCAATAACAAAAAAAATTTTTTTTTTTATTTATAAAAAAAACTTATTTATTTAAAAAAAAACTTTTTTATTTAAAAAAAAACTTTCCTATTTATAAAAAAAACTTTTTTTATTTATATAAAATTTTTTTTGTCACAATTCAAGACTATTCGAAACCTCTTTAATGAATACAATAGCTCTTATTAAGTAAAATAGTCACTGCCATCATAAGAGACGTTAAAACCAAATTCAATATAGTTTTTGATAGATATACCTATTGTATCTAAAAGTTTTTATGTTATAGTAATCTATAAAAATAGGATATATTTTAATGAATAAATAATAGATTATCCATTTTGTGATATAGATTTGATAGCACAGTTTCCGTAACATGTGTCATCAATCAACCATTTTATAATATACATATATTGTGTGTTGCTAAAATTTTTGCTGATTTAACGCTAGGACGACAGCGTTTGGAGGACGATCGAATTCAGTGATCACACTCATTTTGCATTTGTTGGATATGGGAACAAACAAAATTGTCATATCTGGGACAGTTAAACAGTGAAAATCTGAAAATCAAGTGATTCTCGCAGAAAGTCAATGTATGATTGGTGTTTGTTTTGAAGGTATGAACAAAAGCTGTAATTACAAGATCAAAACAATATACTAAAATTTAATCAAAAAATTTGATCAAAATCTCACTCGCAAGTGTGTTTTATTTACGTTTATTTTCCGAATCCAGAAATGGATAACCTGATTCTTTGCCAAAATAAATGTTGAGATTTCATTTTTTGTAATATTATACTATTTCTTTCGTAATCAGTTTTTTGCATGAAATCATGGATTAACATTATCATATAATCAGAATGAATATCATATTATAATAATAGGTATCGCAATAATAGTAATAAAAGTAGGTAGGTATAATAATAATAGGTAGGTATAATAATAATAGGTATCTTATATAAATTTGATTAAGCAAAATCACATTTCTCCAGTAATTATAATTAAATTTTAATTGATATGTAAAACGTTCTTGCCACTAATTCCTTAGATAAATAACCAGTCTGAACAGATAACAGCGTTACGTGGGAAGGCAATTAAATTATTTTTTTTTATTTACACTCTTAATTGTGTTATGTATTGAGTCAAAGCAATTAAAAAACAGCAAACAACATAGAAACATTGCAATTGAGTGCCTTTTGTAGTGAAAATGTGCCAAAAGTTATTCTTTGCTAGCTTTTATTTCTTGTGTTCTTAGAATATATGTAAATTTTGCTATGTGATTTGATTTTCAGAAATTTAATTTTTCAGAAATCGACTCACGTACTAAACGCTATTATCTATATTATTTAGACAGCAAAGCATGTTAACACAGAAACTGGTATTACAAAAAATGTAACATTAGGACCACAAGGCAGAAAGCTATTGAAATTGCTTAACCCATCACATCAGTATGATACCATTGTCAAGTAAATAGTATATATATTTAGGTTAAGGTAGGTTGTACCGGGATCCAGTAATTCATATTGGGGAAAAAAACAAAACAAATACAAAAAAAAAACTCAGAGTTTTAAAACCACCTCAAACCTTTGGCAGAGCTTAAAATGATATTTAATAGGAGGTCTTGCAGTTGACTAAAATTTTTAAAAACGGACGCCCTTAGAGTAATAACGATATCTCATATCAAACCAATTCTGGCATATCATTGCCAATACGTTTAATAAAACTTTTTCCCGTTTCATTTCATTCGAGTTTATGCTCTATATAGCAAATAATCTATTAGTTTATGTTCTCAGAAATGTTGACTTAATTAGAAATATTATACGAGTAGTGTGTTATCGAAATTCACAAACAATTTTAAAAAGTAAATTGGTCAACATTATTAAAACATGATAGAACAAATATATTAGATCCATATTGAATAGTTCAGATTGAATTCAAAAAATTAAAATAAATGACGAAGAACAGCGATATAGAGGGATACTGTATTACAGATGAGTTTGTCAAAAAAAGAGCTGCCAATTAAACTATTTTAGTAAAAAAAACAAATTAATGTTTTTTAACGACATATAACTAAAGATACAAAAATATATATCTAAAAAAAAGATGAAAGATAAAATCAAAAAATAATATGTACAGGAATTCATCTATCTAAAATAGGATATAGAAAAGTCCCAAAACCTTTTACAATGACATTTCCATTTTTATAGGCATTATCAATGAACGCTGAAGTCGACTGATCTCAAAAATGAATATTGATTACTATGATGAGAAGAAAGAATAAACTATAAAGCACTTTCTCTATTCTCATATACAGCGCATAAAAAAAAGTATGATAACATTTAGTTATATTCAGTTAAAGAATATATCACATATTACTAGTGTTTTAGAATTTGTTAAATTGACGAAATGGTACCACAATGAATAATGTTTTACGGCTCTTATTGGAAGTATGTGGTTTCACAATGGGTCCATTTGTGCTGAATTGATTGGCTATTAATTTAGAAAGTCAAAGACCATGCTAACCAATCCATCTACCTATGCACTATATGGAGTAACGTATAACACATTTTAAAAATAATTGTAAAACATTTGACAATGTATTCGCAAAAGTAAGAATGGTTATGATTAAAAATGGGCACGAATAACCTAATTTAATTAAATCAACTTAATCTATTTATAAAGATGCCTATATATAAAGAAAATTAAACATATTTAGGCGTTTTCTTTTTTAGCTAAATACCGAAATAAACGTAATTATTAAGAATGCACTAAAATTCTTGTAATTGGTTAATTAGAACATGCCTCTATATCATATTAGCTTCCATCTTCAATTTTACGATGTAAATGGAACTTTTGAATTAACACCAAAAAAACAAAAGGTTAAAGGAATATACACAAAATTATATACATACAGTCAAACTTTCATAGCTCGAATTTTTTATAACTCGAACTAACTAGAGTACAACAGGGTTTAGAGAGCAAAGTACATACAATTACAAAAAATTCTTTCACTTAATGAACCTTTTCTTTGCAAAATCCTACTTTAAGTTATGGAAGTTTGACTGTATATTGATTATACATATAGTCATAGTTATATATCAAAACATTAGGGAAAAATTTTTAAGATCAGACTACTATGATTGTAAAACACGTAAAACTGCCTGTAAAAATAAATTAATACAATTTAATATATATTATTCAATATGTTCAAGGTAAGTACGATAAAAATTATATTAAAATATAAATTCATTACATACAGACAATATATACAAGTCATTTCTACGAAATAAAATAATATTTAGGGAACTCGTTTTATATCAAACACCCAATTTTAAGAGTTGATAACAATAAGACAGAGGAAGGAACCTCAAAAGTTGGTAGCTAAGATATAAAAAAAAAGTTGTTGGAAACTTTTAAAAATAAAAATTAATAAAAAAAATAAATAGTGTTTTGTTTTTTTTTTTTTAATTTGAAATTTCAGCCCGGAAAAACACAGTTCAGTTAATAATAGAAAAAAATCGGATATGGAACAGATGTTAATTTGAAAATAAATTAACAAATATTTAAACATAAATCAATATAATTACATTTAAATCAAATGAAAATAAGTTAATGTGTTGAAAATTAAAATTCTTATGAAACATCACCTTTTATGTCATAATCCGCAATTTAAGTTTGTGAGACCAATTTTCTTCCAATTGTGTATCGTACATGTTTGTATTTATAAATATAAACATATTTACTTAAAAATATACAAATTATAAAATTATTAACGAAACAATCACACCACACAATATTAAATTTTAAAGGGTATACATTTATAACAAGAAACAGTCTGTTTTGAGTTTGTTAACACTTTATTACCTTTCACACAGGTAGTTATAATAAAAATATATAATATTCGTCAGTTCGTATTCGATTGCTTATTTGTACGGGCGCTACAAATTTACCCACAATCAGACGGACAGTTATCGGTAAATCGAGTCATATTTTCATAGTGATTAAGAATATATCATTTCTGATTTACAGTAATATTAGGATGTTAAAACAGTAAAAGATATGAAAGGATGTATTATAAATCAATTATTTACTATTTACTTAGCCATATGGCTGCATGTTTAAAAAATCAAATCCAAACTTTTATTTTAGTGTATAATATATACAATACAACATATCACTCAGTAAGTTCCAAGACTGACTACGAATGTATTAAAAGATATTGGTACAAAGTAAAATTTACTTATAAAGAAGGCTACGTAATTCCTATACAACTATGCCATTCCGTTCTCTTATTGTAGAACGGTTTATTATTAGTCGCAAAAAGTTGAGGGAAACCTCACTATACACTATACGATCTCTTTGCATTGTAATAAATGTATTGAATGAGGAGGAACCAATTCCAAAAAGTAATTCATCCTATCATAAACAAAGAGTTATGGCACGTAACATTCTCTTGAATACAAATAAATTTTTTCTCCATCATATAGGACCTTCTTTTTCTAAATCCGCAAAAGTTATCGCATATAATTTTCACTCCTGATGGTTTTTTCTTTCCCATATTATATCGTGCACATCCTAAAATATGGACTTTTTGTTTACTTTGAAAAAGTTTCACTAATTTTTCTTCACTTAAATAACTGACGTTTTAATTGCGCTGTTAAATAGTTGATAATCCATCTGATGGTTTCATCTGTTTACCAATAGATCACATTTGAAAGTACTAGATATCAATGTAAAACACCATATTTATTAGAGATAGACTGCTGCAATAGCATCCGAAAACGTAGACACGTAATTGTTTATCGAAGACTGTAAACGAAGCGCCTCGCTATACACATTATCGAAAGTACTGTTTGCAGTCTGATATCTTTATGTAATATGTCTGATATCTTTATGTAAGTTGTCTTCTCGAACTTTACTCTTAAATCATTTAAAATAAAAAAAAAACCAACGATTTTAGATTTCCAAAGTATTTACAGTTGTCATGTTTATATATAAACATTCAAACTCAGCAAATCACCGACAAATAGTTTGAAAGGATCAGAGTGGTCCTAACACTTAACAGATCATTGTTAATTTGCACTGTATTTTTCGCCAACAAAAAACGTATGAATTTGTTTTTATTTTATACTTTTTAAATATCAAAAGTAGCATAACTTAATTAGCTATAAGTCAACCATTATATGACTAGAAGATTATAAAATTTTTAAATACCGTTTTTGAAGGCTACCACTTTATAAAAATCATATATATAATTTATATGGATGGCGTTGCCTGGTGGTAAGTTTTGGAACTTACTGAATGAACTGAAAATGAACTTCTCATTTTTTGTAGTTATTTTAATGTACGATTTGTTTTCAACAAATGTTTAAGAATATAAAACAATTATTTTTATATATATATAGACTTTGTTAACAAACATAGAGAAAGACAAGCACACCAATTTGTCTCATTGGATTTATCAAGGTATAAAGTTTTTTAAAAAATAGATTATAGTAAGGAGATTTGCAATTTGCGAAATTCGCAAAGATTTATTTTTTGATCAAATGAATTTTAAAATTGACCGTACAGATGTTTTAGATACTACTACATATCCAACACCAGTGGACATGAAATATTTTAATTTGCGTTTACATAAAATTATTTTAAGATTTATTTAAGACTGAAACGCGGGGTGTCACAGCATTTTTCCTCTTGAATTACTAAAATTACGCTCACAATTTTTGAAATATATATATATAAACTTTATGAAAAATGCTCTCTCACAATCCACTACATCACCTTCATTAATGTGTATCAAGTGACACTCATATGAGGCTAATGAGGAAGTATTTCCTCATATAAACCTTATGCAAAATGCTCTCTCACAATCGTTTAAATCAGCGTCATTAATGTGTATCACGTGACACTCATATGAGGCTAATGAGGAAGTATTTCTCCATAAAGCGAGACTTGCAATTTTAAGTGTCATTCAAGAGAGAAAATTCATGACTGACATTCAAAACTGCAAGTGTACAACCAACTTGGTGGTGAGCACAACAATCAGCTTCTCGCCAACATGTTGTGAATGATAGTCTGTCACCCAATAACTTGTATTCCGTTAGTCAATAGCATATTTTTGCGTAGTTACACAAACACACTTACAGCGTGCACAAACACCCTTATTCTTCAAAAATTTTGCTTGAATGACTCACCTTGACTGTGAGCACGTTTAAGTTCGGTCGCCAGAATAAATTTGAGCAAGAGAGAGCGCAACTTGAATGACACTCAAAACTGCAGGTCTGCACCGCACTTAAGATTCGCATCCATTTCAAAAATCGTGAGCATAATATAGATCCTGGTTTAGTGCGTTATAACATATTAACAAATTTCATATATCATTATTCCTAGCGGTGTAAAAGGTATAAACAAAAATAAAAATACTACATATATAATAGTAAATAGAGCAATAAATAGTTATATAATACCAGTATAAGTATTTACAATATTAGATACAAAACAATATGCGGCAGAAATTAAAAACGAGACACACACCAATAGACCAGGTAACGTAAATGTTGTTATGTAAAATGTTGTTAATCTAATTAAATAGTTTGCAAACATTTTTAATAACACATGCACAATAATATCTAATGTTAAACACTTTATAATTTTGATTTCCTCGCAATCATATTTCATGTTGTTTAGTTTTCGTTAGTTTTTCTTTAATAAGAAATAAATGAATGTTGTTTGCTACAATATTTGCCCAGAAGAAAATTACCTGAATGACTTTTCGACATATTTTGGCAGATTCCAAGTAACAAGCGTGTCTGATGCATTACTAGGATTTTTTGGGGAATAAATTAAATTGTGTTTGTTTACTAATGTTGCGGCTGGCGTAACACTTCGTCTCGTTTTCTTAATATTTGAAGCCTTATGATTATTATTTTTAATCGCATTTGACGTCTGAATTTGTACGACCTCATTTATATGTTCAATCAATGATACAAAATCGTTTCCATTGTCTTGAGCAATTTTGATTGCACTGCCATTGCTACAAGTTCGGTTAACATTTGAGTTATACACGCCATTTATTTTACAAAATTTTGATATAAAATTTGGCTTCAAAAGTTCTGGATACGTTGGCTTGGATGTACTGGTACATAACTTGTGTCCATTTTTGCAGGAGCTCGTTGGTGCTACATTATTGCTTATAATCATGTTCGACTTTCGTTTCATTTTATCATTTTGATTATCATTTTCATTTCTGCTGGTAAATATACAGTAATGTTAATGCAAAAAGTTTTTTATTCAATTTAAGATATTTTTATATTTTTATATTTGATTAAAATATTTTTAACTATACAACTGAACACAGTTTTAAAAAGCAGCATGGATTAACATTCAAATGGCAGGACGGAACAGAATTACAAAAATACCATACACTTCGAAAATTACAAATGAATTTCTAAGTAACTAATACTCCTCTTTAACTAACTGTGCAAATTTTTATTCGATTAGAAACAAAAGCTGTACTGGTTTTTATGAATAAATAAATATTTGAAAATACTGAAGAAATTGTAATTAAAATTATAAATATATATGTATAGTTCCGAGAGAATCTGCCTAAAAGCGAAATACCTCTTAACATCATACGTGTCGACTAGGGCCATAAAACCGTCTGGAAAAGCAATGGCGTATGAAACCATTGCAGCTAGTTCGCCTTCACTTGACTCCTCCGTTGATACATCAAGTACGTGAGATAATGCTTGTCGGTGTTTAATCGCATGTTCCAATAAATCTCCAGTTATACCTGTTAAGAAAGATGTTCACATTTTTTCTAAAATGTTACTTAACGAATAAATACCAGTTGTCTTATGCCTAAGAAGTCGTGTTTTTAGCTCACCAATTCCAGAGAAGGACGTTATATAAGCATGTGCATGTGTTCCTTTTACAGGAATGTTAAAAAGCTTACCCGCTAAAACATTTGAGGTGCCATCAAAGCCTCCTAAAAGTTTAAATAAATTTAAAATAAAAATATATAAATATAAAATTAAATTAAAATATTATAATTAAAATATAAAAATATATATAATCAAACTTGTAACGACTATAATAAACAACGACGTCGTCACAACAATAAATTTACTATTATCAATAATTTCCTTGGGTGTAAACTTTATCACTAACAACACTAACCATTTTCCTTTGGGTGTAAACACAAAATTTGTGTTTTTGCTTTATATGCAATGAATTTGAGTTGTGCTACACACCGCAATAACAACAACCGAAGTCCCGTTAGAAGTAATCAGTATAAAAGGCAACGAAAAATCGAACAAACTTCACTTGATCACAGCACTTAGAACAGTGCGCATCGCTACAAGTGCATGGGCTCTTGATCATAGGCTGCGAAGCAGAGCACTTCGCAACTCAAAAAGAAACATTTAACCAGGTAACTAAGTAATTTAGAACACATTGATTCCTAACGTACCTAGTCGGTAACGTTAATTACTTATAAAGAAATTTTCTTGTAACCTTGGAATCCGGCGAGCGAAACCTCGACGGAAACGTTCATTACAAACTTCTATAACACGAAGTACCATTTTACAAAGTGAAGGTTCGACTTATGGATACTTCGAGCTAAAAAATTTTTTTTTGTAATTGTATGTAATTTGCTCTCTTAACCTTGTTGCACTCTATTTAGTTCGAGTTGTAGAAAATTCGATTTATAGAACTTTAAGTTATGAAATTTTGACTGTTATTATTAAATAACTACTTAAAAAATAATATATATATAAATAATATATATATAAATAATATATATATAAATAATATATATATAAATAATATATATATAAATAATATACATATAAATAATATATATATAAATAATAACAACAGTAAATAACTTAACTTTTATATGTTATTCTTATTGACTGTATACACCCGTATAGTGTTTCTCAATCCAAAACATATTGTACACCGAAAAAATATTCAAGGGTTTTTTATAAGGGCTTCAACAATATTTTTTTTTATTATAATTTTCCAGAAAATAATATCATTAAAAGCGAGAATATAGTATTTTACAGAGCGGCTAATGGCGAGGACCAGTACCATTTGAGAACCCTGATCTAGACCAGGAATGTCCAATGAGTAGCACTTTTTTCACATTTGTCTTTGTAATACCTTTTGTTATATGGTTTCTCACAATTACCTGCTTATTGCACTACATATACTAGTACAATTAAATCTATCAAATCTACCATAAGGAATTGAATTGTTTTTTAATGTTCGTTTTGACGAAAAAAACTAAATTCTTAATATAAACTATTGTTTTCAATAGAGAGGTATTTCAAACAGTATTGAATTTCAATCACAATTAAATTACAATGATGATGAGTATTGCCAAATATCCATCATCAGTGGTTTAGAATTATTTCTTGTATTTAATTAATTGTAATTAATTACGTCCCGGGCATACGTCTCGAGATCACTCCTCAATCTAAATGACCAAGTGCCGCTCATTCCACCTAAAGGGATTTTACAAGCAAATTCCTACGGGCTACACCAACAACATTATACTTGTTTGTTTTACAACACTTTCTAAGTATACGTCAGTATTCGGTTGGTTAGATAGATTCAGCGTTTTTAGCAACTCTGCTCTTATTTAGCAGTATCAGACATGTTTTTTTATATACAGTATAGAATTAGACAGTATTTCTTTCCACATATTTCAAAGGTTTATTTTTATAGCACTCTGTTTTCTTCCATTTATTTTATTTTATAAATTGGACTGAGTTCTCGTTGATTGTGAACTTTAAACCATACTGGTAAACTGTTTATCCGTTACAGTTTATCCGGTGCTCCGAAATTTTACCAGTCGCATAGAATACACATGAACGTTTATATACAAATATACATCGTCCGGATGTGATTTATTTTATTCTCTTTTACTTTATATTATATAATAAAATATCTTTAAATTGATTTTATGTTGTTATGATTTCTTTAATGTAATTATAATAAAATAACAGCATATTAATATGCCATTAATATAATATTAATAATATGGAATATATCCCTTATTCCCAGATATCTTAGTCCAATTGATTTCTAAACTCACCCTCTTGAAGTGGCTAAGTTTTTTCGGCTGGACCTGAGCTGATTTCAATTATATTCTTCCTTCTCCCCCCCACCTTTTTTTACCCCAAATGCCACCCACGTCCCAACCCATGTATTCGTCTTGTAATTTTTACATTTTATCTGCTTTTCAGATCCCGGTGGACTACAACAACAACAACTGTCAGTCAAATGGTGGTTCAATGATGGGTCATCATTTTATTCACACATCAGCTTAAACAGAAGAGTTGACATATTCAAATCTGTCTCCCTGATTTTGGAGATACTAACTTCAGAGTGGTAAAACTGTTTCGAAAATTGATTCAATCAAAAGCAAAAATGTGTTGATCTCCATGGAGAATATTTCAGAAAACAATAAAACCACATTACTGATTAACCACTTTGTTTTCATTGTTAGGTGGAAGACCTTAAAGGCAGCCCTCGTATAAGTTCATTACTTTAATTCAGGGTAATTTCAATTATATGAGCAAGAGAATTGTTTTGCCATGTCGTAATCCGAATCGGGTGGGGAAAAAATTCTTTCATATTCCATTACATCATAAGACAATAATTATTGACTATAAAACTAATCAAATGTACAGTATGAAAAACCTTGAAATATACACAACCATTTAACACGAACAAAATAAAGTTTTCAGTGTTTATAACTTAACAAATTTATTGAATATGGTTGCATGCTACCATATCATTAAATCTAAAAGAAATCCAATAGCTATAACATCAAACAAAAACAAAAAAGTATTTTTGCACCACACCGTCTATACGGCTGAATAATTGAAATTGGTGCAAATAAATAAAAGCTATTAACACAGTAAACACCTATGAAGGTAGTGGGAATATATATTCTATTTTAAAAATATTGGCACTAATAGATACAAGTAATGAAATAGGTACATACTCGTATGTTTGAATTTTATTGCCTTTGAAATTCGAATTGAATTACACATATTTAACCTTAGTTATTAATTTATGAATCGCATGATATTAAATAATTTATACAATTAAAAAGAAAAAAAAAGTTTAGTAAACACGATAAGCTAACCTGTATAAGAATATTTGGAAGCTGACAGTCCTCCATCTGGTCCTTGTGCACGACGTAATCCAAATTCGAGCAATTTTACGTGCTTTCCTGCAACCATACGATATCGCGCAGCATTCGTTGCCATTAAACTACATCAATCAAAAAATAACATATATATAAATATAAATATAATCTACATTGTGACCGAAAAGTTTTCGGAAATTCTCATTTAAAATTCGCGCGCTGTATATTTTTCGATATTTTAAGTTTATGTAGTTTGGCAGCACTGTCATTAATTACTATGCAAAAAATGAGCGCGATCTGTCAGACAGTTCGTTTACGGCAGCTGTTGAAACCAGTTCACCTCAGTAGTGCGTTGCGAAAAAAACAATGGAAAAAAATATTGAACAAAGAGTTTGCATCAAATTTTGTTTTTCGAACGAAATTTCGTGTGCAGAATCGTTGCGAATGCTACAAAAGGCTTATGGGGAATCAGTTTTATCGAAAACTCAAGTTTATGAGTGGTACAAAGCCTTTCAGGACTGTCGTACGACCGTCGAAGACATGCCGCGTTCTGGACGACCTTCGACCTCTACCACCGACGAAAACATTGAAAAGGCAAAGGAAATCGTGTTCAAAAATCCTCATGTGAGTGTTAGAGAGATAGCACGAGAGCTAGGCATCGGTCGTGAGATGGCTCGTTTGATTTTGGTGGACAATTTGTGTATGCGACGTGTCAACGCCCGGCTTGTTCCGATTCACCTCAATTTGTTCAACATTATCAACGATTTTAAGGCCAAACATTCAATAAATACCATCGAACAGCCACCGTATTCACCTGATCTTGCACCGTGTGACTTTTTCCTGTTTCCCAACCTCAAATTACCACTCAGAGGAACGCGTTTTGAATCCATAGAAGACGTAAAACAGAATTCGCAGAGGGAACTCAAAGCCATACCGGAAAGCGCCTATAAAAAATGTTTAAACGTTGGCATTTGTGTATCGCTTCTAATGGAGCATATTTTGAAGGAGATAAAATAAATATTGATGAAGATTAAGAATTTTGCGTTTTATTTAAAATTTCCCGAAAACTTTTCGGTCACAATGTATAGTATTTAACAATTCTTGCCTTGCATAATTCACTAATGTCAATAAGGTAGTTTCCAATAATTGTACTATAATCAAAGGCCCCTCAACTTTTATGATAGGTACTCTGTTAAGAATAATAACAAAATCATAAAGCCTAAAATACTAATATAGATTCGTACTAAATGCTTACCTTGGAAACGCCACCGTTCCCTCATCTATTGCATATAAAATTACGTCTCTCGCAGTTAAATTGCCTAAATAATCAAAGAATTCATTTTCTATACCTTCTGGCAAGGTCTGTCGCAAATATTCAATATCTAGTAAAAATTTTTAATTAATTATATAAACATTTTATGAGTTGTGTTATTATATGGTACTTACCACTTTCTGAATAATGAAAACTGTCTAAAAATTTTAAACATTCTTCTAATCCAGCAAATATCGTAAATTCTCCATGAAACGGGTTGTTTCTAAAAAATAAATCAAACACTGCTTGATCATCGGTTTTGCCAGATTTCCAATAAGCGTAAGCCATTGTTATTTGATAGAGATCTGTTAAATAAAACCAAATTTAAATTTAATTTAATTTAATTTGTTGTATAATTTATTATTAGTAATTAAGTGATCGTTCATTGGTGGAAATATTAACATTTGAAGAGACCGTCCCAAGATGATGGACATCGTAAATATCTTCTCTAAAAAATTCAATTTTTTTAGCAAAATAAAGTAGATAGAACTAGAAAGGTCAATAAAATCATACTAAAAAGGTAGCAATCTATTTAGTACATACGCTTAATTAGTTGTAGAACAAAACAAATCTCAGTTAAAACGACATCTTCGAAATAAAACGAAAGAAAGTACAATTTATCCATGAACGGAAGCTCAAAAATAAAAAACACTAATATGAAACTATTTCAAAATATTGGTGGACAGTGTTTGGAGTGTTTTACTTATTTTCCATAGATATGGGAAAATCTCACCTAAAACCAGGAATCTACATAAGTGTTTGGTTCTCATAATGTCATCATATCTCTAAATTATTTCCTATGGGCATATATATATTCACTAAACTACTCAGAAAATTTAAAAACATTACACCACTTAGAAGTCAGTATTCGCAGAGTTACTGCCGACAAACGGCTTGAACTTTCCGAGTAGATGTTTTGAGTAAGTGACGATGTGTTGAGGGCATGGGTTTGTATCCAACGAGGTGGATATAGGCCTGTGGTGGTGACAAACTTCAGTTTCCGAGTTAACGGTTGAACCCCTGGACCACAAATTAAAAACACAATGCGTGAGGATAACGAAGCTTCAGTTTGCTATTTGATGATTGAAGACCTGGACACCAAAATAAAAACAAAATACTTGATGTATTTTGTTCGAACCTCTTACGGCACACATATGCCCGAAATCATATTCGAACATTAGTCGTATACAATATTCTATTCTTAAATAAAAATCAAATCTTTAAAAATCACAAGTTTAGTTCTTGAGAGCACAAAAAAACAAAACGCACATAGTTTGCCATATAATGTAATTATTTTACCTTGGAAAATACGTCCGTGCACGCAACGACAAATGAGTTGAAAAGTATAGTATTCAATTGCATAATACATGCAGTACATTGTATTACCATGAATTGATACATATAACCCAATAAGTAGTTTGATAGTATTGATTTAGCTACCTAACTATCCAGCAGTAAAATAATAAAGGTGTCATCACAACACTTACGTAACGTAATTCATACGTAAGCAAAATAAAACAAGGACTTTTCGAAATAAATGATTTGTAGGTATAAGTAATGTAAATACTTTCATAACATTTTAAACTGCACTTTGAATCTAAAGAGTACCTTAGAATCTATATATATTTATCGGTGGACCTTCTTAGAGATCCGAATTTGTCGAGCTCGTTAAGAAGATTATATTATGTTGTTCAAAAAGTAATTTTATTTTTTCTAACGGATGATTTCAATGAGGAGGAGGTGACCGCAAACTCCTGAGAATAAGTACACAATGCAACATGTCTGATTGCATTTAACCTAGCAAGCGTCAGCGCAATCCTTGTCGGCCACAATCCAAGATATCTCACAGCGCTTACTTGGCATTCTTGGATAGTTACTTGACACCCGCTGGGTAATCAACTACAGTGACCCCTATACCCAGAACTTTAAGATTATGTTTTACAAAGTTTTTTACCCGTCATGTAAAACCAGCCGTTAGTGAAGGGTGTCTGTAACCCGATAACGGCTTGTTATGGGCCGTTAAGTAAGTAAATAAGGATTTCAATGTGACGTTCTTTTATTTGATAAATGATATAACAAGGTTTATTGGCCAAAAAATGTGTATTGATAAAGCACTGAAGCCAAAAATATTTGCCAAATTTTTTTCCGGAAATTTTGATATTAAAATTACGTCACGGGGTAAAAGGCCACTTGAAGCTGATAAAAACGTAATAAAGATATTGATTGATGCAATCAACTGAATAACAACTCGTATTATCGCTAAGAGATTAAATTAATGGAATTAGACTAATGATCCTAAGAAATGTGTCAGATTAATTATAAAACTCGAAATATGCTCTGTCACATAAACGTCTGTGATTTGCTTCTCAAACATTAAAAAAATTATAATGTTTTGAGATGAATAATGACTGGAGACTGCATGAGATTATGGAGTAGAAAAGATGAACTGGCTTAACGCACTTTAATGATTTATTTTTTATCAAGAAAAACTGATACATTCTGTTTTATAAATTTTCAATGGAATAAGTTGATTTGGAGCTTTTACTAGACAATACTGAAATAGTATCCTAGTATCCGTTAAAGCGCAAAATTTAAAAATATCTTAAAACATATATGCAAATATGGCACCTTAAAACAAATAGATTATTCAATTTTAATCAAAATAGTATTTACTTATAAGATATTATGATGTTTGTCAAAATTGTTATTATTTTTTACAAATAAGATAAGATTAAAAAAGTCAAATATAAAATAAACTAATGATTCTTAAGATAAACAATTTATCAACAATTAACTCAAAGATGATTTCCTAAAACATATATAAATCATCATTTTATCTTGAGTCACCAGTCTATTAATTCGCTCACACTAATGTTAATTAAGCATCATATGATAAGATAAACAAGCGAAATTCACTGCCTTGACAATGAATTTATACAAAAAATGGTAATTACAAGAACAGTTGAAAACAAAATACCTTAGAAGATTATTATAGCCTATTCACACGACAATTATTCATCTAGATCGCAAAAACTGGATTAATAGTATGGAAGAATCATTCGAATCATAATATTTAACAGAGATCAGGATATCGAAACAAAATATAAGCATAACAAATCTATCTATAAATGTTATTTGTTATGAAATTAATAATATTTTTGTAATAATTGTTATTATACAGTATAGGCGTATATGATTCCAGACGATTACCTAGTACAAGGTATAAGCAAAGTTTCAATATTTGTTTAAAGCTATTAATCTGTTAATTCATTCATTAAATTAAAAAAATAGTGCATGAAACATATTATTATTACTTATCGAGTAAGCAAAACTGTTATAGAAGAACTTTGTACATTTGAACAACAACAACAAAACTATTTATACCGATTAAAGTCTGAAAGATAAAATTAATGTAACTATATTTGCTATTATACGGACTATATTAAAAAACAGAAAAATTTCTTGCTATGATAGGAACCATAGGAAAGCCTCGTCAATATCTGAAATTCTCAAATCTGAAATTATCTTGAATTATATGCTTACTTAGAAGTGTATTTAATTTATTATCTCAAAATTTATATAATTTTTTTTTATTTATTTTTTATAAGTTGATTCGAATTTATCACGTTGATCTATCACGCAGAGTTTTTCTGCAATGGATATCAAAAGTATGCAACTTTTACTAATACGGATATTTGAGTATATTAAAGATATTCTAAAAACTTTAACAAATAATTTTTTTTATTTTCTTCAATGTTGCAAACTTAATTCATTTATAGTAACCCAAACAGTTTATTTATTTATATCGTTATAACATGTAATAATTTTTTATTGTTTTAAATAAATGAAAACAAGTGACAAATATACTATATATTAGAATTAACATACATACACTTACAGACGAAAAAAATGTAGTCGGATAGATAAAAGTGATAAATAGTTAGTCTTATTGGTGCGATTAAGCAAAAAAGTCGCGAATAAAGCTCTCAACTGATCTTTCTCCCAAAATAATACAATACTATATCATAACTTGTTAGTTACAAAAGCTAAATTGCATAAATTACTCCACACTTCTTTAATTTACTTTTAAATTCAAGTATTCTTTTATTTCAAACTCATTCGTTTGCTTGCTATTCACAAAATAGCAAAAATAACAAAAACAAAATGACTAATAGGTAGTAATATAGCAGTGCTATTAGAGAACCTACTACGGAGTAATTTTCATAACAAAAAAAATATAAAAAATTTTGTTAAACGAAAACAACAAAAGTATTATATTAAAATTTTATCCTTCCTACAGTTCATTTTTTTCTTTCTTGGCGTTTCTTACAACCAGATAGATCCAGAATCGATAATACGATTCTACAACTCTATTTATTAAATATAGACTTTTTTATTAAACTATAAAAATATAGTTTTTATAGTAGTATATATAAACTATGTATATACGATAAGGCAGACCTGCAATGATCAAAAGGACTCTACAACTCTACTTATTAAATATATCTCTAATAAGTTTCAATAAGAGCTCGGAGGTCTCTACGTATGTAGCTTATCCAGGCGAACTAGCACAACCAACGAACCTACCCACCACTAACCTACTAACATTAACATTAACAAAATAATTTAATTTTATTTTTGCTTTTTTTTCTGAAGCATCAAATTGTATATAACCCCTATACTTATATACGATGAGCACAGAAAAAATATTTAATGCTTATCACATCTTATGAGTGGGCGTAACAGAGCTCACTAAATCAAGTCATTAGCAGTAGTCGAAGAAAATTATAAAAAGAAACCAACACAACAAGCATATCAACTCTGCACTCCAACAAGGATATAGTGACATATCCGCTCCGCTGCTTGCTACACTTAGCTACGCTGGCGGTTAGTATGCATTGTTCAATATGTATTTTATAACAGTGTGCAGTGTGCACCGAGCCTAAATGTCTAACCTATTCAAATATCATTCGCAAATGATTCAATCCGCATATTCATAATTTATTTCAATCTTTCCATCTAAATTTATATATCTTTATGTTTAAAATCTATATAAATACAGAACAAATGTTATGAAATCTGGTTACAGATGAATTAATCAACTGAAGTGACTATATTCAACTAAATATATTATAAAAATTATTTATAAATAAGCTTATAATCACACATTGCAATTTAATTTTACTTAAATATGTAATTTCAGGCAGAAAAGTTGAGGAAGAAACAATATTTATAATGATTTTTAATTTTTTTCCAAAAAGTATAAAGTTCTACTGGCTATGGTAAGAGTTTCCTGCCAAGACTTGTGTTTACGTTTGTAGTCAATTATGGCGGTATAATTGAAATAGATTCAAATATGTACATTTCTGTTAATGAATTTTCTAAACACTAAAAATGAGATTTAATCATTAAACTCTTGATGACATAAATTTTCTACAAAATCAATGTTTTAATTCATAAGATAGCAAAATTTTTTGAAAAATCCAAGTCATGATCACCTAAGTAGTTATTTGCTTTATGTGCTGCCTTTAAGTGTAAGATAATAAATAAAAAGAATTCATTATAGAGTATGATCAGAAAGTAATTTAATATTATTTATTAGCATTTAATTATTTACATACAACAAGTGCACAAGACGAATATACAACCGTTTGCATTTGATTATTTCGTAACTCCTTGTTTATAAATAGAACTAGGGATGGTCGTAATTAGAAACGGTTCGAATACTAATGAATAAATGACTTCAAAGAACCAAATGAATGACTTAATATTTATACTCACCAGTCAATAAAGGTTGCACAACACCATTTTGATTCATCCGCCCGCGGTCCATAAACTGCCCAGCTGAATTACAACTTAATTCACGGTCACTCATGCTGATTTAATTATTTATAAATGCACTGCGGTTGCGTTTTTCTCACTGAAAATTGTCTGGAAATGATTCTGTTTCTCTGTAGCTGAGATTGAAGTTCAGTGCTTTTTTCTTATCTTACTTCATGTGTTGGCGGTGATACCGATATTGTTTTTATTGCTAATTTTTTTTATTTAATAGTTTTTTAATTACTTAACGTTTGAAACTACTACCGACATTTAAAAATTATCTTCAACTTCTAAATTAGTTAAGCTCATAAATCTATTTTTAAATTTAAAGTTCATAGCAATTACTCCAATTAATATTTACGATTTTTTTGTTACTAATAGTATTTATCACTGTACCAGCATAAAGGCATATATATCTGTAATATATTTATTAAATTTATTAATTTAAAAGTTGTTCCAAAATTTTAATGAGTTGTTTTTTTTTTTTTTTTTTTTGAATTGACAAACTCGATGTTCACACAATCATAACCTCTAAGCTCAATTAACAATCAGTCACTAAACGTATGCAACATATATGGTTTGAAAAGTAATTATGACAAATGCTAATCGCTCAAAAACCATTCAAAAAAGTAGACTTGCAAGTGAAAAATTTTTATAATTGATAAAACCGTCAGCATTGGCGTAGGCCGAGCACATTATGCTCTCACAAGTGATTAAACAATTAAACAAAATTACTCATCGCAAGTATTTTAAAGTCATTGCCCATAATACGTCATATCTGTCTAAACATATAACAGTGTTGGATGCGTGCGTACGACTTACTGTGTAAACAGATAATAGCGTTAAATGCTTGCGTTTTTTCCGCTCTTTGTCTTTATTTGCTCTCTTTATTCTATCAATTATTCTAGTCGAAGCACTTAGTACCCACTTTTAAGTGCTTTGGTTTTCCAAAAAGAGCAAATTCAATTTCGCTCTTGGATTATGTCAAACATAATTTTGCTATGCGATTTTATAATTGTGTATAAAATCGCTCGTTCGCTCACCCGCAAGCACGCACCCAATGCTGTTGTCTCTTTAAGCAATTAGAATAACAAAATATACAGAAATTCGAAAACAAAATCGCATAAGAAAATTAAAACATGATCGAAGAACAAAAAATTGAGAACTAGAGAAGAAAAATACTCTTTCACACTTTTACTGAGAGCACAAAAAATAAAAAAAAAGGTCTGTTCCACGAGCTACTCGTGAATAACGTTAAGTAACAGTGTGTAAATGGGAAATGGAAGCATCTGAGAGAGCGTAACATCCCTGTCGAAATTTGAAAATGCTGCACAGTCTTTACTCGTACATTTTATTTGGAATAAAATTTGTGTTGATGTGTGAATCAGCTGTTTTGGTTTGAATTTAAATTTTTGTATTGTTTATTTGCGCGGTCCTGGCGCTCTCACCAGACTTTACACAAAGCTGTGCCATGAAAATTTGTATAAAGAGCGTAATTTGGCACTTTATTTGTGTTATGCTCTCAGTTTGTACTTTACTTGTGTTTTACTCGATTTTTACTATGAGTAGCTGGTGGAACAGAACTAATATTTCTAAGTAAAATGCTATTTTAAGGGCTTTAATTCAAATAAAGTTTATCAAAGAAAGATTCTGTATAATGAAAAAGAGCAAATTTTATATAAAAGCTGCACTATACACAGCGATGTTATAGTAAATTTCAGCAAAAAGGAAGAAGTGATGTAACGATGAAACACATTCTTATATTAGGGATATTCACGAGTTCGAGTAACGAGTTCGGTAAAAGAGTAACGTATTAAAAATACAAAGCAGCAACAACAGAATACATGTCGAGTACTGAGATGCAACGTTACTACGTTAATCAAGCCTTTACTTTGACCAATATTTACGTTTCACTTTTACTATGTTTTCAATGGTATATATATAAGAAATAGAGTTGAGGTTGCTGGGTCTGGGTCTAACAAAATGGGTCTGTCCGAGGAGATAGATTGTCGACTCTGTTTAGAAGCAGACGAGACTTCCAGTCACATTCTCTGCGACTGCCCAGCCTTCATCTGTGCCAGGAGAACTACTCTCCCCTTCTGACATTAGGAGGAAATCAGTTGATTAATTTATAATGAATTGAATTTATTTATATGTACGCTCTTTATATGATAAATTGAGCAAAACTGCCTAAATGGGCAAAATGGAAAAATGCAATAAAACCGATTTTCAACTATTTTTGCATATGTAATTTGTCATTGCTCAGCGGTATTTTTTAATGAAATAAACTTTATTTGTTTAGGTATTTGTTTTAGTATATTGAATATATAAGAAGAAGAACTAATGAACTCTATCGTAATCTACAAGTGCTATGTTACTAAAAAATGTGTAAAGTTTTATGTTTGGATATTCAAATTAAAGTTTATTACAATATTACAAAAATGGGCTGGAATGGGTTACTACTAATTGCAATGAAATAAATTGCTATTAGGCAATAACATAGGGAATTCCTAACTGATTTCTATAGTAAGAAACCTATTCAATTCCTTTTGAAATCAATGGGGTTAACTTTGCCTATTTTAAGCATAAATTTAAAAAAAATGTGTAATAATGTAAATGTATTCCCGTAGATAATTCAAGTAAAAATCTAATAAATTTAAAAATAGAAATAAACAATTTCGCTTTTAAAAAACGCAAAGTACTGTATTTTTGTTTATTTGAATTTTTGTTATTGTAGTTCACTACTTTTCGAAACCTCTCTATTAAATAGAACAATTTCTATTAAGTAAAATAGTGTCTACCGTTACATCTAATATTAAAATCAAATTTAATTAACATATTTTAATATCTAACTTTATTATAATTATGGATTTTATATATTATATGTTATATATATATATATTTTCCGCAACAGTATGTGTAAATTATTCCATATATTATTAACAGAATAATAACTGATCAGCAGTTTTTTAATCTGATTTGAATTTTATTTGAACAAATTTATTAAATAAAATTATAAAGTTTCTACAGAACAAAATATTAGTTCCCTCTGACTAAAAACTCTCTTCACTAGTTTTTAGATTTAGTAACACAAAATAGCACTAAGAAGAACGGTCCTATGCTCACTAGGGGAAACGGACACTAAGAAGAAGACAAAACAGCAAAATTTAAGCAACTTTTCGCTTAATATTTGCTATAAATACGTACAGAAATAAAAATAATATAAATCTATTCTCGTACTGCTGTATATATATATATATATATATATATAGACTTGATAATTTAAAAAAAAAAAAACAATTATTGATCGAAATTACTTTAAAAATAACTGATCAGCTAATATTGTTTGCATATTATTATTCAAATAAAACGTTTTTGCCATTTAGAAAATATAGATATAAATTTATTTAGAAGATTAGCAAATTGTTAGTTAATACATGTGATAAAAACCTGCTTAGTATCGTAAATTTTGTTCCATACATCAGAGCAACATTACAATTACAATTTAATATAACCGCAAAACTATGATCTACGATATTACTACATTTAGTTGTATATTAAGTTTTAAATCTAAGAATATATACATATATCATTTGCGACGTCCTATAACAGCATATCTGTGAACCCCTCTTGTATTTTGTTGTTTTATGCTATTGTCTATATTGATTATAAAAATGGAATGGAAGCGGCAACTATATACTTTCGCTTCTAATAGCTAAAAATCAATAGAAAAGAAACTCAAAGAAAAAAGACACAACTGTGGGACAGATGCATTAAATTCCAAAGAATATAGCAAAGATACCGAGCGATAATTGGTATCAATAGGTTTTGGGCAGTCCAACGGTTTATTCGTTTTGATTATCCAAATACACTTAACACAAAAGCGCAGATTGACAAAGCAACGGCAATTCTTGATATATAAATAATTCTTAATGCTAATTTATTGCTAATTATCAGCCCAACGAGAACCAGACAGCTACTGAACAACTTTTTCCTAGTCGCGGTAAGACGACGTTCACAACAAACATTTGATCGAACCTAGCAAAATATAATATTGAAATGTACTCAATCTGCGATAAAACGAATTAATATTAACTTCAAGGATAATGGTTTACAGACCTAGCAAAAACGAAGAATTATTACAGAATTTGTGATTTCTTTAGTAAGTATCTACTGCAATGGGTTTTTATGATTGTGTCACCATTATATCAAAATAAAGCGTATACATGGATACTTTAATTTGCGGTAATTTTGTAATACGGTAATTTTGTAATACGGTAATTTTGCTAATGAATAACAATGCTTTGCCATTGCTATCTTTTATGCATAATGAAATACTATGTAGCTAAAAATGATATCAAGCTCGAAATTGTAGCAATTTCTAAAGATGCATCCACACCAAAGCGAACGTTGGCAAACCAACGAACTTTTACAGGCACGATTACCTGCGAATTTGCTTTGGTGTGGATGCACTTTAATAGATACGAGGGGAGACAATAATTGGCAATACCAGAAAAGACAATAAAGTATATAAACAGAATAAATAAGATTTAAATATATTAAAGATTTTAATATGCAAACTAAAACTTATATACTTAGTTTAAAAACATCAAAAAACAGTTTGATATGCAATCTGATGCTATAAGATTAACATATAATGAATTTATCCTTAATGTAAAGTTGGTTCCGAAAAGAACATAATGCGAAGCTAGATTATGCTTAACTACAATGAGCATTCTACAAGTCATGGAGTGAATCATACATAATCATACATATGCCTTACAATGTTCACCCAGGAATTACATCATAAACACAAATGAAAAGGCAAACCACATTTTGTGTCTCTAACCACCATAAGAACCTATTCATCACCTAATTAAATACTTACTCTAAATACGTGAATAACTTTCTTACGCAACTATAATATATAACTTAGTTCTGACAACGATTGTGTGAAGTTTTAATAAAAGCTATATTTTATGTATAAAATAATGATTATAAACATATAATCACGCTCTCAACTTTAAAAATTTTGAAATATACAAGGTACTTAAGAATCAGCGTTTTCACGCTATCTGAGAGAAATGTATGCCTACAGTCAGAACGAACGACTCTATGCCAACTATAAGTCCGAAAATAGCACTATAAGTTATGCGCAAAATATCAACCGCAATTAAAACAACCTAACATTTTTTAAAATTACTTAGAAATCATTACATAGTTAGTACTGATTTGAATGCAAAAAAAAAGTATTCTAAAAACTCTGAGATATTACAAGGGAATTCGAGTCGCTTTAAAAATACTGAATAAAAACCTACTGCGGTTAACAATGGAAGATTAAATTTATTTCACTTCAACTGTTTATCCAGAAAAGAAAACTATGCAAAATATAGAAACAATATTTCAATAAGAAACAAAAACTCATCCTATCTATACCTATACAGAACTAGTAGTTAAAATTGAAAAGGTTTTTGCTCATAGCAACAAAATAAATAAACTGTTCACCCTACAAAACAACTTAAGTAATCCAATAATCCATAATCCATAAACCATAAACCACCCATTACAACACAAATAAGCACCTGAGCAAGGACGAGGCAAGGAAAGAAGCTAATACTAAGGACATAATTACGAAGAGGCGCCCAATTATATGAAATTTTGCACCAGTGTTACGATAGATTATGACTTTTTCATTTTTTTTAAAAGCTGTTACAGTTTTTTCAAAGTTTTAATCAAATATATAAGAAAACATAAATTTATGTTTAAATAAGAGCACTTAAATCCAACGTTTAACCAAAAGAGATAACTTATCTTTGCAATTTTCAAACATTGTTGTTACAAATAAATCAATTATTACTAATTAAGATACTTCTTTTCAGCTATATTACATTATGCAGAATTTAAAATATTCTGTCCATATTCTCCTTTGGTAAACTCTATACTTATACCTTGTAATGAAAAAAGAACGAGAATTTTAATTTTTGTATTCCCGCGCTTATCCAATCGGTACATTTTTTTTTATATTAACGCTGGCAACACTATTATACATATTCTGTCAAAGTTTAACGCATATCGTACGATTAGTTTTTGGAAAACTCATGGATTTTACACCAGGATAACGTACCGGCTCACACAGCGTTGGTTGTGTCGCAGTGTTTGGCCAAAAACTCCACCAATAGCGTCAACCAAGCACCGTACTCTCCAGATATGACCCCGTGTGACTTTTTTCTCTTCCCCCGACTTAAATTGCTATTGCAAGGAAAACGTTTTCACGCAGCGAAAAAAAAATTCGCTGCGTGAACTAAAGGCCATACCTTCGGCGGCCTATAAAACTTGTATGGTAATTGGATCAAGCAGTGGCATACATGTATTGCCGCAGGAGGAGAGTACTTTGAAAGCGACAATAAAGAAAATTATTAAAAATTAAAATTTTGCGTGTTTTTTCAACTTCTCGTTCTTTTTTGAACAAATGGTATATATAAATAACACAAAATTAAAAATTCCGACCTAAAACTCCTTATATAACATATTATTAAACTAACTAGTATAATTCTAGTATTTAATTACTCGTAAATAATATTTTTGAGACTGCAAATACCAGGAATAGAAATCATGTCCTGCCAAGTTTTTTTAAAATTAATACATAAACATTCTTTCTTTAATTTTTTGGCGTAAATATTGAATATTACTGGAGTCTTAACATTTATAACAGTTTTTTTTAAATTAATACAAAAACACTCTTCCTTTAATTTTTTGGAGTAAGTAATATTTTGGAGAATTTTATTAAACAAATTATTTGCAATGAGAATTTAACATTTCAGAGCAAAATACAATGTTTGCGTTTTTACGTCAAATACGTTCTTTTGTGATCCTCTCACTTCAGAGCTAAATACACGCATTGTAATTTAAGCAGTTGCAATAAATGCGTTGCGAGCCAGAGAAAACGCAAGCAAACGCAAAAGGTCACCAAACTCCAAATTTTCTTTGCGCTTTTTGCGTGCAAAATTTTGTGTGACTAAAATTAAAACAACGAAAATATGTGTTAATTTGAATGAATTAAGAATATTTAATTTATTTATAGAATTTTGTAGAATTATAAAATAGAATTAATTTTAAAAAGAAAATATATGTAAAGAAAATTAATAATTCTTAATTATTATTGTTAATTTCACAATATTTTGTTATTTAAGTTTAAACTTAAAACATTTTTTTAACACAATATACAAAAATGTAAAAACGTAAAAACGCATTCATTGTAACTTGTTTTTCTCATTTTCCAAATGAAAATGCAAAACTTAGAAAATCAACATTTTTGCGTAAAACGTAAGTACGCAAAAACGTAATCATTGCACTTTGCTCTTTAAAAACAACAAAAACAAGCATTCAAACGTTGCTCAACACAAAAAATATGATAATATAAATATAAAAAGTTCAGTATTTATAGTTTATAGAGGATTTATAGTTTAAAGAAATACGCCAGTCACAATAAATAATTTGAATATTAATTAATAAATTAAAAATAATTTACGACTTTAATAAATTTATTAAAGTAAAGTTTTCGGAAGAATAAAAATTGGTTTTTTATGTATAATCTGAGGATCGCTTCACATTCACCACAAATTCAAATAATTAATTGTATGGGACGGCAAGGATATGCAAATATTTTTTTTTTTTTTTTTGTGGTACTAGCGCTAGCATGCATTTTCTAGGCAAAAGTGCATGAATGACAAGTGCGTTACGAAATTAAAATTAATATTTTGTAAATAGATTTCGTTAAGCCGCAAAATTTAATATATTTCAAATTCATTCTTTTTCATCTAATCATCTAGAGTTTGGCTTTAAGCGCAAGTCATTTACTTATAATTGAGATTTTTTTATCACTTTTAATTATAAATTTATTTTATGCACAAAAAAGCAATTAACTTAAATTATATCTTTCAAGTACTGATGTCATTTTACTTTTTTTTCTTTATATACTTTCATTATATTAACGTTGTAATTTCGAAAGAATATTCTAACTTTTGTATTAAAATATTTCCGAATCAAGTTCAACAACACTTAACTTATATTGATATCTAAAATTTTTTAGTACAAAAAAAAAATTTAACAACAAATAATATGGAACAGGCAAATCAGCTGTTGATTTGTTGTCACGGCACTTGAAAAAAAATTATTAACTAAACCTGATTATATTTGATTCACTGAATGAATGATTAAACTTCACTTAAAGAATCCAGCATAGTGACTGTGTTTATAACTTGCCGTTGCCGTATTTTTATTCGAGCTTCGATTAAACTATTAGTAACTTCATTTGGCGCGTTATTTATTTTTGGTTACTAAGATACCAAACACTGTATATTGTTTTTAATTTCATTTACTTTTAATATTGATTACACATGTGAGCCTGATGGTGAAGGTTGTGTGAAGGTCGGAGTCCACTACCATTCGTGTTCATTGCTTAGAGCATATGGAACTAACACGTGCACATCCGCCGCAACCGCTTATAGTATTAAATTCTTTTGGCCAAAGAAATATAGCTATATGAGTCGACTAGTATAAGCAAACACTTTTTTAATATATAAGTAAGGATTGTTACAAATGGCAATATCAAGTTTAAAAACTAACAAATTTAAAATATATTTGTAAAGTGCACACTTTTGTTGTTTTAATTTTAAGTTTTATTGATATTGTTAATATCACGTATTTATCTTGATTCTAATTCAGATTTCATCAGCTCATTGCAGTTTTCCGCATATCTTAACCGCCACCGATGCTCTAAGTAGCAGCAAATAATCACCAATTTATGATAACAACAATGTTGCCAGATTGCGTCATTTAAAAACTGACAATAAAAAATCGATAAGGTAGTTCAAATGCCTAACTTTTAATTCATCATATGCACGTACATGACTGAAATCATTTTCCATATGTATGTAAAAGTATTATTTAAAATTCTTTCAAAACATTTATTAAATTTTCTCTGAATAAATTGTTTACAAAATGTACATTTCAAATGTTCTACAAATCTTGTACAACACGAACATTGCTTCTAAGAAAGATACATACACAATAATACGCGGCTAGAATTAAAAATGACCTCCTACTTCCTCTTTCACCTCAATATTTTCGTTTCGTTTATTTTATCAAGAAGAAACTACTGCTTACGTCAATAGCTTTCTGAAAGAAAGTACACTGTATATATATTTTACTATACATTATCGAAATCATGACAAAAGTAACAAACATGTAACATCAACTTTAAGCATTTCGAAAATAATAAACTAAAGGCGTAATAATGTAATAGTTTGCATTTTATCATACAATGAATATTTTGTTGAAAATTAAACCTAATTATCAAATCTTTCACTTTTAAAATTACAATCAGAAAAACGTAGATATATGAATCATACTCCAACAGTTTTTTTAAAAAATATAATACAGAATTTAATAATAGCTATTGGAACTCCCTGCATATGTGAATAACCCTTCAACAGCATGAAAAAGAAAAATTCTATAACTATTTTATTATATTATACTTGAAATTTTAAATTATTCTTCAAACTTTAAAAATATTGGTATATTACATAAGCAGAGAAGTCAAAGTTAGTGTTATTAAATAACAATTCTATTACAATTGAAGTTTATGTCAGCTTTCTATTATAGGTTGGTATTAAAATGATTATTTATATTAATTATTAAATAACACATCTTCTATTATAATTGAAATTTGTGTAAGCTTCCTATTAAAAGTTAGTATTGAAATCTTTATTTATATTAATTATCGAACAGGCTAGTCATAACTTATGATATATCATTATATTTTTGCCAATGCCGTTGGAATTTTCCGCATATTATAAATGACATACTTCAGCTATTCTAGTGTTCGTATAAACAGCAAATAGTAATTCCGCTTTTTTTGAAAAATCTTTCTAATTCATATCACGTTGTATTTGATCTTTTAAGAAGTTATCCAAATCAATTAAAAGCAAGAAACAACAACATATTCCACCCACCCAACAATCCTCTCCTAATTCTTAATAATTCCCTTTCTTACATCCACTCATCCACATCCTAATCCATGTATTCGTCCTGTAATTGCTTTCATGTTGTCTGCTTAATAGATTCTTGCCAGTTACAACAATAAGAAAAAAACAAATAATTCTACATTATAATATTATTAATATTGATAAGAAGCCAACTTCATTTCAGGATACTTGTAAGTTGTCTGTCAACACAACTGGCTGGGATGTCTTGAAAAACACATTCCAGTATTCACTAATACCCAAGAAATAGTTTTTACAATTTTTAAAATTTTGAAAGTGCTTAAAAGTAAAGCACAAACATTGAATTTGAATTAGTTTTAATTTATTTTCAAAATCTTCTTTGTTCCTAATTAGTAAGCATCAATTTTTGGCGGCGGAGCAAAGGCTTCTTCCTTCGGACGTTCTCCTTTCATGTTTTGCTTAAACCGTTCAAATCTCATAGCCTTTATAAAAAAATTAATTTATTATTTTAAAATTAAAATGTCTTTTTCAACTTACATCATAACGTTTCATTTGTTTGGTCTTATTGGAACATTCAGTGAAATCTGCAATAAGATCAGCGCACTTTTGTCGTCCTCTATCTAAACCATAAGCTTCCATGCATTCCATCATATTCATTTCCATTTCGCCACATGTTTCGTAAGTTTGATGATTTATCAAACATGCTGTTAAATCGGTGAATGGAGTACGTAAGAATGGTGACACCGCCATATTGCCTACAGATAACCAAGTAAATTTTGTATTATAAATTATGTTGTCAATTGTAAAATTATAAGTAATACAAAAATCATAAAACTTTTTATGCAATCTTGTATACAGATGACGGCGCCAAAAAAAAACTGTCCGTCAAAAAATTCTTAATATTTCAAAAAAAAGTGCTTGCGTCATAAATCAATTATTGAAATATATTCGAACTTTCTTAGGAAAAACCCTATTTTTGCACAATTTTTTATTTTTTTTTTAATACATGCTTATTTCTCTACTTTATTTCTATAAAGATTATTTTTGCCTCGACAAAAAATACAATTTTTTTATTACTACTTATACGCTCTAGCAAAACTTGAGACGTTGCTTAAAATAAAAAATTGACTTCTCAGCAACTTTGATATTTATATATAAATATAATATATATATATATATATATATGTTATATGCGAATGCATACATACAAACTTTAACACAATATAATATAATAACAAATTATAAATTCAAAATTATACACAAAACTTGCAGAGTCATTCTAAAACTAACAAACATGTATGTGGATATATCAGAACTAAGCAACGAAATTTTATAAAGCACTCTAACACAGCGCTTATTACGCTTAAGTCACCAAAAAATTTTTGTCAAAATGCAATTTACAGAAATGACTCCATGTGAAAGAAATTATAATATTAAGGGAATTATATCGAAAGTAGTATTTGCATAGCAAGATAATGTAATAAGACTGTGAGGGATACGATTATGATACGACAAGAGTTAGAAGATGTGATGGAAAAATTGAGTCCAACCTACACGAAAGTTTAAGAAGTTGTGGAGTGGAATAACATATATATGAAGCTGATTTGTGTGTATTATGAAACAAACTACACTTTGAACGCACATCAGGAACAGACTATCTTTTAAAAGACATCATTAAAACTATATATACAACAGGAGTCACGAGTTAGCGTCAACAATTCTATCACTGAAAATAAATTCTTTTACAGAAAGTTTAAATTTAGAAGCAATTAACGATTTAATAAAATGAAAGTGAAAACAAAGGTGATATACTTAAAGTTAATAAAAATCGTTCCTCAAGATTGGGAGTATTTTTATATTACAATAAAATAATCACACATATAGTGAGATTTAAAACTAGGAATCCAATAACATACGGATGATTCGGTTTTGCGAAATAATTTAGAGCGATGATATAATTTTTCTAAAACTGTTTTGATTGGAACTTTAATTCAAATATTTCAAATAATGCTATTGCAGTTGGAATTAGTGCGATTAACTCTCTAAACGACGTCACATATTTGCTAAAACGTAGGTCCATGGATTTCGGGTATTTTATGAACTTCTTTAAAGTGCTTCTCTTTAAATGTCACTAATTGGCATATTCAGTGCCTTCACTGGTAGTTTCCTGAACCTGACGTAGTTGTCTCACACAAATGCAAATGAAAACACTTAAATGTCTTTTTCGCGTGAGTTAATGAACGCAAAGTAGCTGCTGCGGTAGAAAAATTTACATTTGAAATTTAAACTTTTGTTAAAATTTCAAGATATAAGAAAATGTATCCATTAATATAAAATAATAATAATTACATTTAATTTTGAACACTTTCTGTAACCACATGCCGCAGCTACAGTGTTCTCCACAGTTGAACTTAATTCTATGCTAGTAATAGTTTAAAAGCATTTTTATTGTCGAAGTGAGGAGCAGAGCGTCAAGTTTAGATATCTTTTAAGCGAACCCATCGCGATTTCACCGAATACTAGAAGACATCATACAAAAGACTTGGGATATTCCGCCGAAATACAATGAAAACAAATGCCACTTTCACGTTTATTGTTAACGCACAGCGTCAGATGAAAAAAGTCAAATTTGTATAATTATTTTACAAGAGAAATTTCATAACATAATTACCAACAGTGCCTCCTTAACACTAAGGAATATAATGAAACCAAACAACCACTTTACTGCTAAATCTTATAAATCAGCTTCTCTGCAATCACGCTATTTTAGATAGAACTGCGAACAGTTAAGACTTAATTTTGCTGTTGTAAGCACAAACAGTTAAGAACTATATTAAATATTGTGTATAAATTTATTACAAATTTGTTTATTAAAAAAATTGATTCGAAGACTAAAATCCAGAAAATCTTACATTTATGTGATTTTTTGTTACATGACGTAACAGTCCAGAAGAGCATTTATAGTTAATACTTTTTCCTTTGCTTATATTTTGAATAAGCTTCATTTTAGCTAAGTTTTTATACATAATATATTCTGACCTACAAATTAATATATAAAAGTTATTATATCTACCGTTACTCACAAAATTAAAAGCAAAAACCACCAAGTTCCAAAACAATTATTGAATGTTGATAAAAATTAAATAGCCTGAACACAATATTTCGGTTATAGAAGTACGAAATGAAAATGAAACATTTTGACAACTAGCATATGTGTCAAAACATATATATGTATATGTATACTGGTAATGCTATATGGGGCTGTTCAAGTATTACGTAACCACAACCTTTGTCATATCAGACGTCTCTCCCTTCTGTGAAACTATATTACAAATTTGTATACTCCTAACGTTGCATAGGTATTGTTCTGTTAGTCCACACCTAGGAAATTTCAAGTTTTAAAACTAATCCGCGTGGTTGGCGCACCAGATCATTTCTTGAGATCCTCGTTTTATGACTTTGAAGACTTCCATAGACTTGACAGGCTTGAGCATTTGTGAAAAAAGTTATAAGTTGTATTTTTTCTCCGTTTTGCAGTTCCTATAATGCTTGTGAAAAGGGAAGTTTAATTTTTTGCATTTTTTTTAGTTCGGTTACTTCGACATTCTCATTACTCGGTAGAATTTTTAGTCTTGCTAAATTGTAGTCTACCCTTATTATTTTAAATTTTTCGCAAACTATTATAGTTGCCATTTATTTTTATTGTTCTGTAAATCATAGAAAATGATTATGAATGAATATGTTTTTGGACACATTTCTATGAGATCAGTATGTATTCATCTGTTGATGATAAGTCTGTTATGATCGCTGCCTAGTTAGTTTTACGCAATTTTATTTTCTTTTATTTCTTGGTGCCCTAGATCCCAAATCAATGGTACTATTCACTGCTTACTCACTGACCTCAATTGAATTTTATACCTTTTACTAGCTTTTGGTTGGTACAAGCGAACCTTGTTATTAGCGTTATATAGACAGCGCGAAGTTAGCATTGAAAGACACTCGCAAAATAAAAGATTCTCCTTATATCCTTTTTAGTTAATCATATTTGTGGTAATATGAAAGAATCTAACTCGGAAGTAATGATATACATTTTGTTTGAAATATCTCCCGTTTGTAGAAAAATAACTCACATACATAATACAACCAACAGACTTCTATTAAAAATAATTTCATAATTAATATTAGCCCTTTTCTTTTGTAAGCGTATCACAAAAGAACAACTGATTATTGTAAAAATAACAAATGACACAAAAACATTGCATGGTTGCCAACACTAAAAATTCGTCTATTGTGAACGAAGAACATACGAAATTTCCAGTTATCTGTCAATGAATGATTTCATTAGTTATTTGAATTTCGTGTCTTCATTGTTCGTAACAAATATGTTATATGTTTTATGTATTATTTTACTAAGCACGAAAAATTATATTTTATTTATAATCATATAAATAAAACTATTCTCATCAATAATTGCAAAGAATTATTATTCATTTTCGAAATTTCAACTTTAAATTTTATTACACGTTTATTGCCAATGTAAACCAAACAAAATCTGCATTTTGTCCACATTTGCCACAGTAAGTAGTCCTTATTTTATTAATTCTTTTGTGACATTATTATTATTTGCGCCTATTATTATATTGTATTATATTATATTATATTATATTATATTGTATTATATTATATTATATTATATTATATTATATTATATTATATTATAATTATATTATATTATATTATATTATATTATATATTATAATAATATTATAATATTTTATATTATTATAATATATGTTATAATATTATTATAATAATATAATGTTATCTATTATTAAAATATTATATATTATATTATATATTATTATAATATTATATATTATATTATATATTATTATAATATTATATATTATATTATATATTATTATAATATTATATATTATATTATATATTATTATAATATTATATATTATATTATATATTATTATAATATTATATATTATATTATATATTATTATAATATTATATATTATATTATATATTATTATAATATTATATATTATATTATATATTATTATAATATTATATATTATATTATATATTATTATAATATTATATATTATATTATATATTATTATAATATTATATATTATATTATATATTATTATAATATTATATATTATATTATATATTATTATAATATTATTATATTATATTATATTATATTATATTATATTATATTATATTATATTATATTATTATTATGGACTTATAGTTATAAATAATTAATAAATTTATGTTCAATATTCAATTGTTGTACATGTGAAAATAATTCAATATCGTTTTGATTATCGATAAGTATCAACGTAATCGATTTTCATTGAAATGTTTCTGACAGCAAACTCTAATTGTCAAATAAATGATGGCAGTTAAAATTTCACGTGTGATAATTTATTAAAACAAAACATACTTTATTAGAAAGTAATTAAAATAACATGAGCAATCAGGACTTGGTCAATTATTTAACGGAATGTGGTGTTTGCCAAATGTGTCAGTTACGCTACTTGAAATCTAGAGGCAATGAGTACCAAGATATAAAGCAATCCTTTAAAAATGTTTGTTGTATATAATTCTAATTATAATATAATAAGTTAATGGGTTTATTTCTTTAGTTAGATCTCAAGTATAGTGACATCATTTGTAACAATGACGATGAATTGCCAAAAAAGAAGCAACGCTCGAATGTTTGCACAACATGCCTTGGTTTGTTTTCAAAGGAGTTTCAAGAAAAGCTGATTGCCGCTATACTAAAACAAGGTTTAGAAGAACATGAGTGCTCTTCTATAGTTGTCGCAATAAGTACACCAATAATACTACAAGTCCGGCAGCTATCCATGTGGTTTGCTTTACGTCAGAAATTTGAACATATAAACACCGAACGTCCGCCAGATGTGCCTTTAAAAGAAGCAATTAAGTTGATTATAAATCCAATCTTGTGTGAAAAACTACATAAAAATTATGATGTAAATGGTATAATGATAAGTGTAACTTTAATGCATAATCAAAATAGTGAAGAAATTTCCAATTTGGAGAAATTAAATAAACATTTGTATCGGGAGAAGCACGAAAATCAGCAAATGTCACGTGTGTGGATAGAAAAGCATTACACTCCTGGAATTGTCGATGTAGATTTATACAAAAAATTCATAACTGTGCCACCTCCAATACCGAACGATTCATTATATATAACATCCATTTCGGTTACCGGACCTACAGTTTATATTGCTGGACGCTATAGGAAATTATCACGCAAGTTATCGCATACACCGTGGTTATTGAATGGAATTCGTGTAATGGAAGACAGTGTAGAAGAGATTATCATAAGAAGCATCGTCCCACATTTTTGGTACATTTTGCAAATTTTTGTTTTAATTATATTAATTTTTCTTGTTTACAGCGCGGAACAGAGTAAGATCATATTTATGTCCAGTGGACGTGAGGATGTGGACGTACGTTGTCTTGGTAAAGGTCGTCCATTTGTGCTTGAAATACCTAATGCTCATCGTACAAAGTTAATTAAAAAAGATGCATTTATGATGGAGTCAAATATTGAAAAATCACTACAAATTTCAGTGCGTGACTTGCAGACTGCGATGAGAGAGGAAACGGTGCATATTAAAACTGGAGAGGAAAAGAAACATAAATTTTACCGAGCATTATGTAAATTGGAAGAACCTGTTACAATTGACGTTTTAGAAAAACTTAATTTGCCTGAAGGATTTTTAATTGACCAGAAAACACCACTCAGAGTACTGCATCGCAGACCGTTGTTAACAAGACCGCGGAGAATACATAGTTTAAGAGCACGGGTCTGTCAAAATAATCTTAAAGCTGTCATACTTGACGTAGTTACGCAAGCAGGAACTTACGTTAAAGAGCTTGTACATGGAGATTTTGGACGCACATCTCCTTCAATAACCTCCATTATAGGAAAACCGATCGACATTATCTCGTTAGATGTAATTGCTGTAGGCTTAGAATGGCCAGCAGAAGTAGATAATAGTTTAATAAATGATTGACAATAAAATAATTTACAAAACTGAATTTTTATTTATTTCATATTAAAATACAATATAAAACTTAGGCCGCTTCTGAATGCTCTTTCAAAGATTTTGAATTAATTAGCTCCAAATTTTGTATTCCGTCTTTATCAACCATTGCCACTTTAAAGTTGTTTAAGCTTACAAGTAGGCGTTTTTGTATTTCTATAACACACTTCTTCATTACGTCGTAAGCTTCTTCCCTAGTTATATCTGCGTGGTAATATCTATCAAATATACTAGAGCAAAACATGCTGCCGTAGCCGTGCCCAGCAAAGTTAACCGAATTAGCGCTGGCCAAGTAATCAATGAACTGGAGTTCGGGTCCTTCTTTTGGGTCAAATCTGTTAAAATATTTATTTATGTTGATTTATCCAGTTCGTAAAATTTATAACTCACCCTGCTACCAACATATTCACATGAAAAGGAGTATGACTACGCAGATAATCTGCCAAATTCCTACGAGTGTAGTGAGCCGCAGATTTTGGAGTCAACTCATAACCATTTGACATTTTGTATAAGGCAACATTTTTCTCAATAAATTCGATGAACTGCACACAGTCACCTGCGTCACCAATAGCAGCCATCAAAATGTTGTCAGACACATTAAAAATTTTGTTCTCATCTAAAATATTTATAATATGAAATATAAGTTGTAAAGTTTTTTGCCGATTGGCAAAATTTAATATTGAACCACATTTACCTTCTTTCATAACAACAATTGAACGAGCATAAGTGGTGTCAGCAGCCACCATAACAAAATCGCGTCCCTTTATTCCTAGAACAGTTTCCATCGTAAATTTATTCTTAAGTTTCTGCTTTTTAACTTGAAATCGTCTCAGAAAAGAATGACAAGCGAGAAAGTTTGTTTAGCACTATGAAGTTAGCTGCAAGTTTTCGGCTTATTTTGACAGCAATTAAATATTTATTTGCAAGGTTGCAATTAACACAACAAAATATGTTAATTTTTAATTTATATTCAAATATTTTAAAAATACTTGTGAACGTTTATGGGTTTCTGAAACTACAAGTATTATCAATTGTGAACACTTTCAATAAGGGGATATAATAGTAGGTCTGTTCCACGAGCTACTCGTAGGAACTTTGAGTAACATTGTGTATACACAAGCGCATTTCACCAGCAAATTTTCGAGTAAATGAGAGCATCTGAGAGAGCATAACATCCTTGTCAAAATTTGAAAATGTTACACAGACTTTACTCGTACATTTTATTTCAAGTAAAATTTGTGCTGATGAGTGAATCAGCTGTTTTGGTTTGAATTTAAATTCAAACCTAGAGAGGAAAAAAGAGAAAGGAAAATGAAATACCAGAGAAACATAATGCAATTATAATCGTATATTGCGTTCGAAGAGTAAATTCTGTTGCGATGAGTAACGCAAATTTATGTGATAACACATTTGTTAGTAATATATAATCATTAAATCAAATATATTTGAATAAAATGATTTTTTAATTGCCAAAAATATTATTATTTTTATTTATTGAATTTAATTTAAAAAACGATATGAAACAAATTTTTTTATTTTAGAATCATCAAATTTATCAATTTATATTATTATTATAATTGTTCAAGTACTACAAGTATATTTTCTATACTGTTTTTATATCTCTGTATTCAAATTCTCATAGCTTTGTTTGTATTGAAAGGTTATTACATATTATACCTAATTGCCAATTTCGTGTGCTAATGTTTAAAATTTAACCAACGTATGTCATGCAGGCTGATGAAAATCAAAATATTTTTACTTTTCGACGGTCGACGATTTATCTTCATTTTTAGACGGATTTTTGAAATTCTGATTTCAATCATTAAGACCGTGTGCAAGTTCAAGTAAATTGAGGTAAAGTAAATTAAAATTGCCTGGGGATTTTTTACACGTGCACTTAATTTAGGTTAAAAGTTTTCAAATTTATTTATTTATTTATTACACATCTTATAAAATTTTCACAATGGTAACACCTAATTTACCTAATTTTTATCTAATTTACCCTTCTTGAAATTCTGGTAAATACCAACATCCGCTGCCATAACGATATATTTTACTATTTCACTCAATTTTCCATCAATTTACGTATGCGAGTACGCCGTAGGAAGGCGTGATAAGGGACTGGTCTACCCCATAATCACTTTTGTTGAGGCTCTGAGGATGGACGGAGACTATGTTCCATCTCATGAGTCAGTGCCCTTCTTTATCAACGATATTCCTGCGGTACCACAATGGGCCATTAGTTTAGCTCAAGTGTGCTTTCTTGAATATATGATCGCCACTCCAACCTATCTCCCAATACAGCAAATGTAAAAAAATTACGAAATGGTAAAGTCTCAAAAGGTGGTCTTTGCAGAATTTCTAACTCTTGTTTTCTAAGGTACTCTTTTTGCCAGTCTGACGACATATTTTCATTTTCCTTGCATTTTCCTTTTTTCATACGGAGTTTTATGAGGATCTGCAATATCCGCGTTCCAGGGTTATATATTCTCCATGTTTCAATGGGCTTGCAGGGCTGTTGTAAGTTAAGAAGTTAGGTTCATTGCTGGATTCACTAATTATTCAATTTCAAGGATAAAAACATCATATCATATTTCATGATATACTTTGGAATTTTTTTTGCAGCAAAATCTGTAAGCTACGTACCAGGGTAAACAGCGTTGATGTGAGCAGAAAATTTAATTTAATTTTAACTATCTTAGCCCTAGCCATCGTGGAGGGCCATGGGTCGTAGCTTCACAACTGAGACACTGCCAAGGTGCTTAATATAGTCTTCTACTCTTGATACCTATCTAGGTTTTGAAAACCTTTCTGTTTCGGCATTTGGACAAATCATGTTTAGAGTCCACACAAAGGTGTGGAATATGTGCAAAGTGTTACTGGTGGGCTGACTTGAAATTTATTTGACTTTCGCTTATGTATATGTATATCCAGATTACATCAAAACATTTAATTTGAGACATTATACTATAAGCGTTTTCTACATCAAACATAGAGCATCAAAAATTTTTTTTGTCAATATTTGTTGTAGATTTTGTGCCAGGTATTAGTTACGTGGAGTACAACGTAATATTGAGTAAGATGAAGTTATGACTGCATTCAAGCAATGATATATCTCTAACTACTGAACATTTTGCTAAATATATAATGAAATTAAGCCTACCAGCACCGTCCGAGGGCGTGTACTGATATAACTGTCAGCACTCAAAGATACTTTTATAATTGCCTCGGATAAGTTAGTTACATTAAACGTTGCTATTTCCTGGTATTGTCCTTGTTAAACTTATTTGATCTTCCAAATAATAAGTCAAGTCAACTTTCGGTATTTTGTCAGGCCAGTAAGGAAACGATCTTCAAAATACTAAAGTCGTTTTGTCTGTAGTCTTGAGCAAAGAAAAATTTAATATTAAGAAAGTGATTAATTATAGTGGCTTCTGCACAGTTCACATGTCGAAATATACCACTATTGAAGTATCGGAGCAATGGCACAGTGCCCTGTTAGTACTCCAGTGAGTTCATGAGGTCCATTTTATCCTGTCTAATCTGAGTAATAAGCTTCTGGTAACCTCACAGTTCACAATTTCTCTGTCATCACAATGATGAATTCTTCTATGCTCCTAAACAATTCAAACAACTTGGTTTTGTACCGATAAGTCAGCTTCATTTATATATATTTCACAACCACTTTTTATAGAGAGACTGTGATCTTTGTGATGGCTGTGATATTCATAAGTAAAGCGCGATATTTCATTCCAATACTTTATTTCATCATCTTGGATTCGATTGACTTCATGGCTGTCTACACATGTAGTGATATTTGAAGTATGAGTTGTACTTGCTTGAATTTTTCGAATGCTGGGTAAAATGTCAAAAGATGTACAGTTCTATAGACCAATAAGCCTATTACCGAAAGCTGACATCTAGATCTAGATTTATCTAGATAATATAATTTATATCCCTAAGTTGCTGTAAAACTATTATTTGCATGTGTTGACTACAATAAGTATGAGAAACCTGACATCACTTATATATATATATATACATATATATATAGTGGACGGACAGACAGACGGATTATACAAAAAATTCATCAAAACTAGATATGCAATATTATTCATTTAAATGTTTAAATGTTAAATGAATTCATTTAAATGTTGAATTTTGCTATATTGACACATAAATTAGTGAATTCAGTTGTTGAAGTTGTATGATTGGTTGCTGTGGCTGATTAGCGTATGCTATTCTGCTTTTTATAAATGCCGATTATTTACCGTTCTAACATCATATAGCCACATAGTTCATGTCAGTTAACACTTCTTGTTAATTAACAGTCCTAAAAACTGTCAAAGAAGTACTACACCTAAACACTGTTCCCTCTGATTGTCACCTGAAATTTTTTGGTCATTATAACGATATTACAAACTCGTTGCTTAAATTGGTGGGATCTAAACTAAGTGGTGTTCAATACTAAAAGTGGTATACTTCATCTACTTTTGCTGATATAAAGTATTTTTGAGTAATTCGACTAAACTATTTGAATTGGTTGCCATTGATGAGTCAATTCGCACTGAAGTCAGAAGCGTCAGAGATCCAGTTTCCTTTAGGTTTGATATTCGCACAGCTTCATTTTGTATTTGTAGTTATTTTAGATCATCAGGTTAGTTGAAAAATATCTGTATTTTGCAGCTGCTTTTTGAAACTCTGGACAACAAGTGCTACCGGTCCCATAGTCGTGTGGGATTAAGTGATGTCATTGCGACATCACTTGATACTAGCAATCCGCTTCTCAATCGTCATAGCGACAGCCTTTAATGCCCCTTAACTCGCCATAGTCAACTATATAACAGTTTGTCCAGCTGATACAAGATTTTTAATGATTTCTGTATTACCTCCCAACAACTTGACGAATGCTGTCTGTAGCCCACGTTGTTTTCTGTTAGGAATATGGACCACAGTTTTATCTGGTTTGCAAACGCTTCCTTTTAGTATCCGGTGTCGTATTTACTTAATTGAGATTCTTTGCTGACTTCCTTAAAACGTTCACAGTTGCTTACTTAAGTACAGCTTTTCTTTTGATTTTCATCGCTAAGAGTCCGCAGAAATTTATCTGCTTTGATAAACTTGAAAATATCAGTGCAACTACTACCTGTTGTGTACAAAATTATAATTCCATCTAATATGGCTCCAGTACATTACCTTTTTTCTGTCAGGCGACTCCGGGATATCTTGCTTCTTGGTTGAATTCTCCGGGTTTGAGGTCGCATTTTGTGGGCGTTTCGCTTGCACAGCCTTTAGTTCCCTACCATTCTCTCGAAGCCTCTTGTGGCTTTCTTGTTTCTTGTACTTTGATAGCCTCAATCATGTCCGACATTAGATTGCTTACTTCTACTTTCCGTCAGAACATATCTTGTTCAAGATCTTCACAAGATGATTAATTTTACCTCCTAGACTTAGGGGCGCGTCATTGAATCTCTCTACTCGTTATATTGAGGTAATGTTCTCTGCTACCAGTGTTATTTGAACTATATGCTGCTCAATAAGAAATGGGGACGTCGGTGTAGGACTAAGTGGCCGTACTATCAACGATCTACAGAACAGATCTAAAGATTAAGGTGCTGTTCTGCTGTTGTTGCTCTGCTGTTGTTAAATTTTTTATACAACCTACTGTTGGTGTTGTTAATGTTTTTGTCCATTTTGTTAAATTCTCACACTACCTCGTTGTCTTATTCCCGGATGTACAGGGAATAACAAGAAAAGAAGACCTGTAGGATAATCGCTCTGATGAAACTGATGACCAAAGTTCTGAAGCTCCTTGTTCTAGTGTCGCCATACACTCTAATAAAACCCCGCCATTGCTGTTTATACTTCATACCTCTTTCCCCCTTTTTTTACAATTTCCTCAAACTGGGGCAGTTCCATGCTGGACTAAGCATAGCAAGAATAGTAATAGAATAAAGATCTAAATATAGACTTGTGACGAATGTTTTAATTAGTTGTTTCTATTGGTGCGTGTCGCATTTGACTAATTTTTGAGGATTAAAATTATTTTTCATAACATATTTTGCACACTTTACTACATGGATTGAGAATTGTGCTTTGATGCTGTTAAAAAATCGTGACACCAATACATGCACAATATTTTTCAACTGTTATTTTTTGATACTTTCTATTTTACATTTACACAGGTATGTGTAAAAGTGAACAATTTATATGTAATTCGTTAATGGCAAAAAAATGTTAAATTACTTTTCTACCATAGAGAGTTCATGTATACACATTTTTAAGAATTTGCAGAATTCTTTAAGTGTAGCAAACATCAAAATTAATGCACTAAAATTAATACTCAAAAATTACTAAAGGCCGCGTGCGAGCTCGAGCAAATTGATGGTAAATTGAGGGAAATAGTAAATTATGTCGGTATGGCAGTGAATGTTGGTATTTATCAGAATTTCGAGCAGGGTAAATTAAATTAAAATTAGTTAAATTAAGTATTACCATTGTGAAAATTGTATAAGATATTTAATAAATAAATAACCATAACTTCTACCAAAAATAATAAATAAGTGCAACAAATAAATAAATAAATATTTACATAAGTGCAGTGTAAAAATCCCTAAGAAATTTCCATTTACTTTAACTTAATTTACTCGAACTCTTACACGGCCTAAATATGGCTTTGAACATTGAACATACACCGCGAGTTATGTCCATTCTTAAAAAGTATTCTTTGACTCAAAGAACATTATTTCAAATGTCTCTTCGGCTCATGTCAAACAACAAATATAACGGAGCGTTTTCTGCTTATTCTTGTGAAGCGGTGTTTTCGTGTTCTAATTTGCTTTATTGACAAACAAGATTTCGTAAACATATTGGAAAGATGGCATCTGCAGTACATTGTCAACTTTGGATGGGCAGCGTAAGTAATAAATAAAACTTATCATTGCAATGTATTTAATCCAATATTAAAACAGTTAGAGTCCTATATGACTGAAAATTTCATAATTGCTGCTTTTCGTAAAATGGGTGAGGAGCCGACAACTGTGCGCCTGATGCGCAACAAATATACTGGTGAGCCGGCAGGTTACTGTTTTGTCAACTTTGCCACGGACGAAAGCGCGTTGGATGCAATGCATAAACTGAATGGAAAGCCGATTCCTGGTACTAATCCAATAGTACGCTTCCGTCTAAATAGTGCAACAAATTCATATAAGCTACCTGGTAACGATCGCGAATTCAGTGTGTGGGTTGGAGATCTTAGTTCTGATGTTGACGATTATAAGCTTTACAAAATTTTCTCCACAAAATATACATCAATTAAAGCGGCTAAAGTTATATTAGATAGTTCTGGTTTCTCAAAAGGTTACGGTTTTGTGCATTTTGGTATTGAAGATGAACAAAAATCTGCGCTGTATGAAATGAATGGATTTATCGGCTTAGGTGCTAAACCAATTAAAATATGTAATGCTGTTCCTAAGCCAAAGAATGAACTAGGTATTGCCTTGGGTACAAATAGTAACTATGGTTATGGTGGCACAGTTAGTGAGACATTATCCTCAGGCAGTACAGATTATTCTCCATACTATGACCCGAGTGCTGTTTATTGGCAAGGTTATAATTCTTGGCAAAATTTCTACGAAACAAATTTAAGCGCAGATGGTGCTGCAGCTTATTTGCAACATGCTATTACTCAACCTCACTCGGACACTCAAACGTTGCAACAGCATGCTGAGGCTTGGAGTGCTCAACGCAATGCAATGTATGAACAACAGCAAGCTGCAGCCGCTGCAGTAGCAAGCTCAACAAACGGACGCGGGGATGAATATACTCTGGTTGAATACAAACAAGTATTAGATGTTGATAAACTTAACCGTGAAGCTATGGAAACCGATTCTCAACTCTATGATGCATTAGAAAGTTCAAAATGGATGGCTATTGACCAACTGGAAACTTTTTAAAAGTACTATGTTAAAACAGACTTGCTCATCTCATGTACAAATTTCGTTTTTCATAATTTCCTTTTTTGTAAAGCAAATTTTAAGAATACATTTAAGCTTTAAATACTAAATACTATAAAGAATGTTATATATTTTTATTTTCTTTAGTTTATTAATGTTTAAGGGGCAGACAGCGTCAAATACTAAAATACCATAAAGAATGTTATATGTTTTTATTTTCTTTAATTTTTAATTGATTCAGAGAAAGCATCAAATTAGACCAAGATAACGTTAACTTTGTTATTTTTATTTATATGTGAGTTAACACTAAAATTAATTTTAAAATTCACTAAGAATAAAGGACTGGACTACTAGTTCCCACGTCTTTGTTCTTTTTGAATTAAATGATTTGCTTGAAAGTTGAAATTTTTAATAATTATTATACATTTTGTTTAGAAAGCTTTCATCTATTTGTTTACTTGTCTGTTCTTTTTCTTGATGTGGATCATGTTAAACGGTAAAATTAAATGTCTGCGAAGAAGTAGTTTATGATCGACGGACAATCATTCAAATTCTCTAATATTGCGAACCGTGAAAAATAATTAAAATGACACACTGTGGTGTGGTCGTTGGCTGTTTGAATTTCTATGAAAACAAAAATAATTTATTTTTATTACAGTTTGTTGTTACAAGTGTTAAATGCTAAACTTCATAATTAAACACATCATTAGTATAGTGTACTAATGTTCAATGTGCACTTAATGTGTCATAGTAAAAATTATGATTGCTTCTAACATTTGAAAACATATCAAATTTCAATGGGATAAGATATGTTCCTACAATAATTGTTTGTATTTTACATTGCTTGATTTCTTTAAATCAGTCAACAAATGTTTTCTTCCATTAATAGAGTTTTACCAAAAGCGATCTGATTAAAGAAGCCGCCATATAAACAACAATTTCTTGATAATTATGTTCTGGTCTTGTTTGCTTTAACAGAAATTTATAATTTCTGTTGACATCATACTAACATAATATATAGTATTAAAAAATTATGGTTTATATTGATTTGCTAGAGTAAATTGTCGTTGCGAACCTCTTGATCACCCACTTGGAGATAAACATAGACATCTTACCATATTTATTATCTTTGCTAATTGTCATTTATTGTTATTTCATTTCTTTATTTATATATAATTAATGAATGTAGATTAAGGTCTGTCTGGTAGATCATCTTCATTGTTTCTAACACAATCTGTATTTTAACGAACCAATAAATAAACAGATAACAATTCGTTTTTTCTTATATTGATTGATAATGTTCATTTCATATATATAAAACAAATCATATACATATAAACAAATAATTTTAATTTAAATAAGTCAATAAATTTTTTAGTTTAATTTTAATCAAATTATTGTATAACTATTTAATGTGATTTAATTTCTATTTAACAATAATGTAATGAAAATGTAAATAAATAAATTTTTAATATTGATTAATAAAAAAATTAAAAACCAATATAGCTTAGAACTTAAAAAATAATAAAAAACCTTTAGTAGAAAATGGGATAAATATTTGTTATTTAATCGTATCTCTTTTGTCATATTTAACTGAAATAAATAAAAAAATATATATTTTTAAAGACATATACTAAGTTATTGGTCTTTTCCTTAGAACAGAGATATGTAACTTTGAGCAAAACCTTCCGTGTCATTTTTAAAGTTAATATTTTAATTACCTCGAATGTCTAATATATATAGAGCATTTTAAGAAATTATCAACGTCGGTGGTTTAGATACTTTTTTATGATATTTCGAAATTCTTCGAAATTTAGTGTGTGATATATCGTAGCACAATAAATCGACAAAGCGGTTTTTTGATCTCTAGGTTTAAATCATCTCTTTATACCATGCTTATGTTCAGCGATTCTCATGCTTACTTTATTCTTTTTTTAGTATACTTGCAGGCATAGCTTGGACCCCTCGCATCTAATGGAGTTCTCCGTATTAACCATCCACTAATTACTTTAGCAATTATTACTTCTTTTATTAAAGAACTGGTGTTTTAATGTATTTTTGGCTTTAAAAGATAATTTTATGTGTATAACCCTTATAACATTTTATTTTCTTAATAGAAATTAAAAGATGGTACGACATTGCTATATAAAATTAAAGCTGAATATTATAGTTTGGTGTACATAAAATTAATATTTGTTTTAGTAATAGATAAATATTCTTTTTAAAAGCAGTTAAGATTTAATTTTTCATAAAAAATTTAATCAGAAATTCCTGATACCTTGATAAGACGTGCATTTGGAATTTCCGATTTCGAAGCTGTGTTTAGAACTGTATGGTAAGGACATTCGTTATTACCATTTACATTAATTAAAATTAACTTTAATTAACGCTAACTTTAATTAACATAAACAATTACCAACCACTGCTTGAGGGTTTATAATACCCATGTATTCACGTTGTAGCTTGCTGGAACCTGCTTGTGTAGACCCTTTGTGGGGAGTCGAACTGCAGTGGCTCCGAGATGTAAACCCAGCCGTTCTTGAAACTCACTCATAGCTCATTTCTTCGTTTAATTACTATTGTGTTAACAATAGTATTTTATAAAGAATTTTATAAAGAGCTTAGACAAAGCTTAGAATGCTATTCAGAAGAAGGTCTTGCAGTGCGCCAAATACTTATATTTTTAGTATTTACGTATATTTATTATACCATAGATATATGGAACCTACCTATTTAAATAATTAGAAAAAAGTGTTTTGAATTTGTTTAACATTTTATTAAGGTTCGGTCAATGCATATCATCGCGTGGATTGTTACTTAAAAATATCTTAATTTTAAGGAAAAACAAAAAATTTAACGAATATTAATAAAATATTGGATAATAGTTGCATTGCAGCTTAGAATATGTAATTTTAAAAAATATTTTTAATCGATACGATTGGGTTGACCTCATTTACACACTAATAACTTATATATTATGCAGTTATTATTTACATAAGGCTTAACCGTTTGCACGATTATTGGAAGTTCGAAATTTAATGTCTGATAGGATATCTCGAGTAAAAAATAGTTTTGTTTCAATATGTTTTCTCTTAATTACTTGTAGAATTAACAAAAAAAAAAAAAAAAAAAAAATAAAAAAAAAAAAAAAATTTAAAAGTAATCAGTGCGCAATCAGTGGTAGTGTTGAACTTGTTAAATTTCGCTACTTTTAACAATTTCAAAAAGATGTCTTGATCCAATTTTAAATACATTAGTTTTAAATTAGTTTTATTTGAACGCGGAAGTTTTACGGAAATGATCTTTAGCAATGACTTAATGACTTGATTTCTTATTTATTTTGCCTTCCTAGATTCCTTTTTCTTAGTATTATTGTTACCAGATGGTTTGTTGCTATTGTTACCATTATCTGCACTTATTTGTTTAGTATTGTTTTTGTTGTTAATTTCTTCTTCTGGGTGATCTTCATATCTGTTAAAATATAAAGATAATACATAGAAATTGCGAATTTAATTTGGTTTAACTTACGCAAATAATGTTTTCAGCTCTCCACGTACTAGTGCTACGAATAGGGGTGTGCCCATGCAAGCGGGTACCAAATACAATAGCGCTGGCTGTGCATGCTTAAAGACATGCATGACGAATATGGTGGTCAGCAGACCCAAAAAGTAGGCCGTTAATGTGGCGTAAAAATAAATGCGACTTTTACGTTTGGTACTGTGATCAAAACGCAAAAGCAATGCAATAAAAATTCCGGGAATAACAATATCTCCCAATCCCAACATAGCAAAATTTGAAGCATTTAAGCCATTTGTTATCAAGTCTTGGGGAAAGACTAGCTTAATAGGTGCTTCAAAACTTTTAGCAACAGTAACCATAACGTTCGTTCCAAATACCCAGAAAATATCGTAGAAAAATAAACCACTAAGTAGTATGCAGCCAGTTACAATATTATTTAAGTGCAACAATTCTACACCGTTCACCGCAAATGCTAATCCGAACAAATTGTTGGCAATCCAGTGTTTCTTCAACAGGTACCATATGCCAATAATTGAAGATAATTTCAGACAAACAACATCATGTGTAGAAAATTTGTAATTGATTAAATCTTTCTTGTTGCGACCTTCGCCTTGAGTAAAATGTATGTGGAATGGTATTTTTGGTACAGCTGCTGGCATCAATGAATTAACTATGGGACTAAGTAAATGTGCCAATGCAATGACTCCGAGAAAAAAGAAGTATCCAGTCAACAAAACATTTATATGATCTTTGGAAAATATTTTAAAGAACATATATAAACCAAAAAGCGCACCGGATGCAATTATTGGAAAGAACATAGCGTCTTTTTTCGTCATTGTGTCAGTCTTTTCGCCGGTGGCCTGCAAATATTGAAAAAACGTCGACATATGTATATATAATATGCGCATGAAAACTTAAAGTAAAAAAAAACGTTTATCAGTTATTTAAAACATCTCTGTTTGTGCTCAAAAATAATTTAATTAAAATGTATTGAAAATACATATAGTGTTCATGTATTTCATTTGGCGAAAATTTAAATTAATATTTTTGAAGTTAATATTTAAGTATCATCAGAAGTGATGATGTGGTTTTAAAACAAATGACGTTTAAACAAAAGATGTGCGCGGCATATTATTTAGTTAATTTACCTTTTTTATCTGGTGAAGTTTTACAGAGCGTATAGATCCAAATACTATGGGCAGCATAGCCATGACAACAAGGCTGCCGTAAGCCATGGCCATTCCTTCAGGAGTGGAAGGAGTCTTTTCATTTGTTATTTTACCGCCCGTAGAATTTTCGACAGCATCTACAACTTTTTCAGCTAGTTGCTCCACAACCTCACTAGACATATTTGATATTTTTTTAGTTTTAGCGTACTTAAGATTACGGTGTTTTCCAATTAATAATTAATCAACTATTAACCACAGCGTAAGTTAAGAAATGACACGCACTCAAAACTTAACACCACATAGAAAAGAAAGTGACAGAGTTATTCATTGACAGTTTAACAAATAACATTCATCTCCGCCAAGTTGGCATCTTTGATGCAAGGTACAAAATAGGAACGAAACAAAGTTTATTCATCGCTACACTGGCGAGACTTCGCCACGATTTTTATATTACAAAACCTTATACCATGTTCAGACAGCCAAAATTCCTTAATTCCGTACAAATGAAATTAACTTAATTTTGAAAGTGTTCATACTGCCTTAATTTGAGCCTTCGTTTTGATGAAATTAAGGCAATTTTCCTTAATTTCGTTCTAACCTTAAAACTAAATTTTGTATGGAAAAAACTACAAGTAGAATATATAAAAATTACGTGCTTCATAAAAAGCTTCATAAAAAAATAAAATGAAGAACATCTCAACTTTTATTTTTTAATAATTACTCCGTAATGTTATGAAATTGAAGTGTCAAAGCGACTAATTTAGTTTTTGATGGTTTTCTTTCACAAAAAAGCATTAAAACGGTAATTGAGAGTAATAAAAGTAAATTAAAATATACATTTGTATTTAATATTTTTTTATCAACATTTCTTTATATCTTCAAACAATAAAAATTCAATTTAAATGTTGTGCAATATTTCATAATAATAAAAATGAGCTGAATACCGGAAAAGTTGTCAGAGTTATTGTTTTGCTAATTCGTTAAGTTGATCACAAATTTTACGAAAACAAGTACATACATATATATAAAATTATCACATTACCGACTTACCGATTATTCGGTAAAGTGATCAAATATATATATACACAATTAATATTTAAAAGAAATGAGTAATAAACATATTGAAGACCTAGATTTTGATTTGTTCAAATTTATTTAACTTACTTGTAGAACTTAAACTGTGTTTAATTGGACAAGAATGATTCTTATGTTTTCAATTTCAAAATTATTACTGTATATAAGATTTATATTATATACATTGAGGGAAATAGTAAATTATATCGATATGGCAGTAAATGTTGGTATTAAACACAATTTGGAATAGCGTAAATTAAATAAAAATTAGGTAAATTAGGTGTTACCATTGCGAAAATTTTATAAGATGATTAATTAAATTTGAAATCTTTTAACAAAAAATAATAAATAAGTGCAATAAATAAATTAATAAATATTTACATAAGTGCAGTGCAAAGAATCCCTAAGAAATTTCAATTTACTTTACCTCAATAAGACCGCACACGGCCTTATTAAAGATACATTGCAGTTTGAGTTCACAACTAAAAATTTCATAATGATCGCGAATAAAACAAAAACTAGAATTAATTTTTATACTCGAATACGTAATTTTTCGAAATAATGTAACATTTGTTAGTGATTGCATATATGTTTGTAAATAACTAATATTAAGGACGTGTGCGAGTTAGGCTAAGTTGATGCTAAACCAAATGGGAGATTTTTTGGGATTTTTTGCACTGCACACATTTTGCCATTTATCAACACGTATCGACACATCAATACATTATCGACACAACTTAGAATTTCCCTTATTTAAAACGCAACTTAGCCTAACTCGCACACGACCTAAGAACAAATAAACCTAATAAAATTGCCTTACCATATAATTTATGTGATAATAATATTATTTTATTCATTATTTCATTAATATTTGATAAAAGAAATGATTAAAAATTATTTCAAATTTACTTTATTTTATAATTCTGGTTTAATTTCATATATAAACTTAATTCACAAGCAAATGCATACAACGAAGGAGCGTCAGATACAACGTAACATCCCTGTCAAAACGTCAAAAATGTACATAAAACTAGTTTAATACAGCGTTCACAATGTGAGATTTAAGGTAGATTAAAACAACAATCGAGATTAAAGTACTAATCTCTTTGTATAATCTCAGATTTCTCATGCAAACGTTAATGTCCTTTTGGTCAAGATTAATTTTTAATCTTCTTAAAAATGGTAATTATTTTTCTGTGCAACTCTGCAATTAGCTTAATATCGTGGATTTTTTACGATCTTAGAAGAATTTGAAAAAAACTGTCAAAAGCTATTCCAAGCAAATATTGATAATTTGAAAATGCCGAAGTGAGTAAATTTTTAATAAATTTGTTTAATAATAGTTTTACAACTAAAATTTGTTAAATTATTGTTATAAAACTATTTATTAAATTCTCATAATAATATTCTCATATATGATGGAAGGATAAGGTGTCGAATAACCAGATTGTATCTTCGACGTAGGAAGGTCATATCTGCAGAAGATTCAGGATTCTTCATTATAATTCCTACTACTTCCTTGTAACAATTTTTTCATTATAATGAATGCATACGATGAAAAGATGAGGTGTCACATGATCTGATGACATTAGGTGCTACCAACTCAAGATAGTCAATCGCCAATCAGGTTTATGGACGTTCGACAATTGCTAGACAATTTTTCATATCACTCATATATTCTTATAAGTTAATTAGAAAAAGTATTTGTTTGATTTATTAAAAATACGTTAATAAATTAAAACTCTACTTATTAATAAAAAATATTTAAAAAAGACTATATATTTTTAAGAACTCTTCATGTCGTGCTGCTTAGTATGAAAATTCGAGATTTACTGTGGGGAAAGCGTAAAACGATTATTGAAAATGGTTAACCGCTTTTTTTAGAATGCTCTTGGTATGACCGACTTGTTGGAAATGACATTGTTTCACAGATGTTTGCACAACTTCTGTCTCCTCTTCAACTTCCTTTACACAGCTTTCATTTTCCACATACTGATGTGAAATTTTTGATTTGATAATACAATCCTCAGAGGCATTTCTATCTTGCATGGAGTAACTATATTGTATTAGAGCTTGCTGTGAATTAGCGTTGGTGTTTTCTCTTGTATTTGGTGTTATTAAGCTGTCATCAGTATCTGATTCTTCTACGTTAACGTCTTCACTTTGACTTACAGCTGTTTGCACACACTCAAGGCTTGTTTTAGTCTTTTTGAAAAGATTGGTCATTTTCACTTCACTTAGTTTGCTACGAACATGGTACAATGTGTCGTTTCTGAAGCGAAACTTTTGATTTCGCTTTTGGAACTTCTTCTTCTTTGCAAACTTAAGTGCTTGTGCGTATACGCCAACTTCGGTTATAGGAAAAAGTGTTCTGCGCAAGGAACTCTGATACAAAAAATAAATTCTAAATTAAATGACAAGCAAACAAAAATATATACCTTCACTTACATTAGCATAAGTCATATAGAGAACATCATAATGAGAGTTTTTTTGAGTAAGGAACATACGACGAGTAAAATTGAGACGTTCCCCAAACCTATATACTACTCCTTCATTTACATGCACAACATCGATTTCCGTCTTATAGTATTCTGCAAATATACTACACTCCACCCTACCGCCACAAGAGCTTGGATTCAATATCCATTGACGATAATTGACATTCGTCATTCCCAATGCTTTTCTATTAAATCTTTCAGGTTGAGAGGCGATTTTTAGTGCAACCATTTCCCTCATTTCTTCAGATGCTTTTTCATTAATTCTACCAGTGATGGCATAGCGTATGCTAGTGAACAGACTCGATGCATTTCGTGCTATTTGTTGACGTACGAATAACCCAATAGTTTTCTTATCAGTAAGAACCATTCGATCGGGTAAAAACAGCTTTTTCCTATGCATTCCCATAACCTCAGTATCTTCAAGTTTTACATCCTCATCTTCAGGCTCCATCTGTTCCAAGACTAACGTTATGTCTTTGTTTATTCCTAAAGAATTCAGGTCATCAGCATTTCGAGATAGATCCAGCAAACGTGGAGGATAACCCATGAACACCAACAAATTCTTCACATTTTTAAATACAAGTAAACCAATACGCAACTTGAAAATTCCGATTGTAGTGTTCTTCGTCAAATTATCAAGGATGTGAGTTTTATTCTCAAACTTAAGCCTCACAGAAAACGATTTAGGCATTTTAGATATCACCCCTTTATTCCTTTTAATCAATAATTTTGCGAATCAATCGGGTATAAAAATTTTGTTTATCGTTAAGCTCAAGTATTTTATCTAACTTTCACTGAAAATTTTATAACAAATTTTTATAACAAATTTTTTGAATTGTACACACAAAAAAAATTTATTTATGTTTTTTAAATTTAACACATAGTTTATTTCAAATTCTATTTTACTTCAAAAAAATCTGACAACTAAATCAAAGCTATTGTGTTAGTAAAAAAAAGAAAACTAAATTAGAAATTTATTTTTCCCATAAACACATTTATGTGCTAATTCTTAATATTTTTTTCTTTATTTCACTGTGGACGATACGAGTATACATTTGAGTTGAGTTGAGAAAACCGGCGGTCAAGAAGCAACTATGCAAGTGCCAGAATTATGTAAAATAAATAATATTTATTTATTTATTAACAAAGTTATAACGTAATTATAAATAAAATCTAACTAAAATTTATAGAAGCTATAGCTACTTGGCCTTAAGGTTACCGATTTGGAAAAGAAAGAAGGGTATTATAGTTAAGAGCTAGGATGACAGTATGATTAAGGCTTAAGTGCCTTGTTTTATTTATTTTATTATTATTATTTTTTTTTTAGATAGCGAAAGAGGGGTTTGTAGAGAAGACGGGTGTAGTGTTTGAGGCTAAATTAAGGTATACATATATTTTTTTTAAGTTATATTGAAGATACTTAATTATAAGCAGAATATTTGATTTTGAGGGGTCTACTAATAGATTGATCGGATTGTGTTTCCAAATATGGTGTTTCTGTGTTTCCAGAGATGCGAGTTTTCGATAAGTATATATTGTATTGAATATAAAATGTTGCAGAACCGACAGGAGGGTGGTGCTGATCTATTAAATAAGTGTGTGTTAAATTGATACGTCCTAGTCTTAATCGGATGAGTTTGGTAAGGTGTGCATGTGGAAATTAATGTTGATGTTAAAAATAATGTATGGTATATTGTAAGTTATTGCTGATTTGCAAAGGTAATACTTGTTATATTCAAAATATTTTTGTTTGGTAAATGATGCAGATACTTCATATTTAAAATTATTTTATAGCTTGATTTAATACACAGATTTAAAATGGAATACAGAAAAATTGCAACTTATTTAAATAACTGAGTTCTGAAAAATGTTCCGAACAGCTAAACTCTGTTACCACTGATAAATAAATATACAGTATCTTTAATGAATTGATTAATTTACATCTAAACTAGCTTGGTTAGCTTAGATTGGCATCAAGTTGCCAAGCTTACACCTCTGGGACTTTAGCGATACAAATTAGAAAAACGTCTGATAGAGTGGTTTTATTGAGAATTGTATATTCATCTTGTGGGCGAATATACATTCTCCCGTTGATTAGGATTGCAAGGTCTTCCTAATTCTTTGTTTGTTTAGCAAAAAGTATTTGTCTTATGATTCAAAAGTGTACGACTTAGTGTTTAGCTGCATCCACAACATTTCAAAGTCAGTACCTTACATATATACTAAGTGTATTAAAGTTTTCTTTGCGTCAGGCATGTTTCATGTCCCACAACTGTTATATTCAGCCAAGTACATCTTAGGGATGTGTTCATCTTTAACAGCCAGTGATATTTGTACATCAATTAATATTTCTTTGGATAAACAATTTAGCGAACTTCCTATTGGGAAACTTACATATAGTTTGATGACCTTTTCACCATTTATCATTTCTTGGATTTCAAAAAAAGTACTAGATTATTGAGTACATATTTGATAAGCATGCTGATATCAATGTGATTGTGCAGTACTATGCTCACCTTTATCTCCTTTAAAGCATTTAGTAGGTCAGTGGTGTGTGTTCATTTAAATACGCTTCTAGACGAGCTTTTGAAGGTTAGGTTAGATTAAGAAGCCGGGTGTTGACAGTTATCAGCATTTCCACTCGGCGAGAAAATTTCACTTTGAAGGTACAGTGGTGGTTCGCTAATCAAAATTAATTTTTAATATATAATTGCGAACAGTACACTGCATGCCGTTTATATATTGCAACAGTCAATGAAAGAGCCGAATATGATCAGTCGAAAACTGATCTTTTTGAGCATCTACACGTGCTAGATTTTGGCAAGATTTTTATGTGCGAATAGAAATATGTATTATTTTCGAATTTTATTTGTGAAGAAAAGTATGCCTAAATCTTTCCAAAGCCTACCCAGTGTAGATGCTGGGTTAGTATGTGTAACATACTGCAATCAGATCTAACTTATAGAGAGTGATCTCATTACGTAATGAATTCAGTTTGCTAACTTACTAGAAAGTTATTATATTACATATCGTTAATTTAAAGATCTCTTAAAATTCTATAGTGTTTCTGTTATCCTTAATATTTACGTGTTCACTTTAAACGCGACAAAAGTAGTCTTTAATGTCCTTGAAAAAAATGTAGCACGAGATAATATGTCCATAGACAAAACCGATATTTACTATTAATGCAGGAATTTTTCGAAATTTTAAATATAGATTTAAGCAGATGATACTTTCAAGATCTTAATTACTATCGTATAGATTAAAAATAAAAATTAGAAATCAATTAATTCAATTGCTCAGCAATAATTGTTTTTTATTTTAAATAAGCAACGTTCATATATAATTGTTGCTTATTGACGAGGAACAAGATTTATATAAATATACATTTAAAATTTAGCTTACTAATTGTAATTATTATGTAAATGTGCGACTACGTTTAAATTTTCCTACGGTCTCTACCGGTTGACACAAAACAGAGTCAGAAGACACACAATATGTTTTCACAATTGCTTTAAAGTGCTTAATTTGATTCGATTTAACCTCATTATTGAATTCGTTTGTAGCATCTCTTTCAGTTTCTTCAGCACATCTCTCATTTCTGAAAGATTTAATTGAGAATTGTGATGAGGTACTAGATTTCATAAGAAATCGTTCCGAAACATTAGTGTTGTACTCTGAACATTCAGTCTTAGCAGGAATTTCTTGTATATTAGCACTATTGACTTGCATTACATCAACTTTGTTTGTAGGATCTCCTTCGGTTTCTTTAGCACATTTCTCATTTTTAAAGGATCCAATTGAGAGTTGTGATGAGGCACTGGATTTCATAAGAAATCGTTCCGAAACATTAGTGTTGTACTCTGAACATTCAGTCTTAGCAGGAATTTCTTGTATATTAGCACTATTGACTTGCATTACATCAACTTTGTTTGTAGGATCTCCTTCGGTTTCTTTAGCACATTTCTCATTTTTAAAGGATCCAATTGAGAGTTGTGATGAGGCACTGGATTTCATAAGAAATCGTTCCGAAACATTAGTGTTGTACTCTGAACATTCAGTCTTAGCAGGAATTTCTTGTATATTAGCACTATTGACTTGCATTACATCAACTTTGTTTGTAGGATCTCCTTCGGTTTCTTTAGCACATTTCTCATTTTTAAAGGATCCAATTGAGAGTTGTGTTGAAGTACTGGATTTCGTAAGAAATCGTTCTGAAACATTAGTGTTACACTGTGAAGATTCAGTCTTGACAGGAATTTCCTGTGTATTAGCACTATTGTTTTTCCTTACAACGAATTTGTTTGTATCATCTCTTTCGGTACTATTATTTTTCATCACACATTCTAATGGAATATCATCATCTGAACCCGAATCTTCCGTTTCTATACAAGCATACTGATTTATTGCAGTTTCCACATCATCAAACTTTGCTTTAGCCTGCTTACATAGTCTAGCTAGTTTGTCCTCACTGTGTCTGCTACGAACATACGAAGTGTCTTTTTTGAACCGGAGTTTGTGATTTTTATTGTGCCATTTTTTTTTTCTTGCAAATTTAAGTGCTTGTTCATATGGACCTACTTCGTTAATAGGGAAAAGCGTTCTGCGTAAGGTACTCTACAGATAAAAAGAAAAAAGTGTATTAATATACGCTTGATATAGAAATAAGTACAATATTTGTGTATTTATGTATTTATTTATATATATACTAAAATAATGGATAATGAATTCAAATAATATTCAATCCGATCGAACCTTCAAACTGATCGACACGTCATGCCGCACGAAGACGAAGCATGAAGCATTTTTATGTCCAGTCATGCTTAAACATTTTGCTCGAGCACAATATGCCTTTGGAAATATAAGGGAAAAAATATGTAGTTCGAAAATTTGCTGTACTACGTATTTATATAAAATAAATATAAATATGAAATTAAACATTCAAATTTACGAAAATTTTTCTTAAAACATTGGAACGAAAAAGTATTAATTTTCGAATTTTTTATATACGCTTAATAAATTATTCTTTATTACTTGTATTCGAATATTCGAATATTGCTATATATAATATTTCGAACACCGGATAAGTTTCCTAACGAAACCACCATAAATATAATAATTATACCAAAGTATTCAAAAAGTATTACAAATTCGATACAAATTAGAAAGCTATAGTTTTTTATCGAAAATATTATTGTTCCTTTAGATTTTGCAGCATATCTATAGCAGTTTTGTTAATTAGAATGGAACCGTTTACTCTACGTCTATACTGACGACTTTTGGCTGGATTTTTACTCACACTTTTACTTACCAATATATACGAATTTCCATTTATAAATAAGAATTGATAATAAAATGTATCTACATTCGAACATAAAAATCTTGCCAAAGTAGCTAAACTTTCAGACGTCGAATAAGCTATTTAAGTAACTTGAACGCTTGGAAGCAATTATAGTATTGAATCCATATGTTGACACTTGAGTATACTCAAGCCGCTCAAACACCGTACTTCTCAAATACTTCGAAACAAACATTTAAAGTATTATATATTTTAATAATTTTAACCCGTTAAGCTAATTGGTCAATAGTTAAATAATATACTTTTTTAACAATTTTTTGTTTTTTTAAAAGATTTTATTTGAATCGATATTTCGAAAATAGTCTATAGTCAGAGGCGAGGCGTCAAATGGTTCAGAGTGTTCACTGAACACCTTAACAAAGCTTCCTTTTTAGATCTTTTTTTTATTAGGTAAATTTTCGCGCTATTTTGCTACTTAACATTTTTAATAGTAGCTTTTCCAAACAGATTAACATAAACACAAAACGTACAATACAAACAAAATTTCACATATGTTAGTTACACCCAACATTACTTATAATTAATAAAAGAAAAAACACATTCCTCTTAAAATATACTAAGGTTCAGAAAAAAACTGCACCGCGCTGCTTACAAAGCATGCAAATGAAATAACATTCACATTGGGACTATGTTCAATATTGAATAAACATAAAACATACAAACAAATACAAAAATAAAAGAGAAAACAAGCCCCGCAAAATATGTGTGTAAAATAATCATAACTCTTAAATTAATGCGTGCAAGCGGTTTAATAAAAAAAGTGAACCTCCAATGTTATGCAAAGTAAATACAAAAGAGAAAAGAAATGACTGAGCGAAAATCGCTTTACATTTGACTAGAGGTTCAGTCGACTAAATTGAACCGCAAGTTCATACAAAGCGTACAAAAACAATCAAAGCCACGGTTGCCGTTTTATATGGACAAATGGTTCAGTAAAAAAACTGAACCGCGCATAGTAAATACAAAATAAAAGAGTAAATGAATGCATGAGAGTTTCTTACTCTTATGTAGAGGTTGGAAATAAACCAAAAACAAAGTCATTATTGCAATTTTATACTAGCAAATGGTAAAAGTAAAGAAAAAAATTAAAGAAATTTGAAGTGAAAAATAATATTTAGAAATGGATAAAAGTGTGATTAAAGATTTGATTTAAATATCTTTTTTTAAACGATCTTCTGAAAAAAAGGTTTTAATTCATAAAATGACCAACTCCAGATATGAAAAATTTGGTACCTCATGTAAAAATGTCGAAATATGTGGTAAGTCGCCGTTTTCCTACAGCTATTTACCACAAAAACCAATGGATCACAGGCTGTGAACATTTAAATAAATTGTTTTGTTGGTCTTGTATGCTATTTGCTTGTGGAAAGGACAAAACTCAGAAGTAGGGGGAATACGTTATAGTTGGAATTCTGTTTTGTTCAAATTGTAAACACCTTGCCAAAAAGCTGACACCTTGCTACTGTCTATAATTATCATTAGGGTGCTATATAATGCCAATACAATGCAGCCATATTTTAGTATAAATCATAAAGAAATACTTATACAATACATTAATATTATAGTACCCTGATGATGGCTATAGAATATAGTCGAAATATCGGTTCAAATAAAATCTTTTACAAAAACAAAACATTTTTTTAAAAAGTGTATTATCTAACTATTGACCACTTAGCCCGCTAAAAACCAATAAATTTTGTTTTTAAATGCAATTATAAAGAAGTACTTATACTTACATTGGTATGAGTCATATAAAGGACATCATAGTGGGTGTTCTTAAGAGTAAGAAACATACGACGAGCATAATTGGAACGTTCACCGAATCTGTATACAATGCCTTCAGCAATGTGAACCACATCAATTTCGGCCCTGTAGTGTTCTGATAATATAGCACACTCAACACCACCACCACAAGTTGTGGGGTTTAGTATCCGTTCGAGATAATTGGCATTAGACACTCCGAGTATGCTTTTGTTGAATCTTTCTGGCTCGGAGGCAAGTTTAATTGCTATTATGTGTCGCATTTCCTCATCAGCATTTGCATCTATCTTACCCGTCATGGCATAGCGTACTGCCATAAAAAGACTAGAAGCATTCCCTGCAATGGGTTGACGTACCAATAAGCCAATATTTCTTCCGTCAATTGCTCCACTATTAATGTCAGCAGCACAAACTTTCACAGAGCAAAACAATTCTTTTTTTGGGCGAATTTCGGCCGGTACTTCAATATTTTCCACCTGCTTTTTATGTTTCTGTTCAGATTCTTTCATTTCAAGAACCAAAATCACATCTTTCTTAATCCCTATCGAATCAATACTATCCGCGTTCCGAGACAAATTCAACAAGCGTGGAGGAAAACCGATAGATATACGCAGATTACTAACATTTTTTATTATGGCCAAACCAACACGCAATTTAAATATACCGATTGTAGTGTCCTTTGTCAAATTGCTGAGTATATGAGTTTTATTTCCATTTTTTAACTTCACACTGAATGATTTAGGCATCTTGAAGAATAAAAGCCAAGGCTTTTGCAACGTTTTTTGTGCTTTTTGCTAATAATTTTGATGATTAAACAGGAAGCTCAAATTTTGAAAGTTGTTTGTTGCAATATCTTTTACTTTTTATGATCAAAGTTAAAATTTTATTGAAGTTTTATTTGAAACATGAAGATAGCATTTATTTCAATGAAACTTTGACATTTATTAAAATATCTAAAATAATTTTTTTTTTTATTAATATATGACCAGTTCCTGCATAATATAGAATGGATATACATAGTGGTTCATTGCTTAGTTTTAAAGGTGACGAAGTTTTCTTTTCCATAAGAATGGCGCGTAAGTGCCATACACATCTTACCACACATCTGAAAATAAGGTTCTAAAAAGAACCTTCCATCCAAACAAGTAAAGATACAAACAAAAATAGCAAAAACCGGAGACGCAATCAAATGTTGTGGGTAAAGAAAAGTCGTGAAATTTGGGTTAAAGACTTCATATAAAGGCTTGACTGGATCATTTATGGTGTGACTAGCAATCGGCGCAGACAACCACGGGTTATTTATGCCTTTTACCCATTATCTGAGATGGAGCAGCTACTTCAATTATCGATTTTTTTCTTATACACATTCAATACATTATCTAGAAAAAAAGTATATATAATATATATTATTTTATATGCTTGTGACTTACTATATAGTAAAGAGTTTGGTATTTATTATTTCATATGCCTCTAGCATATTATCTAACTTTTAATTTAATTTTTTTCTCTTAAGCCCCAATTTACTCTCTGAGGTGAAAGTACAAATTTGTTGATCCATACCACCTTAAGGTAAGAGTAAACCATAGCTTTGATTTTTAACGCTTCTACTTTTATGCACGTTCGCTTATGTTTGATACTCTCAGTAACTGATATATAAAATTTGAACTCACCATATTTAATATATGTAATATATTGCATTATACATAACATAGTATAAATAAATACAAGTTAAATATAATAGATTATTTTCATAACAGAGATCTCACTTAAACACTTCTAGACTATTTGGGATTTAAAAAACTTAAACTTAAATATATTCCAAATTAACTTACAAAAACTACTTACTCAAGACTGACCGATTTGATCTTTTCACGCAAGAAAGTCTTGTCGTAATAGCAAGCTTTCTGGTTAAGAGATTTTCACATGGATATATCTTTTTAATCTCTTTCGTTCGAATTTTTGTGAATTCTGATTTTACTATGGGGTTCTTTAGAGCTTCGTAAATATTACCGTTAAGTTAGACTTTTATGCAAGTGAAAGTCTGGATAAATAACATTCTTCGCTTGAGAAATCGGTATGTTATATAGAAAAATTATTGGGAAGATACATTTAATTATTTAACAGAAGTAATGATTTTTTGTAACGAAATTTTAAAATAAATCAAAAAAATGTTATTCAATCCAAAACTATCCTGTTTACATTTTCTTTGTGCTTCCCTAGTTAAAATATATTGAAATACCTGGTCCAGGCTAATCCTTCTAAGAATAAGAAAATAAGTTAGACTTAGATTTAATAAACCTTAAGTAATAAAAGACTTTTATGTTAATGTTAAAAAAATTCGCTTTTTACATGTTTCCTTTAACCTAAAGGAACCTGTCGACAAATTTTGAACGAAAATTTAAAATATTAAAACCCAATATATCGCTCTCTACTAACATTTTCAAGCCTAACTGGAAGTTTGAGCTTTGTCTTTTTTTTTTATTCAGAAGTTACATTGCACTTAAAAGATACAATTAACTTATACTCGTATAAGAAATTAAGGCTATAGCGACACAGGCCTAATGATAAATTTTTATGTATTGGATATGTGATGGTTCTATGGTTTTCTGGTTATTGGAGTGAGTTGAAGAATTTCAAAGGGATTTGATTAATTTAATCTATTTACGTACGATCGGTATTTATGGCATTATATCAGAACGTGGGTAATGGTTAAATTAGTGTTGCATACTTGACATGTAGGTGGTAGAGTCTAGTCGGGGTCTGGTGAATTTAATTATGTCAAAGCGTTTCCGGCGTTGAGTTTTTGAGAGAGACTATTGCTATATAGAGATTTTGCTTTGGTTGGCTACTTTATAGTGTTGGACCAAAAGTTATCTTTATAGTGCATTGCTTTGCATTTCATGTACTTAATATGTCGGAGATGTTGAGATTGTGATCGTATATTGATGGGGAGGTATAAGTACTTTTGACTTCTGCATCTGCTAGTTCGTTTCCTTTTATATTGCAGTGTCCTGATATCCAGATGAGTACGATTTTTCTCCGTTTCGTGGTTAGAAAATGTCTAATTTAAGAAGTGTAAACTTTGTCTCTTTAATCTCGGCCTTACTAGTATTTTTCAAAACTTGTAGTGATGTGCAAAGCAATTATATTGGGGAACTCTTTTCAAAAGTATGCCTTAAAAATAAATAAATTTTTAAATGATCCAACACAAAACAATTAACAATAAATATAGATCTCAAAAAGTATCACTGATTTTATTTCGAACACAAATACAGAAAATGTATATAAAATAACAATAAATCACCATTTCATGAAATGAAATAAAATGCAATGGCAAGGGAATGTAAAATAGAAAAATGTACATTTACTTTTTATTACAATTTCGTATGAAAAATTTCTTTAATTGCTAGAAACTCCCACGTTCGCTATTATTCTCAGATCTGGTAACACCAGTGCTGCTTGAACTATAAGTAGAATGCGTTGTAAAAATCCGCGGAAGAGTTGATGACTGTCTTGTAAAGAATTGATTTGTAGATGCTAGAGTAGTGTTATTAGCACACATTGTTTCAGTGGCTGGTGTTGCACTGATCTTAGTGGGTATAGCATTGGTAGCACTGGACACTGTTGAATCGAAACTTGTCACTTTAAGCACTGTAGAGTCTTCAAATTTTGTGTTCATGGCATCAATGTCTATAGTCGAACCACTAGATTGTGGTATTTGTCACGCGTATGATTGTACTGTTTTCGGTATATGGCTTGATGCATAGCAGCCTGTATTATCTACATTTGGATCTAAAGTACAATCATGTTCCACCAGACTTCCTCGCAGTTCCTCTAAACTCTTCGATTTGACTTTGTTTGTAAATTTATATATATCGTCTTTTGTTTTCTCTACAGAACGATGATTGTCCATCACGCAATTGAAGTTAGTAATTTGGGATTTTCCAACGCATTGCATTTCATTACTATAATCTGTTCCATCGTTTGATGCTAAGGATTTTTGCGGCTGTGGAACTATAACGCTGTAAACTGTACAACCAATTTCGGTATTTGTACGTCGCAATTTAGTTGATGATCTTTTTTGTTGTTGCAATAAATTGTTGCAAGTGTTGCTGTGACTTTTTAGGTAGTTATCATTTTGTTTTTTAGTTTTATCATTGTCGTTAGATGCAGTAACTGACGATGTTGTGGAGTTTGTTGCTATGTTGTCAATATGTCCTTCAGTTAAACTAGAGCTTAATGCTTTATCAGAACTATTTTTGAATTTATCTCGTTTCTCCGCTACATCAGATTGTGGCTCCGGATCTTCTTCGACAGAATAAACAGTTTCAAGAATATCGGGTCGTCGCAAAAAACAATTATTACGTCGCCCACTACTATACCTATTTACATTCGTTTCAATGGCATCAGAGATAGATCGAACAATTGTGATACTATCTCCATTATTGTACGAAGCTGTACTTATGCCACTACTCTTCTGCCGTGGCCATAAATTGAAAACGTCTGAATCAATATCTTCCAAAACGACTGCTGAGTCTGAATCGTTCAATACATCCAAATCTGCACCATAGTTGACTTCAATAGTCTCTAATCCATTATCAGTTAAACGTGTCGACAATGTGTCAATAATTTTGTGCTGTCGCTGTATTGTTACTTCCCGCAAGCTCAACAAATGTGCAATTTGCTTCTGTTTGCGTTTAAGCCGGGATTCTAATAATAACAGTTGAGATGTTAATGCATTCATTTGACTGCTTTTTTCTTTTTGGTATCGATAATGTAGTTGTACCTTAATTAAGATAAAATTTAGTAATATGTAATTATCGAGCATTTGAAATTATCAACTTACTTGTACAGCATATGCTTTGCGCCATTTCATTATATGCTCTGCCTGATATCGAACCTTGGCTCGAAGTTCACCAATAATTAAACGTGCTGTATGCAAGTCTTTTGGATCCTGGTTCATCATTGTTAAACGTAAGTTACTGGTGTACATTGAGACTGGTATGGGAGGCCACTGAAACAGTAGTGGTGACGGTGTATGCGTTGGCAAAGAGCCGCGCTGGCCACCGTTAATTAAACCAGCAGCTTTGGCAGCTCCACCCATGCTCAGAGTTCTCCTAATAGGTATATTTGGCAGATTAGCTTTGTTTTTTATGTTGCACTTCTGCGAAATGGTGAATGCCAAATGTGACCCATACGCTGCGTACATTAATACCACTATATTTAAATACTATCTTGAGTGGTTCTATTTTCAGGATCCAATAGCGAAAAAAAGTCTGACTTACGGTTTTACATTTAAAAGTATTAACGGTATATCTACAAAGAATAATACAAAATAAAATTATATTATGTGTACAACAATTAATTTAGATAATTCAATACGCTGGAATTTAGAATTAAGTTGTAGATATATTTATTTTCTTATTTACAAGAAAATATTTACATATTTAAAAATGTTTATAAAATTATTCTACTTTTGACCATTCTCCACTTCATTAGACCGAACAATGTACCCACATTTACTTATATTCTGTTTTCATTGTTGGCCCTTTACGAAGCCCTACCTTCTATACTACATTATCTGTTTTTTTATTTATTATCTATGCTATTCTGGATGTCCAAAAAACTTTGTTTTTTTTTTTATCACATGTGCCAAACTGTGTTGTTGTGTTAGTTCGCCTATTACTAAGTACTTTTATTCCTCACATTAAAGCCTCTAACATATTCCAGTCGAAGTCTCTTAACAAGACTCTTGTAGATATATACACATAGTAGAAAAAGTCTACGGATATTCACAAAATTTTTCTTAACTTACGCATAACTTTTTTAATTTTTACTCAAATTCATTTTTATTTCCTGATTTATTTTAACCCAAGAAACAACAAAAAAGTTCCAATATAAAAACTAAACAGTTATTCTTTAAAAAAAAATTGAACACTATTATATGAAAAAGTAGCAATTTTTGAAGCAGAAAAAGTCTACGGATATTTCTTAATATTTACATTTACCGTTAATTTAAATTCGCTTGCAAGCATAAACGTTTCATTAAATGATGTTTAATTATTAGTTGACTTCCTGAAGAGTCTAAAAATTAATCACTGAATAATAATATTTTTTATATAAGCAACAAATTTTTACAATATAAAATAAGAGACTTGCAATTAGTTTTAGTGAGCGACAAATAACTGTTAAATTTTGGAAAGATGACGTATGCCAAAGAAAAATTGCTAAAGATATTGGTTGTCAATATTCATCTGTGTATAGAGTTATAAATAACTTCAAAGAGACGAGTACTTACGTTTCTAAACCTCGCACTGGCCGCCCCTCATTTCTGTCAAATAGAGAAAGATGTACCATAATCAACCAGATGAAAGTAAATCCAAGAGTAACAGCTTTCAAACTAGCTGGACATAATGTCGAAATACTAGAAAACAAAATATGTCCTGATACTGTGCGGAAAATTTTGAAGAAATGCATGTATTATACCCTGATTGCAGGAAAGAAGCCATACATATCCAGATATAATAGAATAAAATGATTAAGCCGTGCAAGAAAGCGTATAAATAAACCTATAAAGTTCTGAATATGAGTTATTTTCTCCGATGAGAGTCAATTTTAAATATTTGGAATCAAAGTTAGAAAACTTGTATGGAGAAAATTATGCACAACCTGTGATAAACCGTAAACAGTAAAACGTGTTGGTGACGGCGTAATGATTTAGGGGTGTATAGCAAGTAATGGTGCGGTTAGACTTGAATTTGTACAAGATACAATGGAGAAATATGGTTTTCTAAATATTCTAAAAACAAATTTGAAAGAAAATGTCAGAATGTTAGGACTTGAGGCAACCTTTTTGTTTCAGCAGGGCAATGACTCTAAGCATACAGCAGTCATAGTACGGATTTGGATGCTGTACTATGCTCTCAGGCAACTTCAAACACTACCAGAATCACCAAACCTTAGTCCTATAGAACATCTGTGGGTTTATTTGGAAAATAAGATTCGCCAGCATATGTTTTCCAGCAAGGATATAGTAAGAAACGTCATCAAGGAAGAATGGCTAGAAATAAACGCACAGGATACTGCAAAGCTGGTTGAGTCCATGCAAAGACGCTTAACAGAGGTTATTAAATGCAGAGGTTATCCCACAGGCTATTAAATTTAAGATTTTTGTGAATTTTATTGTTTTAATGTAAATATTAAGAAATATCCGTAGACTTTTTCTGCTTCAAAAATTGCTACTTTTTCATATAATAGTGTTCAATTTTTTTTTAAAGAATAACTGTTTAGTTTTTATATTGGAACTTTTTTGTTGTTTCTTGGGTTAAAATAAATCAGGAAATAAAAATGAATTTGAGTAAAAATTAAAAAAGTTATGCGTAATTTTAGAAAAATTTTGTGAATATCCGTAGACTTTTTCTACTATGTGTATACTTATACCAGTTTGTAGGGTTTGCTATATATGCCTTAAATGAAGTCCCCCATTTTGTGAATTCTATCTACGTCTAACCAACGCCCTCAGTCATATCTATAGTTCTAAGCAGGTATTGTATACCTTTCGCAATGCAATAATCTCTAAAAACGTGAGAAGTGAACATAATACCTTTGTCTAATATTATGGATCTTTTTGAATTAAAAGAAATTATTCACTACAATGAAAGTGCGTTTATATAAAATGAATATAAAAATTTTTATTAATATTTTACTGCTTTTGTATTGGATAGTCCATCATTGTAATTTGTTAATTTGGGAACAAAAGAGATTTTACTAATTTCAAGACTTTTTACTGAGAAATTACTGTGAATGTGAAATAATTGAATTATTTTATCTGCCATTGTCATTTTTAGTGAAAATATTCATATTGTTTTGTCTTTTAGAGTCCCCGTTATTGTTTTGATTTTGATCCATACAACTTCAGAACTGAAGGACCAATTATCTTCCATAAATCTGACACTGATTTTTTTATTTTACAAAAAATAGGCCCACACAAAGTTATAACATTTTTATATACTGTGGTACTGGAAATGCTTCCACTGCCTATCTCTTTCCCTATGTTTCTCTAAATATAATACTATTTTTCACCTATATGTTAAATTTAGAGTTTTTCCATTTTATTTTTGAGGTATAGTGGGCTGCTATTGCACTCTATCTTAAGCGATAATTATAGTATTATCTGTGTACTCTATCAATAGCAAGCTATGGAAATGAAAAAAGAAAATATAAATTTAATAAGAGGGTTTCGGTGCAAATTACACCGCAGTTGTATAAGAGATTCATTCTCTTTGCAAATGGTAGCCTAAAATTTGTGTAGTTCCAAATAACATATCCAGAATATGCTTGTGACTGTCTTGAAGTGGTTTCAAAGATTCCAGATCGGAAATTTTTTTTTTATAGGACGACTTTTGCAAAGGTCACTCAGAAATTTCGACTGATCAAGTTAACTTGGCTCTGGCTTAGTCTAGTAATACCCACAAAATGATTGCTGATGAACTGAGCTGGAATGCACTGATTGCATCGTGCATGTTAAGCTATCATCAGCACAATAGATTAGAGAATTCAAATTAGAGAAATCATCTGAAGACTGAACAGACGGTAACTGCTAAATAGTATACTATAACCTATTAACCACAACTTTTCGAAAATTTGTTAAAAAAGAATAACTTTACTGCAATCTAAGGAATTGAAAAAATTTGTCCAACACCATATTTCAAATATGGCATGGAAAAAATCATTTCTTAAGTCAAGGTTAGTTAATATATTTTCTGATATATGGTATATATGATAATATATACATCATCATCTATTGTTGGCATCAGAAAAGTACGACTTTCTCATCAATCACAATATAATCGTTTTAAACCAACAGAATTAGGGAAGCATATGGTGACATATTTGGTTGAACAATATCAATTAGATTATGATCAACATTAAAAGCAATAATTTTTAATTTCATAGGAGAATCATAACAATTTGAATACGAGTATTATTAATTTTTTATAAATTCAAGTTTAATTTTGAGTAGTCACAGTCTATTACAAAATTAGTCGCATTAAAGTTTAAGGTCTTTATAAGTAAATATTGAGCAGTTTTTTAACTTCACTAAGTAAATCACCAGCTTCTCTATTTCGATAGGAAGATTATTTGTTTATTCTGTGATAGAATTGACTTCATATAATGTAATTAAACTCTCACATGTTAATATGTTAGGTTATGTGGTTTTCCATCTCACGAAGGAAACACAATATTCAGTTAAAATTTTTAAAAACGTGTCTGATAAGGTAGATATTACAACCAAAATTAATCAGGGGTACCGAACTCTATCATCTATTATCCACAATTTTTCGTTTGTGAAAAAAAAATATAGTTCGCTTTATTTAATTTTTTGCTTGTTTTCACTTTTTATGAATATGTTACCAGATAACATATGTTTTATCTATTTGAATTTAGGGCGTGTGCGCGTTGTGCTAAATTGATGCTAAACCAAATGGGACATTCCTTGGGATTTTTTGCACTGCACATATTTAGACATTTATCAACACGTATCGACACATCACTACATTATCGGCATAACTTAGAATTTCCCTCATTTAGAACGCAACTTACCCAAACTCGCACACGTCCTTAGTTCTAAATTTTAGACTAAATTTTTAAAAGTCTATTGCAATATTGATGTGACTGATTATAATTTTCACTTAATAGTCAACTTCATCACCGCATTAAATTAATTATTTTTAGGGTTATGAATTATATTAATTATTTTTACGTCCTCCATATGTCAAATGTTTGAATATGATTTATATTAATAACCTATTTATTTATGAGATTTTTAAATCCTTTTTATTAAACACAACAATTTCATAGCAGTTTCGTTGATTATTCTAGCGATATACGTTAAATGTATATGAAGGTGTTCAGCAAAAAAGTCTCCTTAAAGTTTATTAGTTGCAGTACTAATGAGCCACTGTGAGGAATTGTAGCAGCCATCTTACAGATAACTTTTCATATACAAACACTCTTCAAAATGTGTGGGGGAAAAACTCAATAGAGTTCAATAGAGTTTTTTCCCATACTAGTAATTTATTAAGAATATTATACAATCCATACAACTTTATTGGACAATCTTCACACTACTAGATCATAAGTTTATTTGGAGGTATTAGTTTATTTTGACATCTTTAACAGTTAGCATTTATGATGCTCTTATACTTACAACAAAACTTGGTCAGAACTTTAACCAAACCTATTTTGTTTTATTTTGATGTTTGATTTTTTCCAAAATTTCTTCTTAATCACCACGTGAAT